TTATATAACATTGATCATTATCTAACCGGTAAGCTCAAACCGTCTAAACACACACAATGCAACTCCATGCAATTTAAACAAAATGACGCTTACGTAAACCTTTTTATAACGTTTGAATCCGTAAAAGTAGTGCAGTGCTTAATAGAGTGAGTCAAGGACGGAACTAATTAAACTCTTCACGACTCATTGAAAGAACGATTTCCGCGACGAAAGCATAACGGAAGACTTTTTCTATCCCATCGACTTCTGCGGTTTCTACCTGCAGAGCAACCTTGAAATCTTGCTATCAAAAAAAAATCATCGATAGATTTTCAGTGCACGCCTCAGGGACGTCTTCAATCCTTGACACTTCGATTTATTAAATCTAAATTGCTCCTCTGGCAATCCTCCAACTACACACTAAATGTTCGCTTTTCGGAACGAAATTAGGGGTTAGCGTTGATGAAGAAGTAAACAAGCGAGAACCTTGCCAACAAAGCCTGCATTCATAATGCGAATCCAGTTGCATTATCGATTCACGACGAACGAAAAAATGGTTACGGGAGCTGCACACAATAAATGGTCTTTGTATGGTTCTCGCCCAAATCGGTACAAAGATTCATTGTCTGCTTATTCCAAAACAAAGAAGGCAAGTTAGGATTGTTTCGGCTTTAATTGGACTAAAACGAAACTGTGGCAGCAAAAGGATCAATTAAGTGAAAGCTCTAGGGATTAATTAAAATATGAAACTTCGTCATTTCCACGTAGATATCAAGCTCAGATCGAAATCAACCGAAATATTTGTGTTAGTTGAGTGACTCATCCCTACGGAAACACAGATGTGAACTTCTTGACATTTAAATTGTGTGTAACCGTCTTTGTTTTTCGAAGATAAGTAATGTAGATCGAGAGTCGCTTCCCTTCGTAGCAAAAACCAAGACTTGAAACGAAGGATATATGTATTAGAAAGCGAACACTCAAAAACTTGTTCCTTTTTCAAAAATCCGAACCATCCAATCATCTTGAAAGTGAACACGGCGTAAAAATGCCGCTTTTACTTCTGACATGCAAACTAATCTAGCGGCGTCTCAATTCCGACAAAAACTTCTTATTTCTGCATTTTCTCTCGGTCGCAATGAGCTTTTAACTATCGAATAAGTCATTAATTCGACGCCATCGCTCCTCACCCTCTTTAAAGCTTCTTAGCGCGCTAGAAAGCCTTATTTATTCGCTCAATGGCGCCTCTGCATTTCCTCTCATTTATGGACGTTTGCGTTCGATATTTATTAGAAATTTGTAAGAATTTTAACATTGATTCTGCAAATAAATCCACCGTGTGTAAACAAAGCAAATTCGGTGATGTTCGCATACGTTTAATGCAATTATTACAATCAACACTACTATTATTATTTTTGCGAAAATATATAATTTTTCACTTTAGACGATGGAATCACAATTGTGAAGCAGTCAAAATATGGAATTTGAAATTTTTCACGTTCCTAAATCGTATCCCAAAAAACGCATTTCTTGTGGTGCAATCGCTTCGCGAAAATTCATCGAGCTTCGCTCCGACTCCTGGCCTTTAATCACAATCAACACTATTATTATTAGTGTGTGGCCAACCTCAAGATTTCGAAATTTTTGGCGTCAGATCTGTGTCTGTTCAGTCTTCATTAGCAATAGTTTATAATTTGAGTCGCATTCGTTCGGCGCTTCCCAATTAACTCGCGATTTTTAGACCCGCTTCAAAGCCCCACTCGTTTCCGCGATTCCTTTTGATCCGAACTTTTAACTACCCGATACGTCATTAACTAGACGCCGATTCCCCTCGTCCCGTCGACGCCCTCGCCGCCCGCCCGTCGTCATTCGCAACCCCCATTTGTCCGTCCAGTGGCGTTCCATTTTTTCCTCTTGGGTCGTTCTTTATTTATTATTCCGCATTCCGATTCGTTCGGGTCGTAAACATACGCAAAGCAAAGTTCTGCGACGTCGACCGTCTGCTGACCACTTCGCGATCGATTTTGCCTTTAAAAAAAATCTTCCTTTCTCTTTTCGTCTTTTCGTGTTTCTATTCCCGTTTTATTATTTTTAGGCGGCATTTATCGCCGTCCTACTCCGTCTATATCTGCACGTTTATGCGCCCGTTTCGCCAGTTATTTTTGATCGAACTTCACATTGTATTGGTAAATGCATGCCGTATTTTTAGACGGTCCGTTTTCGAGAGCGCTTATGTCACTGCTTGCGATTTTGGCAATGGGCCGAAACCGACAACAGGAAGAAGAAACACGTCGATAATACGACAGAGAATATTTTTGTGGGGCTTGAAGTCCGTCCAAACGGGTCATCGAGAAGTGGAGCCAAAATTATGACAGTAGTATACAGCTGCATGCTTACGTTTACCCATTTTGAATTAAAAATTCATCAGTCACCCCAGTAATGCGAACGGGGATCGTCGATTTTCGACGAAAGCGGTCTCCAGCAGGACGTCTAGACTTAATAACGCCTAATGACAACTTCTACCTCGGATAACGAGCCAGCAAATTACTATCGAAATATCCAGCGCTTCCGCTCCCCGAATTCCAATTCCGCAGACCACGAACGTGGAAACGTCGAGAAAAAAATACTCCCAAGAGTGAGCATTGTGGGAAACGTCCATGCGAAAATTCGACGACTTTCGCGTTCATTTAGCACCTTTACCACAATCAACACTATTATTATTCGAGCGAAAGTATCTTTTTTGCATTTTTCATATAACCACCAGCTTTGGACTACATTTGGACTAAAAGTTTGAATTTTAGTTCAAATCGGTGCACTCAATGACCAATTAGTAGCTTCATCTAAATGGTGCATCGTCAATTTGGTCGGTACGTGTTTGTGTTTGTTTTCTGGTAGCCACTGACCTACAGGTGAAAATTTATTTTGAATTTTATCACAATTACTATTATTTTTGATTTTTTTTTATTTTCCAAATTTCACTGTTTCATTTTGCACACGTCGCCCGCCAATAGTTTAAAATTTGGCCGACATTTTCGCCTTTCCAAACGCGCCGCCAGGTCTCCGCTCCCCGAATTCCATTCCGTTCCATTTCTACCACCTTTCAAACGTAATAACCACTAAAAAAACCATTTCCAAAGACACGTACGCGGTAAGTAATCTCGATGGCTGCGGGCAAGGCAGACTGGTTGGTTGTCTTATTACCGCCGATCACATTTTATTTCGTTCCACAATGTATCGCGTTCCTTTCATCGGAGGGCGGCCTGTTGCGTCCCTTTATCATCAATTAGGGTTATTAAATTATGAGGGTGCGATGTTTACCAGATCGATAGGGTAGTGTCCGAGGGGGCGAAATTTCCGTTTGCGTATACACACATGCGAGAGGTGAAATTTCAGCCGCTTTCGGAAACACAAGAACAAAAGATAATTATTTAGAATGGTGAGAATCGCGCGTTTTTCTCACAGTGTCGCGAACTGGATCGCTAAATTAGCCTCGTTTTTCTTTGTTTTTTTTTCGAGCCGCGGAAAACCGACAACGATGCGGATCTTTGTCGTTACGTCAGGTGTAAATTCCTTGACGGTTTTATCATACTTTAATTAGGCGAGGATGTGTTATTTGTGTTCAGATTCGCAGGAATTGTGTTATTATGGTTGTTTGGATTGGTGTAAACAAGGTGAGAGGCGAGAACGCGGTCACTTTCGTGCCGGTTTGAGGGTGCCATCACCATCAACACTATTATTATTGTTTTGGTAAAAAGTGGATTTTTGCACTTTTCGCTGCACGAACGTGTAGGTGAACACACTGTGCGTCCAAGTTTGATTTTTGACGCTGTTAGAACAATCAGTACTACTATTATTATTATTGTTATAGTAAAAATGACATTTTAGCACTTTTGCCAACCGAATCATAATTGTGGATTCAAAGTGTGTACACAACCACTCATGCTCATGCAAAATTTCATCAAGTTTCGTCATTGTTTAAGGTCCTTATTACCATTAGCATTATTATTATTTGTGTGTGGTCAAGGTGAATTTTCGAAATTTTTTGCGCCAAATTTGCGTACGGGCACCTTTCCCTAGCGATAGTTTACGAGTTGATTCATGCTCTTTCATCGCATACTAATCAAATCAAGACTTCGAAAACCGCTCAGTTCGCTTCCCGAAACCGCACTGACTCATAATTACTTAACAAATTAATGAATAACGAAGAAGTGTCACCTCCTAATCGACGGAAATTCTCGAGATGACTCCAAAGGTCGCGTTGCGACCTCTTCTACACCCGGATTAGCAGCATCTTATTTTCCTACTCTACCTTTGCGCAAACAATTTGCATAAGGATTAAAGCACCGAGACAAAATTAGTCCATTACTCATTCAAATTATTCGATATGACATAATCCCGTCTTAATAGCCGCCAATAAATCATGTGAGCAGATAACACCCGTCAATTCGACAATCACCAATTACCTTTTCGTCTCTTTGTTATCGAACCGTATCACATGTATTAAGGCACACTACGTACACTGAACGCACGCCGCACTTCCACAACAACGTCCCACCTTATCGCCTATTCGAGCAAAACTGAGCGTCGTTTCGTTCCGGAGTTGGGTCGACTCGACACTCCTCGCCGACACGTGATCGGTCGAAAATCGCGGAGCACGCAGGAGGCCTTCGCCAAGGATGACCGCTCTTCGAGCGTCCGCTGATTTTTTGCTAGCGCATCCGGAAGGAAAAGACGTAAATCTAGTCCTACCAGCGCAAACAAGCCGATTCATTACCGTCAACACTATTATTATTTTTTCGACGACTGTGTGTTTCTATGACCCCTCGAAGTATTACACGTGCGAACGAGCTCTCTCCGTCGTGTTTTCGCCGTGTTATCACCGTCACTATTATTATTATTACTTTGGTCGAGTTGCGGTTTTCGTTGTTTTTTCGACAGTGATATTTCTGTTGGGTCTTTGTTAGTCATAATATGCGAAAATCCGCATGTTAAGTTTGATGGATTATGAATAAGAGCAGCGGACAGTCGTTTTATAGTTTTATTAAATAAATAACAAGTGTGTTCTAGAGCGAGTATGATATTATGACCGTTAGGTCCAGATATTGAATATAAAGACTATGTTAACCGCTTGAAGAGTGCTTGAAGAGTGAATGATGAATAGTGAATGAATGATGTTCCCTGTGTTTCAAGGTGGTGGTGGCCCTGGCTCCCACCCTTACGGGTGGAGAGGGGTGAAACAGGTCCCCGCCAGAGGCACTAACATACCCCCCGCCTTGAAACAATTACATTGTTTTAATACCAAATAATAGAATGTTAGAGTGATAACATGATATCATAATGATCAATTGAGAATACATGAGTAAGATTTACTACAATTAACATTGTATAGAATGGATTAACAGTGATTATACAATATGGGCAGTAAACTAAGAATAGCGATTTACAACAAGTTGCCCACATACAATAAGAATGAATGTAATTTATAGGTACTTGGAATACACCTGAAAGAGAGATTTACAACTCTTTATCAGGTACAATACGAGTGGACAAACTTTATTTACAATAGTGTGTATGTAATGAGTTAACAGATAACCAGAACCCGAATTAGTAAATGGAGATGCCGTTTCCGAATTGGCGCACTTTATGATGCAATTTCGACACTGCACAAACACTATGTGAACAAGATCTTCTTTGCCGCGATGCACTTGCACTATTCGTTGTAATCGCCACTGCAACGGGAGCCGGTTGTCCTCTTTGATCGGTAGTACCAGAGCTCCAGTGCCGGGAACGTTTCTTGAGAGGGTTTGCCACCTGGATCTCCCCTGCAGCGTCGTATGATATTCCGCGGACCAGCGCTTCCAAAAATGTTGGCGACAGGATTCACTCAATTGCCAACGGGAAAGGATGTTGACAGGAAAAGTGCCGTGATTCTTTTCTACTGGAGTTGTCAATGGAGGGCCGACAAGACAATGTCCCGGAGTCAGTGCGGCTAAATTAGTAACGTCGCTGGAAAGCGGCGTCACAGGGTGCGAATTCATGACAGCTTTAATCCTGACCAAAAGCGCATACATCATCTCGTACGTTAGATGGTTGTATCCGATAACGCGCTGGATGTGAGTTTTTACGAATTTAATCCACGCTACCCACAAACCACCAACATTGGGCCCACGCGGGGGGATTAAACTCCATTTGGTATTTTCTGGTTTTAGCTTATTCTGAAATTCTTTCCCTAATAGCAATTCGTTTAGCTTGCGCCTAGTACCTACGAAATTTGTGACGTCGTGAGAGTGAAGCCAAACGCACCGGTACATTTTCGATACGTCGCATGTGAGGACATGAATTAACGTAGTTAAAAGTTCGGGTTGAAAAACGGGGCCGGTTAATAAGTTGTCATTTAGGCTTAAATTGTTTGAGCTAAGATTTGAACGGTCAACAACCTCGCAGAGTTTATTGGAAGAAACATGGAGATTTGAAACACAATTGTGTGGCAGGTAAATAGTATTATTTAACGAATTTTCGTTAAGTACCTTCAGGTGTACAAGGTCTAGGTACTTCCTTAGAAAGACAATAAAACCCTCGGTAAGTTTATGATTACGACCCTCTGCGAACAATAACGGTTGGAGAATCCCTTCTCCGGAATTTCTTAATTGAAGTGGATTTTCGAAATAAGGGACTGTGGAACGACCCAACTTTTCCGAAAAGAGGAGTTTAATTACGAAACGACCATCGGGTGTATGGCCGGTGGTATTTTGAAGAGGGGTTGCACAAAGAGAGGTTTTAAAACCTTTGCTTAATAACCTGCTTCCGGTTTTGACGGTTTCAACTTCCAAGGAATGAGAAATGATTTTGCTCAAACTAATCTTGTGATGATGTGAATTTCTTAAATGCCCAAAACTGCCATTAAGAATCAACTCCAGCGCGGTATTTTGAAGCGCCGGTGGATTTTTCATAATATGATTTTGTATTTTAAGTTCGGCATTTTCTGAATGTTTTTTCTTATCAAGAATTGCTACGATTGACGTATCGATGCTATGAATATGTAATTCCAAAGCCTTGCCCAAATTTTCGGTGATGAATTGAGATTGACTCCCGATGTCCAAGAAAACGCGACATTCTTTTACTTTACCTGATTGGCCCATTACGCGAATCAAACCGGTGGATAAAAGTACACTAGACGGAATAGTTAAATTACATTTCGAGGTGTCTTCAGGATTATCGGAATCCTCATCTGGTTTATTTTTTATTTCATTTTTGGGAAGGTTATTGTTTGTTTCTGCGTGCAAAAGCGTGTGGTGCTTCTTATGACATTGTTTACAATGCCTTGATATGTAACAATTTTTCGCGACATGATTACTTCTTAAACAATTGAAGCAACGATTCATTTTCTTTATTTGTTCCACTCTATCGTTGGGCGTTAAACTTAAAAAAGTTGTACAATTGAATATGTTGTGCATTTGGGAACATATAAAACACGGGATTGATTGATTATTGCTTACTTGTACCTTCTTTGTGTTTGATTTTAATGATTTACCCAAATATTTGGTTTTGGATTCACATTGTTTACCGGTATCCAATAATGAGCTACAATCTTTCAAATTATCTGTATGATTTTTTATTGGAACTAACGCGGTGTCTGATTTTGGATTGGATGTGCTATCTATCTTAGTTTGGGACATGCCCACAGAGTTGCAAGAATTATTATCCGGATGATTTTTCGGTTTGCTTGATATTGAATTTGATAATAATTTGTGAGAATTCGGTATTAACTTATGCGTTTCTGAAATAATGACTTTTTTGTTATCGATAGTTTTATAATTAATGAATAGTGCAGGGGTAAACCGCACCTTAACCGGAGCATCGGTAGTCTTATGAAGTTTAATGGGTTCTCCATTTAGCATGTTGTCCACTTTTATGGGTTTTAGATTTTCACAACGTTTTTCGAGATGAGCATTGTTAGTATTTACATTAAACGAATTCGGGAAAGGAAGATGATACAACAAATCGGCTTTTTTGATTAGAGCAGTATATAATTCCGATAGTTCATGGATATAGCTTTGCACGGGTCCGAGATTATAAACTGCGGGTTTGTTAGATTCTTCGCTACTCGTGTCATCTAAAAATACCACGATTTCCGATTTATGTTCAACTATAAGATTTTGTACGTTCGATTGTACCCGTTTCAAATCTTCCAACCTGCATCTTAACTCGCCTATTTTTTGGTGGTTTGTAACTTCCGAGATGAACTCCGCATGTGAATGTATATCATTAACAAGAACGATAAATTTCCAGAGAGATTTGTTATTCGACATCGTCAGTACGAGAATAATGAACTACGCAAAATGGACAAAACTAAAGCCTACCTGAGTTTCTTGATGAATGACCCTCGATGATTTGCACTGCACTCGCGGCCGTTACCGATTTTTGAATACTTGATGATTTAGGTGGAATGTTGAATTCCAAGCGATGATGATTTATCGAACTACACTTATCACTTATCACTGTTACTGATTTACTGTCGCTGATCCGGCTCGAAGGACCATGTTAAGTTTGATGGATTATGAATAAGAGCAGCGGACAGTCGTTTTATAGTTTTATTAAATAAATAACAAGTGTGTTCTAGAGCGAGTATGATATTATGACCGTTAGGTCCAGATATTGAATATAAAGACTATGTTAACCGCTTGAAGAGTGCTTGAAGAGTGAATGATGAATAGTGAATGAATGATGTTCCCTGTGTTTCAAGGTGGTGGTGGCCCTGGCTCCCACCCTTACGGGTGGAGAGGGGTGAAACAGGTCCCCGCCAGAGGCACTAACACCGCAGTTCCGTTGTATTTTAACCACGGTATCACCATTATTAATATTATTATTTTTTGGGTGAGGTTCGTGATTTTGTTTTTCTGGCGACGGGATTGCGCCAACTTGGAATGAGGGGATGCGAATATGTGAAAATCGTCCTGTTTGGCGGCATTCAGGCCGGCTTATTACCACCAGTATTACTATTATTGTTGTCGTTTGATGCGGCTGATTCAGAGTTTGAAATTTCGCCCACATTTATGAACCTTGGACGCCTTTATTATTACAATTAATATTGCTATTCTTATTCGTCTCGTAAAAATAAATTTTCTACGGGCTGCCTCCGATCCACTTGACGTGATCTCGAGCCGCCAAGAAATCCGATACTTGAGGCATTTCGGGACCAGATGGCCCTCTCTCGAAAAAGCTCCACCAACCATGACCCGCCCTTGCCTCATGATTGACGATTTCCTTCGAGATTTCGAACGCCAAGTGGTCATCGACGGTCTATTTTTGGAAAGTTCGATTTTTTGTTCCCACGGCGCTGGTTCGTGACCTCCCCCTTCAAAAAACCGTCTATCTTTGTCTCAAAAATCGCTACATTCCTGGCGGACGAGATTCTTGGCTTAACGTCAAATGTTTCGCATCACACTTTCCTGTTTGTGAATCAACGAATATTCCGCTTCCGGTTTCGGGTGATAACACAATTTTTCTCTTTGATTGTGGAGCGTCCGGTGGTGTTTGATAGTGATAACGGAATTCGGAAAAGTACAATTGATGATTTGTGCGCTTCGCGTACGTCCAATGAGTGATTAAAATCAGTTTGAAATGGCGAAGATGTAAGTGGTGACCTTTAGGGAAATTTATGGGGGCGGCGTTCGTGGTCTGCTGGTTGGATAAATAGGGTGTTTTTTTAGATGGTTGCGAGTGTTTTCAACCTTTGGAAATGTTAAAAAGCGAGGTGTTGATGTGTTCGAGGTTTCTCAACCCTCATAATGTATTCTGAGTGGGTTTGTTAATGTTTTGGTTATGCTCAAGGCGGAGTGTCGGATTTGGTGTTTTATTAGGGTGGAAGGAATGTCGATGGGTTATTTATTCAAGCACAATTTGCCTTTTGGTGTTGGGTAATTTCATTATTGAAGTTTGGGTTTGGAAAAGATATAAAAGGAATCGTGAATGGTTTTTGTGTTGCTTTGAGTATCGATGCGACAGAAGTATGTGTAATCTAGGCAACCAAACATACATTACTTGATTAATCAATCCCGCATGGATTGAGAGATACCATGTTCATTCATATTCATTCTAGTAAGTGAGCACAACATAAGCAATATTTAATCAATTCATCTCCATTAGATCCCTGGTTAAGTTAGTAAATGGTGTGTGATTTACTGAAGACAATGTTTTTGATTTTATCAATTTAATAAAATAAAATGGGAGGATTTTTTTGTTCTTCTTGCTGTCAAAGTTATCAGATAACCCATATCTTTTTAATAGCAACAAAATTTTTATTAGATCATTATTGAAAAGTGGATAACATTTATACATTAAATATATGCAAGTGTTGTCTGAAGTGCTCCAGGATTTTATCAAGTTTCGATCTCTATCTTTCCATTGATCCGAGGTGTAGCTGAGCCTGAAGAAACGTCAAACATTGACATTTTGACCATTAATTGTGGTGAACAGCCTGTCAAAGATAATCCAGGATTGCAATAAGTGAGGTGTGACTGAGCATACATTAATTTGTGTACGTCTACCGACCACTAATAACAAATAACGCGGTTAAATTCAAATATTTTTGCTTTCATCGTGTTATTTGTATAGTGTGGTCTGAGCATTTTTCCTTGGTACGAGTTTTTAAAATTTTAACATTCTTCGGTTTTTGATCAAACGAAAATTTAAAAATCGAAAAATTGAAAAAATCAAAAATTAAAACATTATATTTAAAATTTATAAAATGAAAATCGAGCAACTACAAGTTTAATATGATTTGAAAAATTAAAATAGAAATAAATTGTTTAATTTTTGCATTTCTCGATGTCTCAATTTTTCTATTTCTCCATTTTTAATTTTTCAATTATTAATTTTATAATCTTTCGATTTTTCAGTTTTGCAATTTTGTAATTTTTCGAAAAGATGCTATATCAAGTCGGTTGAAAGAATTTGCAGTTCCTTTTAGATAGATCATAGATCTATATCTCAACTGAATTATTGATTGTCTATTTATGCATACTGCAAAGACTCAAGAAAGTTTTGATTTGTGACAGGCGACGAATAGAAGTCAATTAAAATATAGGTGGTAAAATTCAAAACCAACTGGATCTACGATCTTATACAATCACCTTGTATTAACTTCTGATGAAATATTTATTAACCGCAGAAAGTGATAAAAACTTATCACAATTCTACTTGATTGAATTTTTTTTTCAGCTAAAATATCTTAAAAAAAACGATTTAGACGAGATTACACCAACGAAAGTATGTATGTATTACGCTTATGACATAAAGCGCCGTCTACCGGCAAGAAGTCCTACTACTTTAGAACCCTCTGTCGCAGCGCCTCTACTGTCTACTGTTTACACCCAATCATTTATCATTCCGAAAATCCATATCTATTTTATTTATAATGCTATACCAACAAACTCTCAAAATATTTACTCTCATCGCAAACAAACAAATCTTGTACAAATTCCAAACCACACCAATTTCGTTAGCACAAACAAAAATCCGTGGCAAACAAGCCAAAAATACACACAAAAAAACCGCGACGTTCTCCTCTCTCGACAATTTAATCAAAAGGCCATTACAACATCCTCTCATCAAGCACCCGATTCCCACTTTCCCAATCCATCAATTACTTCCGCACATAAACTTTTACACAAACCACAAATCTCCCGGACTTTCGTCACCACTTTTTCGGCACTTGTGTTACAGGTGGCGCCATTACAAATGCAACTTGTTATTTACATCACGCAATTTCGAAAACTCGTCACATTTCCGGCCCGAAACTAGTCTAAAACTACCATAAATCCTCGCATGAGTGCAGCATAAATCAAACCCGAATTTAATTAAAAAGGAGCGTCTAAAACAGAAGAGCGCTTTATCGGGGAACCCTGACAGGTGCCCTCGTTCGTCAAAAATGTACGTAATGCCGGAAATTAGCCGACAACACGTCATAGTTAAAGCGTTTGTAATTGAAACGAAAATCGCGAGTTTGGAATTCCTCGAGATAACGCGAATTGCTGTCATTATTGTAATTCTCGGAATTCGTACGATCAACAAAGTACTTGACGTTGATTGTGTAGTTGTGATTCAGCTTCTATTCACGATTTTGTTAATTTAGGGGGCACTCGGACGTGGTTGAATACCCTATATGAAGCCATTGTACCTTGTAATTTTCAACCCACGTACTTATTTTCAATGAGCTCAATAATCTAATAATAGGGGTTATGGGGGTAATTACATTATGTATTGACAAGTTATTCCGGGCTTAATTTCCTGCATGAGAAGACGTTCAAAACCTCAACATGATCACTTTAATTGGGTCAGCTCGCGCGATTCTGCTTTAATCCGTTCTGATTGGTTTAAATTACTCGAATGCCATTAAACACCACACTGTACATTTCCGCACTGCTGTTTACAAATAGCAATAAACATGAAGCAAGCGATTGCAACAACAAACGCGAAAATAAACCTGAAAATAAACGTTTAATCGATTTCCCGGAAGATCGTGTTTATGGGTCAACACCGAATGGAATTAGTAGGCGATTATTAGAGGCACAATGGGTGATTATCACCACTGGGTCAATCGTACTCACTTGTATCTGTAAAAGAAGTTCAGTCTTTCGTCTTCGTATGTCAATGAGGATTTTTTGCTGCTCTGGAGACAAGTCTGCAACAAGCGATCCAAAATAGAATCTTTCCAAAACAAAGAGCTTCGCAGAAGCGAAAAAGCGCCGTTTGAATTATAATTGCGGTAATTATAGCCAGTGAATCAGGGTTTATTGCGGGATTTTCTAATTACATGACCATTCCTAATACGGACCTGATATACTGAAGGCTTCCTGCGTGTGTGCAATTGTTCCCATTGCAAAAAGGTCACTATCAGAGCCGGACTAACATAACCACTTTAACTAATAACGCACCGAACATATTTTAAACTAAAAGTAAATACTGCCGAGGAAGGGACAACAAAGCCGCCATTTTGAATCGTCATTCGTCAACGTTTTTGGCAAGTGACAGGTGTGCGCATGCGCAGATTGCGCAATTAACCGAATTGTTTAAATAAATTGGACAAAGCACAAAATCTTGCAACAATTGCACAACCACAGATTATAAATAATACCGGAAAACAAGTCCGTGCTGGTGGCGGTTTTTTATCGCACGTAAATCGTTATCACCTGTCACTGATGCTCATTTGTTTCCGGGATTTCCAGGCTATATACACGGTGGTTCGAAACCACATCTACACGGTGTTCAATAGGGTTATGGTTAAATGAGAAAACCCCTGCTGATGAGCGGATTTATTCAGTACCAACATTAAACAGCTCTAACAAGAATCACTATCACGTGACACCGAGCTGTGTCTTCGAGACGGAATGAAAAAATACTTTGAAATTTAGTTCATGATATGAGTATCACTTTCAGAAGGCGCAGAATTCCTAATTTGGTCACCCTGTAAGTCACATGTTAGCTTGAGGGTACATAAAACTCCTACTCTATAATAAACATTAAAAACTCAACAATAAATAAATAAATAGATCACTAAAATGACTAGAGACGTCTCTTAACAACAACTAAAATTGTGCTATTATTGCTGACTAGAATCAGAGGTACACTTAGCAGAAGGCATTGTGACACTTATATTAAGACTTTGGTCGTTTTTACTGTATAGAACAGACTGCGGTTCCGGTTTTCGAGTCATTGAGAGTCGCTCGCCGCTTCAGCCCCTCCAAGTACACGTCGCGGTGGAACAACCCGGCTTGCAGCGGAATCCTGAAACCTCAATTTAGTACCAAACCGGCCACGCCTCTCACACTCACGTGTCCAATCCCGGCCTGACGTGGGCCTTGAACACGCCCCAGACCGGCTTGTGGTCCGACGTCGTGATGGACGAGACCGAATCGTAGACGAGACACTGAAGGGGAGGAGTCTCGGCTTGTCCGCTGAATCTCCGCCCAGCGCGCTGCTTGTACAAAATCCTGTCGGTGTAGGCGGGCGTTCTTTGCTTAGAGGAGGAATCGAAGTTTTGGGTGCCGGGGTCGTACTGCAACCACGCGTTATTGCTGAATTTGAGAATCAAACACTTACTTTGTAAGTTGGCGGAAACGTGATTTTGGCCTCTGTGAACCCTTTGAATGCGGCGCCGTCTGCGAGGACCGAACAAAGTTGGTCGTGGTGCAAGTAACCGTGTGGGAGGTGCTCGGGGAGGGGGAAGCTGGTTTTCGACAGCCATTCGAGGACTTTGCTTCTGGGCGTGGCGAGTCTGAAGTTGAGGTCGCCCGACCAGAAGACGTAGTCGAAGTTTTGAGTGACATCTATTGGAATAAGTCGTGACAAAGTTGACTTTTAATTTAGGAACTAGATTAATATTAGTTACCTTTGCTTTTGTTTTTGCAAGGTAGCACTTTTGGCAAATCTAAAGAATTAACGATTTTCTTCACATCTGAGACTCTTTCCTTGACCTTCTCCTGATGCGCTGTCAAGTGAGCCGTGACGAATAGAAACGAGGTCCCGAAAAGTAAAAAAGAACATGCGACAGCCCCTTTTGTACGAAAAGCGGTCCCTGGCCTTACTGACAAACTCGCGTCTTCTGGTATCGAAATATACCAAATTAAGTCTCTTCTTACGAAAACTGCCAAGTGTAAAGTACCTACACACAAAATATTAATTTACTAAAATCCAAATTCAAAGACACACCTAAAGATATGGAATGATACAAAATGTGGGAGGGCCCCAGAGTCTCTTGCAAACACACTTCCCATTCAAACCGTTCAGAACAAGATTCCTGAGTACCAAAAACTAAAATATCAGGTACGTGTTCAATGCCTATAGGAAGAACAAAGTCATTTAACTCTCTAAAAAAATACACAGTCAGAAATTGTTAAAAATGGGGACAGTGAGTACTTAGGGGGCATGTGTCCATTCATATTCCACGTCCCAACGAAAATAGTGACTTCTCTATTTGGAAAAACCCTGTCCAATTCCTTAGGACCCAGCAACGAATTGGCCCCAATTTTTCCCTGCAGAAAATTCCTCTGCCGCGCTTGCATGGTCGGAATGAGATATAACACCTGAGCTGCAAAAACGAAAAAGCAAAAGTAGCAAATTTGTACACTGAATTTGGAAATAATGTTATGTTATATACAAATAAAAAAAATAAAATGTCCTATTTACAAACCTTCCTTCATGACGCTTTCGTGCGAGATACTCTTCTCCATCAGCACATTCTCGTCGGGACTCAGACTGGCCTCCGCCACGTTGTTCTCGGAGACGCTCGCACACCGATCCAGCGGCGAACTCACACTCTAAAAAAGCAAACTTTGCTACGATCCCACTCAAAAACTCCGGCTTACTAAAAAATTCGAGCTCTCTTTCTTGGGACTCATATTGGACACATTGAGACTCAGAGGTCGTTTCGAGATCGTCATCGCACGCTTACAGTGGCTCTCATCGCCGTGCTCGGCTCTGTTTTCTCGAGCGCTCTGACTCCGAATCACTGCAACACCGACTTTGTTTGGAATTTTGCTGGGGAGGAGGTACTTGGACAGGGACTTCTTTTGCTTGAATTTGGCGGAACTCTGTTCCATCGTCATTGCTTTCAGTGTTTGTTTGTATTGGCACTTCCCTCATTGCTTGTTTCGTGGAGCCCGCAGCGTGGTGACGCGGCGATAAAGCGACGCATTTCGCGAATTGCGGAGATTAGAAAAGCGACTACGGCGATTTTGGGAGAGATTGTGCGAACGGGCCGATTGTGAGAAAATAAATACTGATTTTGACTACATAACCTAATAAATGTCAGTAATGTCAGCGGAGCTGTTGCGCCACCTGCGCGGGGGCGGCACCAAAGATCGATGAAGGGGGAACAAAAAGCCGCTGCTAACCAAAAGATACACATCTACTCTACATCACTTCTACAACGAAAAAACAAAATTATAAAATTTCTTTGACGGTAAAAAAACAATAAACATTTTAAACAACGTAGGGTTTTCAATTTCTCAACGTTGGTGATGACGTATCAACGAACTTATAAAAATCGTTCCAAAAAAACCATGATCACACTTATTTAACGACACGGAAGCCCCACTATCTCAAACAACTCAAAATCCATTCATTTCCCCCTTTTTTTTTAATTTTCAAAGGAAAAAATTTCCAATCTAGTAACACTCCAGTACTTTACCCCCCTTCAGTTGGCACCGGCAACGCAACCCCAATCAAAACTATAATGGCGTCATTGTAAGCTTCCAAATCAAACATCCGTAAATTGTGATCAAACTAGTGCAGAATGGCGTCTCCCGCCCGCAATTCGCCCAACAACCCCCCCGACAACGTCAAGACCGAGGACAGGGGCGAGGATATTCAGGAGCATTCAAACTTCGAGCAAAACAGACGCGGCGGCGGCCGGGGTAGACGACGCGGCGGTGGGCCCCCGTTCCAGCGCTTCAACAACCCGCGGGGCCGCCGCGGCTTTGGTAGGTCCGGCCCCGGGGGGCCCCCACGCCGTTTAGACGATTCCGGAGGACCCGAGCAGGAGCCTGAAATCCACAAAGAGTCCAGGTTTCAAGACAAACTCATGGACAAACTGTCGCAGATTTCGGGGCCTGCGGTGGATTTACCCCCCTTAGATATAATCGAGAAGAAGTTCTCTGGCAGGAATCGGCTGTACATTGGGAATTTAAGCCCTGATATAACTGAAGCTGACTTGCAAGACTTGTTGGGCAAATGCGGCGAGTTCGCCGAATTGTTCGTAAACAAAGAGAAGAATTTCGCTTTTGTGAAGTTCGATTATTACGCTAGCTGTGAAAGGGCGAAGCGGGAGCTCGACGGACAGGTTCTGAAGGGGAAGAATTTGAAGATTCGGTTTGCGCCAAATAATGCGTCGATTAAAGTGAAGAATTTGGCGAATTTTGTCTCGAATGAACTGCTGAATTACGCTTTCGGGGTATTCGGGGAGGTGTGTAAAACTCTTGCATTTTCGTCTTTATACTATGATCTAATATTTTGACTGCAGTAATACTACTTCGTCTATTCCAGGTGGAGAGAGCCATTGTTTGCGTAGACGAAAGGGGCAAACCCACAGGCGAAGGCATAGTCGAGTTCGCCCGAAAAGGCTATGCCCTCCACGCCATTCGCAAATGTACAGAACGTTGCTTCTTTTTAACTGAATCTCTGCGTCCGGTCGTCGTGGAACCCTACGAATACACGAATGACACTGACGGTTTTCCTGAAAAATACCTCCCCAAGCGGAACCCCGAGTATTTGAAAGCCCGCAGCAAGGGGCCCCGTTTGGCCGAAATGAGCTCCTTCGAGCATGAATACGGTTTACGCTGGAAGCAACTCCTGGATCTGTTTGCACAGAAAGAAGAAGGTTTGAAAAAAGAGCTCCAGATGGAAATGGAGAAACTTGAAGCTCAAATGGAGTATGCTCGCTACGAGCACGAAACGGAGATGCTCCGGGAGGAATTGCGGGCCCGCGAGTTGGACAGAGAGCGCCAGAAGCAAGAATGGGAGATGAAAGAGAGACAAGTGGAGGAGCAGAGACGCCGCAACGAGGAACAAATTCGGAGACAGGAGGAGTCTCTGCAAGCGCGTATGATTCACCATGACGAAGAAATGAGACGGAGACAACAAGAGAACAATTTGTTTATGCAGGCGCACCAACTGCATAACATCTTGGATGAACAGGAACAAGCGTTCCAGAAGCCAGAGAGATTCGAGTCGGGGATGGACGGTCGGGACGGGTACGGGGATACGAAGGATGAGGACGGCAACATGGGGCAACCGAGTAACTCGTTCAGAAGGGACAGATGGATCACTGATCGTCGTGACGACTTTATGCCGAAGAGGCGCAGATTCTAATTAAGTTTCAAATGCACTTATGTATGTGTAAATTGGTTCTTTTTTTCTATGATGTTCTTTAATGTGGATGTGTTGTAGATTGATTCACTATCAATAAAAGATTTATAGTTTAACAAACCAGGTTCAAAATTAATGTTAGTTCGAGTGTAACCGCAAGATGGCGTCCCATTAACTACTTGCGCGTATTTACACAGAAAAATATTTTGGGTGAAGAAGCGGTTTATTGAGTGCGTTTAGAAGCGTTGTACTTACAAAATAGCCCCAAGTGTGTTAGTAGTTTGATAAAAGGGAACGGATTGATCGAAAGTCAGTGACATTGCCTTGACAGTTACGTCACCAGCTAGTGATTTTTGTGTCAGTGGGTGGTAACCTTGCGCGTCGGAACGCCTTTTGTGGGGGCTGTCGGCTGGTGGGCGGTGCATCACGATTTTTTACCTCGTTTCGTTTTAAACACATTTATGTTGATATTAAGTTGCACAGAAGGAACAGACAAGTCGATTATTTTGTTTTGAAAAACATGGCGGGGTATAAGAAACTAGTTCATGACCAAGGAAAGCAAAAAGAGACTGCTATTTATGTGAATAGCACGGTGCCGAAAAATCGGTAAGTGTTTGAATATAATCCGTCGGTAAGGAAGTCTTAATTGAAACGGAGTGGACATGGTCTTCTCAACGTTATGACTTCAGTGACCATTTCTCTTTTTTTTTTATTTATTTATAGTTTGCCGGGGTACTTATAGAGAATAACGTATAAAATTGCTTTTTTTTTTCATTTTTGGATACTCGTAAACAGGAGCTTTTGTTTGGTTAAGGTGTATTCACATAATTGTTGCCTGAGTCAGATGTTATTTACATGGAATCTCCAAATGAGTGATGATTTCAATATTATTTGCATACAGGTTGTTTCGTCTTAACGGTTCGGTAAAAATTATGTAATTGTCAAAAAATAAATTTATAAAGGGGGTAGTCGCATGTAAAAATGTCTGGAGTTATTTGTGTCACACATCCCACACCCCTTTTATTCACATTGTCATATTGATTGTACAAACAAGTTTTTATCAAGTATTATTACCCCTATAATTGAGAACACATTCTGTTTCCATGATCTATTTTGTTTCGTTTCTTTACGTAATTTCTCTCCCTTTAGAAGACAATTTCATTTTTGTTAAAATTTGAATGAAATCGAATAATAGGTAATAGTAAAATAAGAGTACATGTTTACGACAAGATTGGTTTAAGAACTTAAGAGGACTAGCGTTATCGACTTTTCAGTGAATATAGCTGTATTAATTTCAAGATATAGAGCTTAACGCTCACTGCCTAAATTAAGGAAAATTTCCAACTGCACAATCGCAATAATCCCCCTTGTGTCCTCAATACTACTTCTACCTACCCCCCCTCCTCCCACATTAAATGATTTTGTCGATTTTGTGAGAATACCTACACCATTAATAATAAATAAATAATAGCAAAACGCAAATATATTGTAAAAACAAAAATCTAAAACAGGCATTATACCGACACTATTAATACATACATATATCACTATTTAAAGGTACATCACAAAAGTTTGTGTGTTGTCTTCCCAAAACAGAAGACTAAAATAATTAATTAAGCCACAATCGAACAAAATGTTCTGAATTTTATTATTATAATTCTTATTTTGTCATTATTACTTTACATTTTTCATAATTACTTGCGTATTCTCATATTTTTGAGAAAATGTGGTGACACGTTCTTAATTGGATCAATAAAAAAAATTGTGATGACGCCAATAACGTAAATAATACTTGTCATAGCACAAAAGAAAATTAGTCACAGCGCATTACCAATGCAAGAAAAAATTCAAAGTGATAACAGCTGTGACGGCAGTACGACTCCGCAATTACGACTGATAAATTTTTGTTGTGCACTTTTTCGAAATCACTGAGACAAGTGTTATTGTTAAGTAGGTACGTGACAGAGCGAAAATAGCACATCTGGGGTTTCTTGAGGTCCCAACTTGACAAACAAAATCATAAAAATTCCTCGATTCTTTTCGGTGAAGGGATGAACCGGCGTCAGTAGTGGTAGCTTACGCTCGGGAAGTACAAAGTAAAAATATTAATAATGTGAAAAAATTGCTGCACAAATTGCAATTTCCAGCTACACAAATGCATTTTTGAACTGCGCAAAATGTGTAGAAGTGCACATTAATTTAGGCCCTGTTAACGCTTATCACAACGTGATTGTTTTATTAGAACTTCAAACCTTGTCTAACGGTTCCAGGGAAAATCGATATCATAAATCGGCCTTCATATTTTCGTAATACTTATTGCGAACAGTTTTAAAGTTTATTGAATTACAAACAAGGGATGCATTTTTACATTTAAAGTTGTTCTGAGATGACGCCATCAACTCTGTATGGAGGGGATAAGTGCATAAATTGTAAAGTTTTGTTGTCACTAAAAATTTAGTCACGACTAGTAAAAAAGTTTTGAGAAACGACGTTAATTAAAAGCGTTTTTTTAAGTTTGTAAAGGTTGCCACTTTAATAAAAAATTGTTACATTTGACATTAAGTTGGAAGGTTAAATCGATAGGCTCAGTGTAGGAGTGCAGAATACACAGAAACAGCTTGAAATAACAGAAAATCTAAAATATAACGTGGCCAATATTTCAAATGTACTCATAACTTGAGCGACGTTGTAGACGTTAATTATTTGTTACATAAATATTATTGGCCATTTATTTTTGGTGCTTTAACTTAAAACTAGACAAAAAAGTGCATTTCTACTCCCCAAGCGTAAGCTAATGAATCACTGTAATAGGGTCCATCCAAGAATGGCTACTTTCGTGTTTGCTCGACGTTTCATGACGTAATCTGAAAAACTTACAATAGCAAAATAAATGTTATTTAAATTTTATAAAATAGAATCTTCTGTACTTGTGACCTATGAAATTCGTATTGAGTTTTTGCCCTCAACATCCAGATTTTTAACATTATGTTACAATTTTATAATTTCGACTGATCTTTTATTTAAAGCTTTCATCAAGTTGCGAGTCCAAAGTAATTATGACTGTGAACATTTGAGGTGTTAATTACCGATAATCACACAATAACACTATAAATTCCCCCTACAAGCAGTCTTGACCCACATTATAAAAATTTAGAATTGTCGCTAAATTGCCAAATCCTTCAGCACAGTGGTTAGCTAATGATAGCTTGCGTAGTTGGACATTCAGTGACCTCAATATTATTTTTTTACTATAAATTTAAAAGCTCACAAGAAAAAACATTTTTAAATGTGATTTCCGTAGTTTAAATGTTATTCCAATTTTTTTCCCAAATTTATTAACGCCAAAGTAGTGTTTCCACACGTGGTCAGATACATTGTCAGTTCAATTAACATATCCTCAATTTTCCACTATCATACTTTTGTTTACCTCAATGTTCCGCTTGATGCGATATCCAAATTACCGTCTTATTACAGACCTACTACCTATTGTTTAATGCGAAAACATAAAATTACTGTGTACTTGGGCGACTCTTATTTAGCATGCATTATTATTTATTAAGCAAGGTACTATTTACAATTTTTATTACTTGCTGCGCTCATGTCCAATGGATAACGATTTTATTAATTTTTCTTATCGGAGTGCTTTTTGGTATTCAGCCTTGACTGTCGTCCATTGTTGTATTCAGCAACATTAGCATCGACAAAGTTCGTTTCACGATTTCCCTAGAACTAACCGTCGTTACCGAGTCCAATTCCGCATTTACCATTCACCTTTAGGACCAAATCGAGATTGCTTTTTGCATGATTTATCATGCGCGACGTTTAATCACTACACCATTGTACGAAAACAAAAAATCTCGTGTTTCTTTAATATAGCCATTAATACAAACTCGCTTAAGATCAAACAATCCATCTTCATTCGTTCCGACGCAGTCGTTTGCTCGAAATGAATTTTTCAGAAAACTCCCAATTTATTTTTTCGTCGAGATAATCACTCTCGTTTGATTGTGTAATGTCAAATCAAAAGTTGGGCGTATTAAATTGAGTCGGGAAAAAATTTAATAGGCTTTTTTCGGACGATAATTGCCGACGGGGGACTTTTTCCGTACGGATTTTGACGCCATATAAAATCTTTCGACGCTCGTAAAACGTACAACTCGGGCCGTAAAACAATATAGCTGGGATGACACTTTTATGGGGGGTTGTCGAAGCGACAGACGCGCAATTAGCGAAGCGGAGGGTAACGTAAGCAACCAGCAGCGCGTTCTATTCGATGTGAAATAATTATCACAGTACAGTTGTCATTCGGTCGCTTTGAAAAGTCGGGCATCAGGATTTTTTTTATTTATTTGCGTAACGGTGAGTGCGTCAGTTTTCGGCGTAACATTAATAATAAAAAAGTTATGAACCTATGTAAATATATAAAAAGTAGGGGACTATACTTAGGTACCGTTTTTTTAGATTGGAGGTGTTAAAATGGAACGGCTGGGGCTACAAAGACTCCAAATTTATCTACGACGCGGAAAAGAAAGAAGTACGCTTTACCGGACGCAGGTTGTACGGTCACGAGTCTTATCATTTCACTGAACTCTGTCTTAGATACCCCATAGGCGAGGTCCAGCTCCCGCTCCTCGTCGGCTGGGTGACAGAGAACTTCGACGCCGACTTCTCCGTCTCGAAGCCGTCCCAGCAAATCCCTCCTGAAGACACATTCCCTAAGCCCCGGATATCCGACGAGAACCTCACAAAAATCGCAAATCTGGGCATTAGTTATTCGACGAAGGGCGTCGAAAGGTTGGTAAGTACGGAAAAGGCAAAAGCTGGGGGTTAAAGAGTGAAATCGTCTCGTATTAGGTGAGGGCACACGGCCAGACCCTCCACAGCATTTACACCCTTAGGTACTCGTCGTTCGAACGCATCCCCGACGTTGTTTTATGGCCCACTTGCCACGATGACGTCATAAAGTTGGTTCGACTCGCCGACGACAACAACATGGTTATTATACCGTTTGGCGGCGGCACAGCCGTGTCGTCGGCCGTCGACTGCCCCATTATGGAGCACCGAACGATCATTTCCCTGGATACGTCCCAGATGAACAGGATTTTGTGGGTTGACAGGGAGAATCTGGTGGCGTGTTGCGAGAGCGGGATCATCGGACAGGATCTGGAACGGGAACTGAGAAAGCTGGGGTTCACGTCGGGTCACGAGCCCGACAGCTACGAGTTTTCGAGCTTGGGGGGCTGGGTGGCCACTAGAGCGTCAGGTAGAGGCTTCTACACCGAGAATTAAAAAATCATAATCACAGTATTTGCCAGGAATGAAGAAAAACACCTACGGGAACATCGAGGACCTCCTCGTTCACGTCAAAATGGTAACCCCGAAGGGTGTTCTTGAAAAAAATTGTCAAGTTCCGCGTCTCAGCTCCGGGCCGGATTTCAACCACGTCGTTATGGGCTCCGAGGGATCCTTGGGCGTCATCACCGAGGTCGTGATCAAGATCCGACCATTGCCCGCGTGCCAAAAGTTCGGTTCTATAGTTTTCCCTGATTTCGAGTCGGGGTTGCGGTGTATGAGGGAAGTGGCAAAGCAGAGGTGCCAACCTTCTTCGATCCGCTTGATGGACAACGGACAGTTTGCTCTGGGGATGCTCCTCAAACCGGGTTCGAGTTACTTCGGGTTGATTCTCGACGGATTGAAAAAGTTCTACGTGACGAAGATCAGAGGATTCGATGTGAAGAAGATGTGCGTGATGACGTTGTTGTTTGAAGGGGACGAGGCGGACATTAAGGTCCAAGAAAAGAAGATTTATGCGATCGGGGCCACGTTCGGGGGGATGCCGGCCGGCCAGACCAACGGGGAAAGGGGGTACATGTTGACCTTCGTCATCGCGTATATTAGGGTAAGAAGTGTATTTTGTTTCCAAAATGTTCCTCCTTGTTCTCCGGAATCCTAAGAAACTTTGCGGACTTGCGCAGCACCCGGATGTGTTCCTTTGTGTCTTGTTCCCAAATGTTCGTCCTTGTTCTCCGGAATCCTAAGATTATCTTCCAGTTTACCGGCACTTTTTGTGTTAATCTCAAGCAATTCTGGGTCGGGTGTCCGGCCTGGCATTGTTTGGGCTTGCAAGATGGTGGTGATTGTTGCAGGACCTCGCCCTGGAGTACGAAATAGTGGCGGAGTCTTTCGAAACTTCGGTGCCTTGGGACCGCGCCCTCGTCCTTTGTAACAACGTGAAACAATGCGTGGCTCACGAATGCAAGTCCTTGGGAATCGACTACTTCATGATCAATTGTAGAGTGACGCAGACTTACGACGCCGGTTGCGTCATATATTTCTACTTGGCTTTTAATTACCGCGACGTGGAGGATCCCGTCGAGGTTCACCACCTCATCGAGTCCAAGGCCCGGGACGAGATAGTAGCTTGCGGGGGCAGCATTTCGCACCATCACGGGGTGGGTAAAATCCGGAAAAAGTGGTATCCGGATACGGTGTCGCGAGTGGGGGTTGATCTTTTCCTAGCAACTAAGAAGGAGTTAGACCCGAACAATGTGTTCGGGGTAGGTAATTTAGTTCAAGCTAAGTTGTGATCGTTTTGTTACCGTGTGTTGTAAACATCACAGTTTTCTAAGCAGAAGCACCGTGCCATCGCCCGTCATTAGTTACCACAAGTACTTCTACTTAGACACTTACTCTGTGATAGTGTGGCATTAATCTTAACCAAAAATTTTTCATTCTAATAAATGTCTGAATTCGCCGAGTGTTTGCTTTCCGATCCCTTTGATCCAACAACAGCACGACATCGCCGGAAGCTTTCTGTCGTTATCAGTTTGCTGCTTCACTTCACTATCCAAGATTTCGCCAGAACTGACAGCAATACTCTTCTCCTGTCATTTTCACGTAACGAGGGTTCGTTATTTATTTTTTCCCCCCCCCCCGAACACTAAGAAATTTCGTGCTTGATTTATCATGGCGCGAAAAGGAAGCTCCAAACATGCTCCCATTAATTTGTCTTGTCTCGCGTCATTAATTAAGCTCGAGAGGGGCGTAATCAAATGTTTTATCGGTTTGCATCTTCTGCTCAGACGTCTAGACGCCGTAAACTCAGCGGCTAAGCCTTTTTGCGCGCCCATATTCCACTCGGCTTCGGGGGAATTTTAAAGGTGGCTGTTCATCGCTCGGGTGCGAGTCGATGACCCGCTGTTCAGGTTTTTGCCGAAAGAAGGGAAAAAGGGGTTCATTGATTCGGATATTCCGTGTGGCGGAGAGCAGTCGTATATTGTCTTTTTTGGCGGCGTTGTTTTTGCGCTCGGAAGGAGTATTCCCGGCACGTCTTGACGTGACGAGGGCATAATGAGTAGTGATTGTCGGCGGGACGTTTTATTTGTTGGCGTAAGTTCGAGGTGCGAAAAATTAAAGGCAAGGAGCTTACATCATCTAGACGTTGTATGTTTACTTTGGGTCCGCCGTAAAATTTTATTATCGTCAATTTTCTTTTACTACTGTCGTAACTTTACTTTATTTCCAACATACTGATTGTAGCGATTCCTCGGCATATTTTGCAGTATTCTGGAAACTTAAAAGGAGAAGGGGTGATTCCGTGACGGCGTAATAATGTTTGGATTTCGATTACGGTTACTCAGACCTGAGACTCATTTTTAACCAAAGAGAAATTACAGACGAAAACTTACGTAAATAGAACCAGTCAATTAAATACTATTCCCCTAGTATTTATCGTTGTCAAACAAAGTGGATTTTTTCAGGGTACTTTGAATTAAAGTGGCGTTTACTGACCTTTGTATGTAAAAAGTGAATAAAAGAAGTTTAGATACCACGAAAGCTAATTGCGAATAATCTTGAGAAGATGCTTCGATTAAAACTATTTTCGAAAAATTTTTGGTCTGAATTAAGTCGGTTAGGCAGAAAATTATTTCTTCCACGTTGTTTTTGAAGATTTATCGAGCTTTGGAGCCACTTAACGTGTCGTGTAAAGGCTGATAAATTTCATTATTCGTAATGGAAGAAAGGTCAGAGACCTCTTGACAACTGCAGTAAGTCAGTAATTTTGAAGAAGTATCCTACAATGATTTCATCGTTTATTTTACGTCACACACACCTCATGAATTATCTAATCCCTCTAATAGCTTCTGTAGCGACTTTCCTAAACTGAAAGCCACTGGATTCGGGGTATTTTCTGAATTGGCAACTAATACGTGAGCAAGAAAAGACCAATACTTGCTATACTTCAAGAGACGGAATGGAAAATCGTCCATGTACGATTTCCAACGATTTACTAAATAACCTAATAGATATTTTTCTAGAAACTTTAAACCTAAATTAAAACCTAGTCTCTTCTCTCTTAGACACAGTTCCTAATACGGTTTCCGTCAAGTTTAAGCCTACCAACATTTCTTTAAAAATTTTTTTTTGTCAAAACGTACCTTAATTTTCATCACATATCTATCATTTTCAGTAATGTAAAGAGATCTTCTTCGATCCACAAGTTTGAAGCGGTTATAATAGAAACAAAAGTGTAATATACTCGACGAACTTAACATCATGTGAACGTGTTATCAAACACAATGTTTAGACGTTTAGAAATGAAGCTTACGATGTCCAAAATTTTCGAAAAGCTGATCTGAAGACTAATGCAAGAGTTTTAATCGTAAACAAATGCACATTTAAAAATTCTGATTTAATCACACCTGATTTGACTTGACATGTCACGATGTTTTTCCTTGGTCTAGCCGGATCTGACCTGATCTAACCTGCCCTGGTCTTTTCTAGCATACCCTGCCTGGTTTGACTTGATTTGAACTGATTTGATCTCAGCTGCCTTAATTCGCCTTGATCTGATTTTCCGCAGTGATCCAACTCGACTTGGCCTAACGGGACCTGACTTGATTTGACATTGCCCGGTCTGAGTTGACTTGATTTTCCCTGATCTAGCCTGATCTGATTTGACCCAATCCAACCTGACCTAACCTGTAGCCTCATTTGATCTGACCTAACCTGACTTGATCTGACCTGATTTAATCTTCAGCAGTGAACCCTGTCCTTTTTCCACCAGAAAAAAAACGTGTAAATTAAAATTCAATAAAAAAATTTTATATCTAATTTACGACAACATCCTGATACAGACTTACTAAATTAATAACATACTTTACAAAATTAACTAAATAAAGGTCACAAGCTTTTTTTAAAAATAAAACTGGCTCGAATTGGCGAGGCTTTAGATCAAATCTTTTTAGAGCAATCGTTATGGAAAGGATAACGTGGAAGGAAAGGAAACTGAGGTAGTGATGGTTTATTGGACCGGATGGGATTTGTTGTTTTATAGGAAGCAATAAGAGGGGGTTATTTAGATGCGAATATCCGGCCATGTGTTGCATGCGGACGAAGTTTGGAACTAATAAGGAAAGCAAGATTTGTAGGAATATGTTTCGATATTTCGAATTCGAAAGTGACAGTCGCTGAATTGGGACGATCTACTTAGTTGGCAAAGTTATATTGAATATTAAACTGGCACATCCGCGTTCAACCGTCTTTATTCCGAAAATTGCCTGTTAAACCAAAAATCTGTATTTACAGATATGAATGCATAATTGAAGGAGAAATATAAAAATAAAAATTTAAACTTTTAAAGTGCAATAACACAATGTACAATCTCATATTCAAATAACAGTGTAGTTGAAATTCAAATTTCTTCACAAGGAGGGTAGATAAAGAGCGTATATTCCCCCAGTTGCCGAACTTATGCATGTTTACAAAAATAAATTATTCATCCTCCTTCGCCGCCAGAATTAACCCCTCTCCGCGTTCGCGTGTCAAGTGTTGAATCCCCAAATACCTGATCCTCTTATACGGCCTCTTATCATCTCAGAAATATTCCCCAAATAGACTACCCCGCACTTCATCACCCCTCCTTCGCGTCCCGCCCCCGCGCCGAAGAAGTCATAACTCTCCCTCCCTAGCCGCCCTGTTATAATTACTCCCCAACAATCTGCCCCCGCCGCATTGTTGGAATAGCCTCAATAACGTTGTTTCCTTAAATTTCCGGCAATAAATCAGGCCGCTGGACTCCATCCAGCACCTCCGATTAATCGGCGCGTTGAACGCGGCTTTAGCGCCCTAAAGTCCCCCCATCCATCACGAAAAATCGCCCCGGTTCCCCAAAAATGGAAAATTCCTCCGCCGCGACACCCTCCCAAGAATCCGCTTTCGCACCTGTAGCCCTCCCGGCAAATAGCGCCGCATTCCGCCCCTCCCATCCGTTTTCCCGTCACGTTCGCCCCGTAAACAAGCCGTTAGCCCAAGTGTCGCTCGAAATTCTTCCAATCGCGCCCAATTACAAAATCACGCTATCGCTCCACCCCGAATCCATCGATGTTTACTGTTAAAATATGTGGACGATGATAGCGCACGTCCATTCGCAGCCATATTGATTTTAAGCAAGAAGGTTTCGCGGGCGGTAATAATAACAAAGTAAGTAATGTCACACTTTCTGCACGCGTTACAATTAATAAAAAACTAAGAAATTCAATTAAAAAAAAAATGTGACGCTCATTTTTATAAGTTAAAAACAAAGCGGAGTCAAAATGAAACCTTTAGCGACACCGTGCCACCACTGACCGTTCAAAAATGATAGAGATATAGTCCACTTATTATTAGTCGTGTCTGTGGCACGAAATCACGCCGCCACACGACGCTAATTGTGCATATTAGCGCGTTTGGGAGCCGCGGAAACCTGCACTGGGGCTAATCTGCGCGGTTTCATTAGTGGGCGCATCCGGCTCGAAGGACCAGGAGGCGGCGCTGGGGCGAGGGGCTCATTTCCGACGAATGGGCCGTAAAATTTTAAGTCGCTGCTTGGCCGGAATTTATGGGGACGCCTGGGGCGAGTGGTAAACAGCGATCGGAGTAATCCTTAATGCACACTGTCTTCTCGACGAGAACATAGCGCGGATCCCACATGGTATTAAACTTTCAATAAGCGGCGAGAACTGTATTCGCCTTGCACGATTTATGGAAATGGGCCCGTGGCGGAGGCGGCAGCGGGGGCAGCTGAGCAACCGATGTTCGAAAAATTCGGAGAAACGAGAGACACCTACACGGGTTTGGGTATCGATTTCTGTAAATGAGATGGAGAATTTTGGCGGCGGTTGGAGAGTTTAGTTTAATTTTTCAGGGGTATACCCCCTCGCTGGACAATTTGTTATAATATTAATAATAATCATCAGTACCTAATAGTGTCTCAAATTCTTTTTCAAAAGCTCAATCTTTTTTCGATCACTTTCAAAAGTTGCGTATATGTTTTTTATGGAGTTAGATCTCCATAAGTTACTGTCGAGATCTAAATTGGACAATTTTTTGGAAATTTTCAGACTTCTTCAAAAACTAAATTTTTCATTTTTTTTTTAAATTCGGAAATGTTAGACATTTTCTTGTAGATTTCGACGTTCTGAAGTTACTTTCGGCCTCATTTCTTTGATATCTTCTACAATTTTTCCAGAAATGCGCCAATTTTTAGGTTTTTTGAAAATATTGAATTTCAAACCAGATATTTCAAAAATTTTGCTCCGGGACTATAAACACGCTGTATTTTTCGAATCAGCATGTCGAGATCTACTCGTACTTCCCAGAATTTTCTGGAATTGTTGGGAGACTTTTTCAAAAACTCAATTTTTCAATACCTTCCTCTTATGAAAATTTCGACCGTTTTTTGAGTATTGTGAAACTTAGTTAGACATTTTCTTGTTGATTTCGCCCTCTTAAATTTATTTTAGGCCTTATTTTTCCTATAACTCCTGTCGTTTTTCTAAAATCGCGAATTGAATCGTGCCAATTCTTTGGATTTTTTGAAAAGAATCGAACTTAAAACGGATATTTCTAAAATCTTTCTCCGGGACTACATATAAATACGCTCTATCTTTCAATACTCCTCTTTCATGAAAATTTCGACTTTACTTCCATCAAAATTACAGCGCTCCACGATCGAGCAAGTTTTTTTTTCATTTTGTGCTTAAACATTTTTTCCAACAAAGTCAGTGTCAAAATTTTCTAAGCTCTTGTAAATACAGGTTTTAGTTAATACTTGTTACAATGAGTTTCACGACTGCATTTTATCATCTCAATGAATATTGTCTAGATTGCTCTCAATCTGACAATTTAGAGCACCTTAAAATAGTTAATTTTCAATAAGTAATTGAACAAGGGCTGGCCGGCTGCCACATGCCATCATCATCACGTGATCGTATTGCGGTGGTCAGGGTCGCATGAGATAACCTGAATAAATCGCAAGAGTCAAACAATCTTGCCCGAGAAACTTATTGTTGAAAAATATATAATAATGCTTTGTGTAACCTTTGACTTTAACGTCTAAATTTTGTTTTTATGTTACTTCTTTTTGCACCCAGTTTTTTTCATTATTATATTTTTCCATAAAATTCGAAATGTTTCGAGCAAAGAAATTTTCAACTTTAAAACATATAATAAAAAGCTCGGGTTTCCACTAAAAATAAATCTCGAGGTCATAACACTAGCGCCTCGATCGAAGAATTTGTAGTCCACGTTTTTGTTGGATTTCACTCTTAAATTTTTTGTCGAATGTGTTCCAGACTTCGTGGACTCTATGAATTCGAGGAGAATGTATAAATGGTGGATGCGCCGGTCTAGAATTAGACGAATTCTTCGTTTTTTGCGGCATTTTCGAGTTGAAAATAGCGTTTCTACGAGGAGATTTGTCGCACTTGTTCAATTTCTCGTTCGTCGTTTTTAATAAAAGCTCGTCTGTTCCCTGCGTGTCGTTGCCCGTTAGGCCGTCATCCTCCCATCGTTATCCATAAGAAATATTCGTCAAAAAGTTGTCGAAAGTTTAGCAGCCGCAGAGTCGAGCTCCGGAATTGAGTTTGCACAAGAGTCCGGAGTGGGCGCTGCGCAAGCGCGGGCTGCAGAATCCTGTATCCGGGGGCATCTCCCGGAGTTTACTCCGGGGTGTCAGTGCGCGTGGACTCTTCTCAAATATCGACATATTGGTGCTACTAATTTAAATAAAACTTACTATAAATAGGTCAAACATAACGATTGTATAATAAAAGAGCGACTATTATTAATAGAGAGGAAAAACTGAATTATTTATATAAATGAAGAAATAAATAAATATTTAAAAATAGAGTTAATAACAGAGATAAACGCTGTTGCGAGTCACGTTAAAGCGGCACGACTGTCGCGCTTTATTAAATAAAATTTATCACTTGGTTAATTGCTGCCGAGGGCACTGAGAGAATTTATTTGTCCGTTAACAAAGTACAATTGTGCATATTGAAGATTACGTAAGTTGATGTTTGTCCATTAGTCCGCTTCCATAGAGATTTTATTTTTTCTCGATTCTTTGCGAATTTGACGAAATCGCGGGGCCAAACTAGATTTCCGTAAATATTCTAAATCGAGATAGTGAGATGTGGTAGCTATGACGAGTACAGTAGGATTTTTCTATGTGTTTAGCCACAAAAAAATTTAAAAAAGGTAAGACCAGCACTTACAGCAATCACGTAAATGCGAATCCGCTTGTGCATCTTTCCCCGATCGTAATCTTGTTTTTCTCTTCTTCTCTTAATCCCTGCCATGAATGGGCCGCATACATAATTAATCGCAGTGAAACGCGATCAAATTTTATTTCGTTTATTTCGCAGAGGCGCCCTCCCTTCACACACTTGTTAGCAAATTGCGTTATTGAATACCCCATAAACGTAATTATAATTTAATACACTTTGAAATTGCTTGATGGAATTTCATCGGCAAATATCCCTAGATAAATCTGGTGGCAACACTCGATTTGATGGAAAATTGACACTAATTTCGCCGCCGAAACTTTCCATTGTTCGGTGTCAAGTTTCATATTTTTCCGATAATTAGTTCGAGTCGGCGTTCCGTTTGCGAAGAGTCGGTACCGCAGCACGCGAATTAATTGCGGAACACCTGCATAATGAAATTAAAATAAATGCTTCCGACGTTGCCTATTCAATTTTCTCGTGTTTTCATTAACTCTTTCATTTGGGGACGTTGGCTGCAGGAGCAGGGAGACTGTTTATGTTGTAGGGTGGATTGTTTGTTTAAATTATGGTTTTGTAGGAATTCGGCTGGGTTTTCCTATTACGTTCTTGATTGTTTCGCGTATTCTCTGCTTTGAAACATAAATTAAGACTCCAGAATTTTACAAAAGTTTTACTCAACTCAAAAATTATCTCGTCGTGCCCCAACCGACTTTTTACAACTCATTTAGAACAACCTGAGAAATTATTTCAGGTCAGGTCAGGTCAATAATTATTTCAGGTTATACCGGCCTTTGTGAGTAAAATAATAATTGACCAAAGTTATGTTATTATTATTTTTTAATTATTGAAGGTCTACTTATTTTTTAATAAATTTTCGCATTATTATTCGCTATCTAAGAATTCAAAATTTGTTTAAAATAAAAATCTTTTTATGGTGGAATTTGTAATACATAAAAATGCCTCTCAGAAAAAAAAATAGTTTTGATGTGTACTATGTACTTTATAAAATAAATAATTACTTTACGTTGATTTAATTGATTACACTTTAGACAGTTTAGATTTTTTTTTATAAAACAAGAAGAACAAAAGTAGTTACAATTTTTCAGATAAAACAATCTCAGTATGAAAATTAATCGAAATAGTAGAATTAATTATTGCTCACTCTAATGTGCGTAAGAAATCATTTATCTCTCGAGCTTGAATAAATATTCAAATGCGTGGCGAAGTTGGACGTTGCAAATAATTCTGAGAAAAATATTAACTCTAAAATCGAATTATGAGTGGCACAAAAAGTATTTCTCTTTTAAAAATGATATAAACAATTTGTTAATAAATATTTTGTTGCGAGGCGAAGCCGACGTTTGCAATAGATCCACCCCGAGGGTTATAAATTGTTAATAGTTTTGGTGAATGATGAATTTTATAGAAAGTGAGACAATTTTAGTATATCTCTTAATAAAAAGAACATGTTTAACATATAGCGTTGATGAAAAATATGACCTGAGGTCAATACGTAAAAAGAGATATAGTTAACATAACATCAGACGAAATTTCTTTACTTTGGAATTTATTTGTTAAGTAAAATATCGCGAAATAAATGTGTAAAATTCAGTACATGTATAAAACATAAAAAATATCACATGCGCTTTCGCGACGTTTTCTTATATCAAAAAAACAAGGCCAATTTGATGACTTTTTTAAATTACAGCAGTTATCTGTCTTAAAAAAAACAAATATGTCAACATCAAACCCATGTCAAATGTATTAAGAATATCACATCCCTGCAAAAAGTTTAAAATGTTTATCGAAAACTCGTAATTTTTTATGTGTTTGCATCGTCTCGGATCTCCTTGTAGCGCTCGACTTCGCCCCGCACTTACTTGCGACGCTCGGTTTCGCCTCGGATTTATTCGCGAACTTCTGAACTGTCACATTATCTCGATCTATGAAATATATGGCTTGTCCAATTTGAGAAGTGCAACTTTAGTGTGTAACACACTGCATAATGGAAATAATGTTAACCTGTTAACCTAAATGTCACTCAGAAAGATATCCTTTTAAAGTAATGAAAATAGAGGCTGGATTCTGTCGATGCGAGGCGAAGCCGAGCGTTGGAAATAGATCCCAGCCTCCTAATTTATTAACAGTCATCGTTCTGAGCCTGTCTTAAAAATTCCCGAATAAAGAAATTATTCATGGACGTACTTGCCGTCAACTTTGGCAATTTAAGCGAGCGAATGGCTAGTGCAAATAATCACTTCAAGTGAAACAACCCAAACTAGCCCCAAATAAAAGAGGTAGATTAATGGTTCATCAGCTAGAGCTGCGCAGCAATTTATAAAAAGAAATGACCTGTCTTTCGCTATCGAGCTGTTAAACTTTGCTTTTAAGGGAGAAGTTCCGGTTTGAAAAGCTTTTTAAAATACGGTGCATGAATAGGGTTTTGTGCTGGTGCAAGAAGAGCTCTAGAATATTTATAAGAGGGGACATGTGATGAGGGGTTAAGGGCTGGTTATTGCTGGGTGATTTGCTAATTTAATCTAGCAAAGAGCTTTCGCGTCGGGTCTTATTAACTTTCTAATTTATAATGCAGTTTGGAGTTTTTGTTTGTGAGTAGTTGGCTTTTTAAGCTTATCTCCTTCTGCGCTAGGCTTTTAAAAGTTGCAAAATAAGGTAATGGAATGCGGGGCGAACTTCCGTTTTTCTCCGCGCTGTTTTGTTATGGACCGTTCGAAATAAACTATACATTTTTTGAAAGAGGTGACGTCACTCGACGTGTAATTAGCAGTTTCGTGCGAGGTAGGACTTTCAATTGATTAAATTTCTGCTTGGAAAGCTCGCATATTTCAAATCAGAGCGCAGAATTCGGAGAAACACTCCTCGGCGCCGTTAAAAATTCATAAAACATTTTTATTAATGCTAGAAAGTGCAATTTCAATAACCCTTTCAGCCCCCACATGTTCCGAATTGATCATCGTTCGCCTCGAAATTCCGGCTATGGATTTCTAAAGCTCTTGCTTACAAAGGGAACAATCGTCCGAGCGCACAGTTACATTTTTGGCGTGACGTCACGCTGCACGCCATATTCCAAATTGTAACCCTGAACACGTCTTTCGCCCAACCCTCCAACTTGACTAATGGCTTCTATCCGTTTTTTCGGGCCAACACGGAGAGGTGACGTCCTGGGACACCAAACAAGATTGTCTCTCAGTGAAAGCCGCCAAGCAATTTGTAGGCAATAATTACGTTCGACACTAAATTAATGGCACTGCTATATAACCAATTTACTATAAAGTTGAGAGGATTTCGAGCAAATTAGTGCTCTGGAGCGACTCAGATTTCGCACGGATTAAACGAGTTTTCTGAGGTTGCTTATAATTACAACGTCTGAAATTTAACAGCGCCTTTTTTAATTTAACAACGTTCAAGTGTGACGAAGTGAGCACGACCGCGGCACTATCCGGAAACCTCGACTATTCTTATTATTATTCTAACAGTAAATGAAAAGTTTCCACTGCGATTTCGTCGACGACCGCCTGATGGCGATTTGACGTTTCCGGGCCCACCGGAAATTGGGTTTACTGGAGTTTTTAATTTGTGCGTCGTAATTGACGTTCCCATTTGCCCCCATCCGCGTTCCCGGATCGACGTCCAGCTTCCGGGGCAATTTCTGGGCGCCGACGATTTTTGAAAGGCTTTGTTTTCGTTAATTTGATGGAAGGGCGGAGGACGCTGGGCTGATAAGATGTGTGGATTTCTGTTATCCAATCTAACCCTGAGCGTCGGCACTTGTATAAACCGAGGGTTTCAATTGCGGCGTATTCAATTCGTCGGAAAATATCACCCGCACACAAATCCTCGGAAATGGAAGGATTCGGGGAAAAATCGCTCGTACGGAGAATGTGAGAATCTGTTTTTATGTCTAGGAGGAGATTTCGTGCTCCTGCTGCGAATTTTTGGTTTTCGTAAAATTCTGGAACAGTGTGTATGTAGACTTAGAACATGAATCCTTGTTTGTTTACTAAACATGGAAAATGAAGCTGTGGGTTCCCTATATACAAGATTGATTGTAATCTCCTTCTCTTAGCATGCAGTGAAAACATGTATAATTAATTTATTGACATAAATTTAGTGGTTTATGTGGTGAAAATGATGTGCAGCCGTCCGAAAAACCGCTTTTGCTCCTTATCTCGCCGTCTATTCAAATCGTAGAACAATCGGCCCGCTGCACAGCCACCTCTGCAGCAATCCCGTCTCAGACGCCTTTCCAAGTTCCAGATAGTTGCTCTTCAACTTCGCCAACTGTTATTATTTCGCATAGGTGGCTACATTGTCTGTCTAGCATAATAATTCCCCCAGAGTATGTAGAGCTCCATTTATTACGGAATAGTTAGCAACTGTAATAACATCGACCGTACAGAGGCAAAATTAAGTTAATTTCAGCCACAACGAAATTAACTTTTGCCGGCGGCCACATTCCCAATCCATTACGAGGTGCTTTGTTTTCTTTATACCGTTGCAAGGTTTGGGTCATGTACGGAGGGCCTCCGCACTTACCCGCCAGCATCGAAAAATAATCTTCTATTATTTTTCCAATATCCAGTTACTTACGAACTTCCGTCTGCGATGGAGTCCTGGGCGGAAGCTAAATCTCGCTTTTGTTGTTCCTTGTCAAGCTGATCTTTGCGCGCTGTTTGTTCGTTCTGTTTTTAATCTTTGAGCAAACTTTATGAGCTGTCCAATAAATCGTGCATTGATGCCAACTGTCGCCGGGATTTTTGCCCAGTTGTGATGAAGTTCAGAGGGCGAGGGGTTTAATAACGCCGGATAGACGTCTTAGTTTCGACGAGGGGTTATGACAGTCGGAGTTAATGCTGGAATAATCAAATCATTGTTCGAGTGAGGCATGAGTCGTATTAGTACTATCTCAAATCTAAAATAAAGATCTATATAGTGTGTAAATGAGCCGAGATTAAACAAAATGGATTTTTACATCTTTTTTCGTTGCGTCTGTGTATCGATTAACTCACAAGTTAAAATAAAATTTGTAAAATTTTATTTTCCAATTTGTCTAAAAATTTACTTAAGAACTCTTTGCTATTTTGGTTGAACACTAATCTTCCTCTAGAGATTACAGAAAATCGACTAAAATTTCTATGTTTATTGCCTCCACAATTTTGATGACGTCACCTCAAAAATTATCCATAATTACCGCGTGACTATTAATGTTTGTGATTTTTTTTTGTCTGGTTGGCAACCTATTTAAAATTTTATGATGACAAACCCGTTTGTTAAGCGTACTAGCACAGACGCCGATAACTCAGAATTGCCAACACAAACAACTGATTAAAAAAATGATTTTCTGGAAATCATCAGATGATAATTTTCCAATAAATTTAAATTTTATGGGGGAATGAAGGCAAACTCGAAGATCAGACGACGGAAATTTCGTGAATAAAAAATCTGATAGAAAGTGCAATCACGAGAGGTAGTCAGAGCCAAAATTAAAGCACATCCCATTCTAAAGAAAAAATATAAAATTAACTGAACAAAAAATTCTGTTTACTGGGGGTTAAGTGTCTCAGAAGGGCCACCGAGACGTTTTTTCTAAATCCACTATTATAAGACCATTAATCATAAAATCTTCAGAGACGTCGTAAAACAGTGTAGTCCTGACAGAAAAAGCGTATAATTCTTTATTTTTATGAAATGAACCTTATAGCGGAGTAGGGCTTGTAGAGATATATCTACAACTTCGAGATAACGTTAGCCTGAACACCCTTAAAATAATTTCAAACTTATAACTTCTCCAAAGCACGTATATGCGTTCCAAGTTTGAATTGCTTATCGCATAAAGTTCAGACATTAAACTTCTCGTCGTCTAATACTTATCATTTTTCCCAGTAATGAACTCGTTTTTTTCTCGTAGCGTTACCTGTTCAGAATTTCTATTTTTCCAAAGACAGATTCCCTATATGGTACTTCATCAACTAAGTATATTATATCGAGGAACTTTTAAGACACCTTGACAGCGTTAATTGACAAATTTCCTCGGAAAAATTTGCCACATTTTCGTTAGTTTTTAATGAAATCACCTAAGTTCCTCGCCAAGCGTTCCATTTCAACACTTATTGTCATTTCGACCGAACTTCTCCGTTAAAAGCAAAGTTTAACAGCTCGATACCGAAAGACGGCCACTTCTTATAAATTACTCCTCGAAGCACCGTTCCCGTTGATGAACCATTAATCTACCTCTTTATTTTCGACTATTTTGCTTTATTTTCCTCGAAGCAATTAAGACTCCCTCAGACTCGGCCAATTCGCGCTAGTTTATTTTTATTTGCGTGGGTGGTATTTGACGGCCATTTTATGAGATGGTATATGTGGCGGCGATACGAAATGGAGTCTATTTCGCGCTTTAGTTGGCTCGCAAAGTGATGAATGTATATTGCCGTTATAAAAAAGCGGGAAACAAGACTGCTAGAAATAATAATAGTGGGGTCGTGATGGAAGAGCGCGAAATTTGAATTCGGGGCGTAAAATTATAGAAATTGGCCGTAAAGCCTGCAGACTACTTAAGGGGGATTATTAACGGTTTGAGGGAGGAAATGGCTGGTGCATAAATTGGGGAAGGATGTAATGCTGTTTAGGGGGAGATCTAGCTAAAACGGCCTGATTTAGACGCTTTCACGCCGTATCAAGTGCTTCCAATTTACTTAGCTGTATTAAAACGTCATCTCGAGGAGCGCCTTAATCGGTTCGGCAATTTTTGGCAAAACCTCAACAATCATCGATGCTGAAAAAAAAACCCTCGGTATATATATATATATATATATATATATAACAACGTTACACTGTTAAGCAGCTTACCAGATTTAACCCGCTGTTTTAAAAACTTGTAAATTTTTTATTAATTCCGCCGTATTTCCTCTCTTTCGAACCCAATTTCGCCTCGTCGCTTCAACTTTTCCTCATAATTCATTACCGTCGAGCGGCATTAGCGCATTTGAACTAAATCTAATCTTGTCGTTTTGCTCCTTTTTGCCGCACACGAGCTGGGAGGAGTCGCTGCAAAAACGCCACTTGTAACTTTTAATATGGAGCAAAAAGAAAATCCCCGGACTTGTTTTAAACCCACTTCGGACACATTATTCTCATTACGGTCCGGCGAGGGACGCACTCTTGACGGTTAACGGGCTTTGTTATGCAAACGTCACCAACAAAACTATAAATAGTCAAAAGCCGTTCAAGAGTTCCATCGCCTGTAAAGTTTGCATCCAGATTGCACTATAAGGGAACTTTACGTCGCTCTCAAAAGGATTTGCCTAGCGTATATCTGAGTTTGATCGTAATAAATCGAGAGTTATGACAGGCCGTTGCGTTGTGGGAAGTGCAGCGAAATAATGGATGACGGGTGATGAGCGAACACGACATGGCGCAGTCGGTGGGATAAAAATTTAACCGTCGTCTTAGTTCTGTGTAGACGAAACGTTTTTAGCTGTTTATCGTGGCGTGGCGCAGGATGCGGTCAGAGCCGAATTCAATCAAACATCGAACTTCGTTCCTTCGCCGTAAAGACCAACTCCCATCACAATAAACATCGCCTCTTTGAGAAATCGCCCCTATCTATCATCCCTTCCGCTTCTTCCCACGAAATCGCTCCCCTAAAAAATACATATCCTCGCCGCTATTGAGGTTCTCGTTTGAGGCGTGAAATCGCCGCCAACCTGTAAACACCGCCGCCTCTCCCTGAAAGACATTCCAAGGAAGGATAAAACAGCTAAAACGGCATTCTCACACACGCCCCGCAAGATTGCCTTTAAAGTATTTATAAATTTTTCCGGGGCGCTCGGAAAACGGCTTTAGGTAATGTTGTGAAAATTTTATCGGGGTTAATTAAGCATGACGAGCGACCCATTTTTGCGCTGTGCGGCTATTTTTGCGGTTTTCGGTTGTTTTGGAGGAAAGTGGAGACTTATCTATTGCTTGTTCTATTTTTAGCTGGCGGTCGCAACGCGAACGCACCACACAAAAGCCCAAAGTTACAACATCGATTTTTAAAAGCGCGCTTTTAGTTTTGTAATAGGTTTATCCCAGATTAGCCCTGCCACTTTTTGCTTTTAATTTATTGTTGCTTTTTTTGTTAAATTAGAGCACGTTTGCTGCTTTTTGGTTTCATTTCGAAACCTGTATCCTACCGATTGCGCCATAAAGTATGTTTTTATTTTCAAATTGAACTTTAAACACTGGCGGTTTACGACTTTTTCATTTTGTTGTTTTGTACACAGAAGCGAATTACAAACGTTCTAATATGGCGTTATCGCCAAACGCAGGCTTATAAATTTAATTTGCAAATGTTTGATGCTTGACTCTTTTATGTTTTGGTACCGTTTTATCGAATCTCGTTTGCTCGCGATTCTGTTTTTGCTTACACAAAGTTACAAAGTTCGCACGTATGACTCGACACTTTAACAAATTTATAATATTTTATTATCTAGGGGCCAAATTCGAACACTGAATATTTAGAACCCAGTATCTCTTCTTTATCGCAAGGACAAACATAAAATGCTGAAATGTTTCTTTTTCCTTTTTAAGTACCTAATTCATTTCTCTAAAGTGCTCGTAAATGTCGAACGTTATCTGTAATAATTGCAAAAGGATGATATACCTAGTTGTTGATAATGACGTTTTAAAAATAAAATTATTGCACCAATCTTCATAAATTTAAAAAATATTTTTTACATCCCACCGACTGCGCCACTTCCGAAAATCTCCGTCGCTCTGAAAAGAATACCAGATTTATTGTTTCTGTAAATGATAAAAATTGAAGTGTGAGGAGAATTTAATTTGTGGTTGAGCCCCGTCCGTCCATTTGCATTTTGATGAATATTTTTATTAAGTTGTAAAAAATAAAGCGTGCTGAGCAGACCCGGCTTCTATTTTTAGAAAAAATCCTCCAATCGAAATGTAAAGCCAAAGTTGCGATCGTATCGCCGCAGCGGAAATTATTTTTGAAACATTTTGATAAACTGCATCCAAATATCCGGAGCAGCGTAGGGGAAAACCGAAAATTAAATATTCTTCTGCTAATAAACGCCCGATATCGACCCGAAGCACTGAACACATGCAACGGTAAATAACTCTCAAAATCTCAATAAATCTGGCTAATGCAGCTGTCGATTGCACAAAAACAAAAATTCCCAAATTAATTTAGTAACTTTGTGCGGTTGGCAACAGCTCACGCCACGTCGCATTAATTTTAACGCGATTACCACGCTCGTGATGAATCCCCAAATCCGCATCCGACGCTCATGAGCGCGATATTATTGTAATTGAAAATCGAGGTGTATGCAACCAACCCACCTGTTCTTGAAAATGGAGGCCGCTTTAAACTCCTCCATAATTAAAACCGGCTCGAACCAATCGAAAATGCAAATTTATTCGAGCCGCCTCGATTAAAATTCAAACAATATGAATTCAGGTGCAAGAAGAAAAATACGAAAATTATGCCCGAACACGAACGCCAGCTTTGAGCAAATTGCTTTTTTAGCGTGAATTTATTCTTTGTTTATTTATTTTGCCGCGGTGGCGCTGTGTTCGGTTGTTTTGCGGTTGGCAGCACTGTCGCTAGCAGCGGATTTATCAGCCGTATTTATGGAGATGAAAATTAGGCGAAATTAATTACAGTCGGTTAATTATGCATGCCGCAAGCTAGTTTTGCGTTCTGTTGCGGCGAAAAAGCGCCAAATTTGATTAGGGTTTTTCGTTTCGGTTGTTTTGACGCGGAATCAAGCGAAAACACTACATCGTGCCGGCTTCTTTCGGAGGAATGAAATGTGATTATCTTTAGGTGATGGGTTTTTCACTCGGAAAATATTTTCTTAAGAGGGGTGAAATGAGATACGGGCGATTGTGTTCTAATGGAATTAGAATGGGAATAAAGTTTGGGTTTTTACAGCCGCAACACTTCCGTGATACGCACGCCCCTGGAGGGACAGCATGGAACACACTGGTGAGTTCTAAACTTAACCTAAATACAATTCCAGTTTTACAATCCAATATTTTTTCGACTTTGAATGTTTGTCGTAGTTTTAACTTTCGTGCTTTGATATTAGAGGATTTTGTTTTTCAGGTTATCTTGGAAATTCTCGTGTGGTACTCAACCATTACGATGTCTCCACTCAGGTGAGTGCTCAGTTTTATCAGCCTCTTTATGTTAAAAGTTTTACGGGAATTAAGCGGCCGTCACGTTTTTATTTGAAGTCTGATGCTATCTTGCCTTTAATTGAAAATTGAAACCTGAGCTTAGGTTTTCATTTAAATTTCGTTCCTGGGAGGATCAAGAGGGCTGTTTGATTAATATTTAGCTTCTGGACGGTGTATAGAACGACATTCTAAAATTTATTACTAACATTAGCGTCTGGGGCGATTTCCATCAAAAGACAGTTCACTGACGTAAAATATTAACGTCTTTAAACCGTCGTTTTTAATTTAAATAAATGCTCAAACATTTTGTGGGGGCTGCCTTTGGAAATTTTCATACAAGAGCGATGTTCTTACTTCCTGAACGTTTTTCAGAGGGAATTGAGATGTTCTAGCCATTGCATAAAAATGGTGGAGGCGCCGGAATAATAAATAAATTTAAAATAAGTATTTAAGTATTCTGATAATCGACTAAGCATACATTTTTGCTAAATAAAAAAAAAACACAAAATCTGTTGTTGATTTTGTGTTTTTTTTTATTGCGGTAAAAAATGGCCCCGACTCGTGATCTTGAGAAAATTTGAATAAGGGGTCACCCGTTTTCGGACATTGGCCGGGATAACGAACAATAACTATTTCGATACTTCTTTTAGAAACTTTTGCATGAAAAAATATATTTACGAAGAAATCGTCAACTTCTTTAAATATCTTGATATCTGAATAAAATAACAGACCGACCATAAATTTAAAACAAGCTAAAGTACTCCTACTCGGTAATAATAAAACAACTGTATAAATTAATAATTCACTTAGCCTGAAATTGTAACGTGTTTGAAACGTAAAAATTTTAAGGCAAAAAATTGTGAATAATGTTTTCATAATGATGTGAATACAACAATTTTACTGAAAAAGAAAGTTGACCTGGGGTCATAACGTCGGTGTTCAAAAAAGACTGCCACTCACTTTCGTTGATTAAATATTTTCTATGTAAATGAGCAACAATGATTAGAAGGAATGAAAAAAATTATTTGTAGAAATTATAGCGATAACGTTAATTGTTGTTTTCATTCCTAGGATTTTAATAGGACCATTTATATTATAATTTGTAATTTATTTGTTAAATTATGTGTATTTATTACGAACATTGCTTTGCAAGCATGGTTTACAGATTCACAAGTAATTACTTTTATCATAATATAATAAGGTAACCTACATTCATTGTAGATAACGTTTCTACGATAAGAGTGTAATTGAAGAAATTATTCTCCCCTAATTTACTACGTATAATATTTAAATTCCATTATTGTGGCAACAATAAATGACTTTTTTAATTTTAATTAGTCCACGTATTTAAGGTACGTCAATTTTATCAAATCTCCCGCCTGTTCTCCCACCATAACCGTCGGCGCATTCGGGTGTCCAGCCAAAGCCAATGGGAAAACGCTGGCGTCAGCGATTCTCAAATTCTTAAAACCAAAAACCCTCAATTCAGAGTCGACGACCGCTCCCTTTTTCGGATCAGTTCCCATGGGACAAGTCCCCAAAGGATGGTACAAATTTATAGTCAGCTGTCTTAAAGCGCAGTACCAATAATCCCTGGAAAGGTACTCGTAACGTTTGCATGCCCTTAGTGGACCCCCCTGCAACGTGGCATTGATCGCCTTCAAAGCTTTAGTTTCCAATAATCTCAAAATCAGTTGAATCCCCTCATAAAGCGTATTTATATCCCTATTTTCAGGATCCGAGATAAAATTAGAATCAATCAAAGGGTACTCGTACGGATTTTTCGATTTTAGTCTTATAGTACCCACGGACTGAGCGTGTAAATCGATAACCCACACATTGAAAGTTCGTGGAATGTTCACGTATTTCCACAAATCTTCGAAAGTTTGGTCGGTCAGATAAAACATTCGTTGTGCCAGAGCGCTGGTACCGTTGGCCGTGATTACCTGCAGTTCTATATCTGGGATTCCGGTACCTTTCGTGTAACTGGATTCGTAGAACCCTATTCCTTGGTCGTTACTTGGAATCGCGTAGGGTCCCACTCCATTCAAGTACTCTTTAACGTACTCCTTCAACGGTCGAATCGGTTCCGTGTAATTGGTACTAATCGAGATTCCGTAAAACACTGAGTTGTCTCTAAGAGTACTCCCGACTTCTAAGTCAGCAACTACGTCGATCTTTAGATCTTCTAGGTGTTTTCTGGGACCAACACCCGACAGTAAGAGAATCTGTGGAGTACCGAAAACCCCAGCTGCAAGAATCACTTCTTTTGTGGCTTGAACCACGTAATTGTTTCCCTTATGGGAGAACTCAACACCCCTAACCACCCCATTTTTAATTCGTAGTTTCGTTACGTAGCTGTAGGTCAAAAGTTTCAAATTTTTGCGTCGTCGTACTGGGTGGATGAAGGCTTTACCACCGTCCAATCTGCGCCCATGGATGGTATTTAGTTGGACGGGTGACGCTCCTATTTTATTCGCATTGTAATCAACTATATCGTAACCTAATTCTTTATTAGCTTCCAAGTAGGCGTTCAGTTGTGGGCTTCTGGGTTCGTGGTACTCTACATTCAGGTAGCCACCAGTAGCGTGGTACTGTGGTTCATACGGCGCTTGCTTGTCGTTGTGTACGAAGTTCTCCGATTTTTTGAAATAGTAGAGTACCGAGTCGTACCCCCATCGTTTACTATTTGCAAATTTTTCCCATTTCTGGAAGTCGGATTTGTGGCCTCTGGAATAAGCCAAACCGTTGATTAGAGTGGAACCTCCGACGCCTTTGCCTCTCGGGTAGGGACATATGTGATTTTGGAGCCCTGGATATTAAACAATGTCTAGTAGTACTACTAGTGTAATTGTTAGACTTTGTGACTAACCTAAACAACATGTCGTTTGTGGTGTACTGTTAAATCCCCAGTTGTAGCGAGTGAATTCGATAGGTCCATACAAATTAGGTACGTCAGTCGCGTCATCGCCATAACCCCCAGCTTCCAGGACTAGTACGTTCCAGTTCTTGATTTCAGTTAGACGATTGGCGACAACGGTACCACCAGCACCAGCACCGACGACGATAAAATCGTAGGAGCCAAAATCTTGAAAATAAAAATTCAGTTAGGTAGAAATAAAGTCGCACCTTGGTACATTGACGTTTCTTGGGAGAGTAGTACTCGTAGGCGCCTTTCGGTAGTTGATACGTGTATGCTTCTTCGGTAACATTTGAAATTAGTTCTGCGTAGTAGTTGATTTCAGCCTGTTCTTGGGCTTTGCCCAAAAATACGAAGAATAATGGAAAGAACCTGTTGAACATCGTGATGATCTCTAGTACGGATCGTACCACAAGAGTTCTTTATATAAACTGCTACGTAGCGAAAATTGTTGTAAAAAATATGAAAAACGTATTCTGGAATCTGTTTTTTTACAATAATGCGCTGTGAATGCACAACAAATTTTTGAGGCGAGTTTACGTCAAAAATACCTTTGATAAAAATGATTTAGTAAAATTGTGGTTTTCCCTCAAAAGAAAATATTTAGTGACGTTAGAAAAATATTTAAAGTTAGCGTGTCTAATAATAGTAATATAGTGCGTATATGCAAAATTTGTGACATTTTTAACAGTACTTAACAAACAAGTACTTCTCGCCACAGCGCTAATAAGAATACGAACAGTAAATGGAGTCTACGAATATCTACGAATCTTTATTGACCTCTTGTCGAGAGAACATATTCGAGCCGATATAACTGGACTTGGAGGGAAAATACCGAACAAATCAATTCCAGAATTACAGTCAAGTGCGCTCCACGATTTTCAAGTGATTTTACACCCACAACAGAACTGTTGGTATTACCAAAAATAACGCAATCTGTACCTGAAGAAGACATCGAAACAGATCTTCAGGTGTGGCAGATCACATCATCGCGGAAAATTTAGTGAACTAGAAATAACGGAAGAAGATTTTTTAATATTTTACGAATACGTATACATGTAACAAAAATTGTATAAAAGAATGGAAATCGCATTCTGCAATCTGAATTTTTTTACAACAATGCGCTGTCAATGTAAAAAACTGTTTTGAATCTAATTTGAATCAAATGCATATTTTGTAAAGACATTCTTGTGATAAAAATACAATTCGTTGAAATTCCGGAAAAATAAATAACTAAGTTTTTTGGAAATCCGGAATAAGCTAACGTTTTATTTTAAAACCGCATAACTTAGACGAATCCGAGTAAAATAATTTCTTTCCTGAACCCACCCTGTACTTAAAGCGCACAAAAACCCGCCAACCCTGTCGCCAATTCCCAAATTTCTGCTCTTCTCCTCACAAACAACAAAAAAATCGTCCGGAACCTTCCCCTAAAGAACCGGTTTTAGAGCCCCGAGTCCCACTTTAGCGTCTCGCTAAAACGCCCAAGATTTAAAAAAATAAATAAAACCTTTTATCCTCCTTCCGCTACCTTTTCCCTTTTTTCTCTTAACCCAATTATCTCCATATCCGGCCCGAATCCCGTCCAATTTTTACGCACACCACCTGCTATCTTTCACCGCCGCAAATGTCCTTTATGACCTTCCCTCGCCCAATCCTTGCACTACGGCAAAAACCGCAACGCATGCCATACTCCGAACCAAAACTATAAATTATTTGAGGGCTTGTCTTGAGGATGCGCGTAATTCCCTTCGTTTTACGGCCGACGCGAAACATGTTTTGTATGTTGAATGTCAGAGAGATAAATTATTTCATTTCGTCTCTTTGACGCAGACACTATTTTATATAGGCGACGGCAACTGCGGGACTGCGGGCAATTTCGCCCGGAATTTTTCACGGAACGGACGGACGCTCGGAGCAGGTGGTAACGTCTAACCCGGTTTCGTTCCAGAGCCAAGCAGTCGTGGGTAAACACCTCCGCGGTTGAAAGTTCGTTACGTAAGCGGCGTGTTTATATTTGCCTGTCGCCACGTTTCCCCCAAGTCTGGCAAACTTTTCCCGTTTCCTCAAGCTCTGCCCTAATCTGACGTGACATAAACCACCGTCAGCGATCCCTCTTTCAATTTGCAACTTTTCCGGGCAAGACGCGACTTTCGGACATTATCGTTTGGAAGTTCGGCCCGTGCGAACTTCATGCACTTATCTGGGTCCATCAGTTCGGAACGGCGTTGAGTCGCGATTTCCGATTAACGCAATAATTCGTACAGAACTCGCGGTGCTCCGATTCGCGTAAAAGAAGCCATAAATTTCCTCGATAGCCGGGAGAATAATGGGCTGCGTTTAATCGAAATGCAAAAATTGGAAACGCGGCTTTATGTTCGTCGTAAAAGTTTATTCGGCGTTTTATAAATACAATAAAGCCGCTAAGCTGTAAAGCAGGCGAGTTAAAAGTCGACGTCTAAATCAAGCAAAAGGACCTGCGAGAAACGCGCTGGAGGAAATCTTGTTTGTGTCGATAGTGTGCAGATAATATTTACTTACTCCTGGGGGAGTCCCGGGGGGCGCGTTCCTGGCGAGCGAACGTTTCGCGAATCCGTTTACACGAATTCGCATTAATCGGCTAATTTCTTTGATGGCATGAATATTTCAGGTTTTTAATTCGGGGTTCGTAAACAGGGATATCTGTTTTTGACTAAATTAACAATTAATAATGAAGTTTGGGAGAAGAGGGCTTGATGAAAGCGATTTGAAATGGAAATTCGGCGTTAGCGAGAAATGGATACTTAAAACCGCATTCGTTTAAATTACGTTAAATATAAACGTCGGTTTTGGGGCTTTATGACCGGAGGAGGAGCTGGTTCGTGCTAGAAAATTTCATTGTTAGGTGACGAGGATTCCACAAAACGTAATCTGTGATTGATTGATGGTGGTTAAGTGCAGGTTTGTGCATTGTCGGAATAATAAAGTATAACGCGAAAATTATGCCAATACACATTTTTTACAAAGTTTCCCCAACAAGCATTAAAAAATAATTGGCCATCAAAGGACAAGTTTCAAAGTTTTTATACCTTGTCTTCCAACACACAAGATACTAAAGGTAAATAGGCATAAAAAGTTTCACTGAAGATAATAATTTACGTAAGTTTTCAGCTTGAGGCATTTTTTTCGCATGAAGGGTGTTTCAAGCAGTGGCAACTCCAAGTTTATTCTACTAGAATCACGTATAAACGGGTGCATTTAAGATACTAGTGGTAGTGATGAAACTATCGATGCTTTAAAGTATATTCGGTTGCACGACCCATCGAAGTAGCCCCGACAAAATAGCCCTGTATGGAATTTTTGTAGATAAAACAGAAATTATTATCAATTTTTGTTTTAGAAAATACAACTTTTTAAAGATGTACTGATCCAGTTTCTGGCCAACTGACTGACTGATATACGGCCTTAGTGACTCAGTGACTTACCGCCTAAGTGATTTAGTGACTAACTGGCTAACTGGCTCACTTAATCACTAAGTGAGTAACCCAGTGACTTAGCGACTTGCTAACTTAGTGACGTAGCGGCTGAACGACTTAGTGACTGACTGACTGACCCACTTAGTGACTTAATGATTTAGTGATTGATGACTAGTGACTTAGCGACGTAGTGACTGATTGACTGTAATAAATTTGCAGTAACATTTAGACTGAAAAATATAAACACGCATAAGTACACCATAAACTTATTACTTATTTCACCTTAAAGAATAGAGTCAACTTCAAGTACAAACAGTTTTAAATTCGATATTGTCGCAATTAAACCCTTTTATCTTTTACCTGGAAACAGCTTTACATATAATGTGGTTTTGAGGACAAGGTCTTTAGAATTGCATATTCATGTAACTACTTATTACTTAGGATAAAATTAGCTTTAAATGATAGGTACGTTAAAAAACTTACGTTTGTGAAGTATTTGCATTTCACTACTAAACAGATCTATAAAAACTTATTTCGAAAAGGTGTTTGAGTCATTTTTGACGTAAAACTCGTGCCAATGAACGATATGCAAAATTTATGCACCAGCTATGTACTTGTTTCACACAAATGTGTTGTAATTAAAATATTCTTGGAATTTCTAAGCTATTTGTATGGTTTTCAGCTTGTTGTTTATAAACAGCAATAGAATCTCGAAAACTTGTTCTAACTCAAGTTGGAAACGAAATATGGTTTTTAAATGACTAGATAAATAAAGTTTGTGGAAAATTTCAAGTCTCAACACCAGTACATTATGTTAAACATGTTGAAAACAAGATAAATTAACTGAATTCTAGGAAATTATTATCGCAAACGTGTGACTAGATTTTCCAACATTTACTTGTTAACTAACATTTTTCTATAATTTCTACAACAAATTGAAAAACTGACAATTTTTGCTACCAAATTTCTGTATTTTTAAATCAACTAAATTGTACATTTATTTTGTTTTATAAGTTTCTTTAACCAAATCCCCTAACTGTTCTCCGATCATGGTAATCGGCGCAACGGGATGGCCTCTAGGGGTGAAAGGAAACACACTCGCATCTGCAACTCTCAAATTCTTAAAACCGAAAACTCTCAATTCGGAATCAACAACGGCTCCTTGTTCTGTGCTCATTCCCATGGGACAAGTCCCCATTGGATGAAAAATATTCCCAGTCACCTGTCTTAAAGCGCAGTACCAATACTTTTTAGATAAGTACTCGTGCTGGCCACAGGCCGTTAAAGGCCCCCCCAGTAACTTGGCATTTATAGCTTTGAGAGCTTTGGTTTGAAGAAGTCGCAGCACCAGCTGAATCCCTTTGTACATAATATTGATATCTTCGTTCTTATCATCTGACAAAAAATTTGAGTTTATTAAAGGGTAATCATAGGGGTTTTTACTTTTCAATCTAAACGTTCCTGAAGATCGACTGTCCAAATTTATTACCGCGATCCGAAACGACTTGGAAATGTCAACGTTTTTATTTAAATCGTGGTCAGTCTCTTTGGTAAATCCATAATTTCGTGAAGTCATAATTGTAGTGTTGGACGGAAAGAACATTAATTCGATGTCGGGAATTCCTGTGTAATTTGTGCCTAATGCGTACATTCCAACGCCTTGAGTGGAATCGACACTTGTCCAAGGACCTACACCCTTCAAGTATTCTCTGATATAGTCCTTCATTGGTTTAATCGGGGCTGTGTAGTTAGAACTTACAACGATTCCATAAAAACTTTGGTGGTCTCCAAGGGTACTACCAACTTCTCGATTTGCTATAACTTTAATCTTTAATTGTGTTAAATGTTTCTCGGGTCCTATGCCAGACAACATCAAAATCTGCGCAGTACCAAAAACCCCAGCACACAAAATCACTTCTTTCGTCGCTTTTACAAAATAATTTTTCCCTTTGTGGCTAAATTCAACCCCCGTCGCAACCGTCTTATTGATCACAATTTTCGTAACGTAACTCTGTGTTAGAATTCTCAGATTCTTTCTATGTCGTACCGGTCGAAGAAACGCTTTCGCACTATCGAATCTTTCTCCGTTTTTCGTACACTGTTGTTGTGAAGACACTCCCAATTTATTAGCATTGTAATCCGCCACATTTAACCCTAGTTCCTCGTTAGCTGCCATAAACGCATCCAGTTGTGGACTTCTCGGTATCTGGTACTCCACACGTAACGGACCTTCTGTTCCGTGAAACTCCCGGTCGTACGGTGCTTCTGGATCTCTGTGCACATATCCCTCGGATTTTTTGAAGTACTCTAACACCGTTTTGAAGCTCCAGCGTTCATTTCCGACGTGCTTGGCCCATTTATCGTAATCGCTTTCGTGTCCTCGGGAATAAATTAAACCGTTGATTAAAGTACTACCGCCAAGGCCTTTTCCGCGCGGGTAAAACAACACGTTGTTGGTGTACCCTGAAAGATGATTTTGTGAGAAGTTCTTTATAGAGTTTGGTTTACCTTGAAAAGCTGTTGTTTGTGGAGTACTGTTGAAAGCCCAGTTGTAGTGAGAGAAAAAAGTTGGTGGGTGCGTTCCAGGAATGTCGGTTAAGTTGTTTCCGGCTACTCCAGCTTCCAGTAGTAACACGTTCCAGTTTTGTATTTCTGACAGTCGTTGTGCGACGACGGATCCGCCAGCACCAGCCCCGATGACGACGAAGTCGTAGCTTCCATATTCTTAGAAACGGACTCTAATTTAGATTTTCAAGGTACTACAGCATCTTACTTTTGCGTGGTCCGGATCCACGGAATTTTTCAGCGTTTGTGGGCCACACGTAAGAATCGGCTTTCTTGTTTGCTTCATTGAACAAATTTGCTAGATAGTCGACTCTCTCTTCGTCGTAGTTTTGTGACAAGGAGATGGTATACAACGAAAAAAGAATCACAAGTTTCATGTTAGGTGTGCTTGACTTGCACCTTCCGAACATAATGGCGATTTTCCTACGACCACATACTTTTCAAAGTAATCATTACTGATTAGTATAATTATCGCTTACTTTTTTTGTTGGCTTATTTACAAGTAATGAGCTTAAACCGAACCACTCACCACTGATAAACTCAAAAAATAAAAATCTGTTTGTTCTTATTGGGCTATATTTACACTAACATTGAATAGAAAAATAAATATTTAGTTTGTATCTATTGTGTTGTAAGTTTCCTTGACTAAATCACCTAATTGTTCTCCTATCATCATACTCGCTGCGTAAGTATGACCTGCTATGAGTGAAGGAAAAACGCTGGCATCTGCAATTCTGAGATTCTTGAAACCGAAAAGTTTCAACTCAGAGTCAACCACAGCTCCTTTTTTCGGATCAGTACCCATGGGACAAGTACCAACCGGATGATAAATAGTCGTCGTCACTTGTCTCAAAGCGCAGTACCAGTAACCTTCCGATAAGTACTTGTGTTGACTACAGGCCCTTAAAGGACCCCCACGTAACGTAGCATTCATTGCTTTAAAATATTTTGTGTCTAAAAACCTTAAAACTAACTCTACGCCTTCAAAAAGAATATTTATATCTTTATTTTCCCCGTCCGAGAGAAAATTCGTATTTATTATAGGATAATCGTAGGGATTGGTACTTTTCAACCTAATTGTCCCCACAGACTGAGGATCTGTGTTGACAACATAGAAACGTAGCGTCAGCTTTGAATCTAAATCCTGGTTCAAATCTTCGTAAGTTTGCTCATTAAACCCGTAACTTCTCTGAGCTACAGGAGAAGAGTAGTTCCCTGTAGTTACCAACACTTCAATGTTAGGTATCCCTGTACCTTTGGAGTACCGTGATTCATACGCCCCCATTCCCTGAAAACCATCTGGGTCTGCCAAAACCCCACCACCTTTCAAGTACTCTCCAACAGACTCCCGCAACGACTGACCAGCTTCACTACAATTAGTACCAACAACAATCCCAAAAAACGTCGGATGGTCCCTAAGGACACTCCCCACCTCCAAATTCCTCAAAACCTCAACTCCTAAATCCTCTAAATGCTCCTTAGGACCCACTCCAGACAACATCAAAATCTGCGGCGTTCCAAACGCGCCTGCACTCAGTACCACCTCTTTCGTAGCTTCCACGAAATAATTGCCACCCTTCTGATTAAACTCAACCCCTGTTGCAACCCCTTTAGCTGCATCAAACCGTACCTTCGTCACGTAACTCTCAGTCAAAATTTGCAAATTTTGTCGATGTCGTACCGGTTCTAGGAAAGCTTTCGCGTTGTCGAACCTTTTTCCCTCGTGGGTACACCTTTGACCTGCCCCGGCACCAAGTTTGTTAGCGTTGATGTCGACTACGTCGAACCCGAGTTCTTGATTGGCTTCCAAGAAAGCGTGAAATTGTAGGGTTTTGGGTTGTTGGTACGTGACTATTACAGGGCCGGTGGTTCCATGCACGTCTGGGTCGTATCCTGTGTCTCGATTTTCGTGAATGAATGTCTCGGATTTTTTAAAGTAATGTAGTACGGTTGTGTAGTTCCAGCGTTGGTTTTGGGTGATGGTGGCCCATTGGTGGAAGTTGGATTTGTGGCCGCGGGCGTAAAACAACCCGTTGATTAGGGTACTGCCACCGAGACCTTTGCCTCGGGGGAGGAGGCAAACTTTGTTGGTCATTCCTGTGGGGTGCTATGTTAGTTATGATTTTTACAAGTTGGTACTACCTTGGCACGCTGTTGTTTGAGGGGTACTGTTGAAGGCCCAATTATAGTGAGTAAATTGAGTTTGTGGGAACATCGCTGGGATGTCTGTGAGGTTGTTTCCATGGGTTCCCGCTTCCAGTAGTAGGACGTTCCAATTAGGAATTTCAGATAATCGGTTGGCGACTGCGGAGCCTGCGGCACCACCTCCAACGACAACGAAGTCGAAAGTACCATATTCTAAAAAAGTGTATGTTTATGCTGGACCACAGTGAGTCAACTTACTTTTGATTTGTTCGTCGGAAAAATGTTCGTTTGCGTTTTTTGGCCATTCGTAGGTTAATGCATTCTTGTTGGCACTGTTTATCCAATTCACGTAATAGTCGATTTTGGTGGTACTAGGGTACGCTTGTACAAAAATGAGGTTTAGTAAAACCAGCGACGAGATCTTCATTGTGGTCTGTAAAACAATATTTTTCTTAGTGGTTACAATTTACGACTGACCGCAGTCAAGGTTTATGAACATTTATAGGTGATGCAATCTTTGAATTTTAAAATGTTTCACATCAAATGACTAAATAACTTACATTTTTTTATTCAAGGTAATATTGACGTCCGTAGATAAGATTAAAAATTATTTACAATGTTAATTGCTGGTTTAGTAAAACCAGCGACGAGATCTTCATTGTGGTCTGTAAAACAATATTTTTCTTAGTAGTTACAATTTACGACTGACCGCAGTCAAGGTTTATGAACATTTATAGGTGATGCAATCTTTGAATTTTAAAATGTTTCACATCAAATGACTAAATAACTTACATTTTTTTATTTTATCCTATATTGTAACCATACCGATAACTCGTTGACAACGAGTTACGTTAAGGCATACTTTACATTACTAGTACTGTTATGAATTTTCATAACAACACTAGTGTTGTTATGAAATCATAATCTTCACCGACATTTTCCCTTCAGAGCTGTTGACATAAAAATTTTAAAAACTTACTAATTCCGAAGCGTCTGCTAATAGTAATTAATTTATCTATTGTGTATTTTTTTCTCCAGGTCTTAAAGTTTACTATCTCTTTGAGATACCTGCCAGCTGTTTTTTTGCCTTTCAGCAACGGCCTTTTATTTTGGAAGTCATTCTCGCATTTACAAAATCAGAAACAATCGTTTTTTCAGTGTAAACAACTAATACCGTGGCTACCAACGCAGGCATAGCTGACTGATTTTTCGTGCGCTTTGAACTTTGTCGTTAAAAATATTTTTGTTATAGTTTTAAATTGTGATTATAGGATAAAATAAAACGTGTTACGATGCACGTAACGTTATCTGGTTTTACATTACTCGGAAATTTTAAAGAACTCGGGGCTACCGCCCCTCGTTCTTCAAACATATTCCTCGTAATGTAAAAACCCTAATAACGTTACTTGTATCGTAAACTACTATTATTCAAGGAAATATTGACGTCCGTAGATAAGATTAACAATTATTTACAATGTTAATTTAGTTATATATATATTTACGTACTCCTATACTCGTGTGTTGATAATATTTTTACAATAGGAATGATAAACAAACCGAATTAATACATTTGTAATTGTGTTCATTATAAAGATTTTTTTTATTCAGCCTCAGAAAGCAGCCCAGTTGTGGTCCACACTTTGGCGGGAAATTCAAATGAATGTGCATGTTTGGCGAGAAATTTAAATTAAAAGTCGATGTGAAAAGAATAATATTTATATTTATTTGCTTTATCTATACGTTTCTTTAACCAAATCTCCTAATTGCTCCCCAATCATAACTACGGGAGCATTGGGATGACCTGCAAAAGTCAGAGGAAAAACGCTGGCATCAGCAATTCTCAAGTTTCTAAACCCGAAAACTCTCAATTCCGAATCAACAACCCCTTTCTTAGGGTTTTTTCCCATTGGACACGTTCCTAAAGGGTGAAACATGTTTGAAGTCAATTGTCTCAAAGCGCAGAACCAGTACGATTCGGACAGATAATCAAAGCCTCGACAAGCTCTCAGGGGACATCCCTTTAATGTGGCATTCATGGCTTTAAAAACCTTCGTTTCGAGTAATTTTAAAACTAGTTGAATCCCTTCGTACAATGTTTTAATGTCTCTATTTTCACCGTCTGATAAAAAGTTTGAGTGAATTAAAGGATAATCGTAGGGGTTTTTACTTTTCAACCTCACAGTCCCCACAGACTGAGAGTGTAAGTCTATGACATAAATACGAAACGCCTGTCCTTTATTTTGCTCTCTGTTTAAGTCTTCGAAACTTTGGTCACTTAAGCCAAAACATCGGCGAGATAAAGGTGAAGGAGAAATGCTCGGAAGAAATAATAATTCAATATCGGGTACTCCCGTCCCTCTAGAATAACTCGATTCGTACATTCCTATTCCTTGTGTGCCTCCAGGAACTGTTAACGGCCCCACTCCTTTCAAAAACTCTTGCACGGTCTCTCGCAATGGTACCACCGGTGCTGTGACATTAGTACCAATCAGAAGCCCCCAAAAAGCTGGGTGATCTCTAAGAGTACTACCCACTTCCAAGTCGGCTAAAACCTTAATTCCCAACTTTTCTAAATGTCGTTTAGGACCTACCCCAGACAACATCAAAATCTGCGCCGTCCCAAAAACACCACCACACAAAATAACTTCTTTTTTCGATTCCACAAAGTAGTTCTTGCCTTTGTGACTAAACTCAACCCCCGTGGCAACCCGTTTGGTCACATCAAACCGTACCTTCGTCACGTAACTCTCCGTCAAAATTTCCAAGTTTCGTCTATGTCGTACCGGCGCCAGGAACGCTTTCGCGTTATCCCATCGTCTCCCGTTGCTGGTACAGACTTGTTCTGGAGATGCCCCGAGTTTGTTGGCGTTGTAGTCGACTGTGTCGAAACCCAGTTCTTCGTTGGCTTCCAGAAACGAACTTAGTTGAGGGGTTAAAGGCAGGTTTTTGACAGTTAAAGGACCTTCTGTTCCATGAAAGTGTGGCTCGTGTGGTACGGTTGGGATAAACCTTTCTGACTTTTTGAAGTAATTTAAGACGTTTGTGTAGTTCCAGCGTTGGTTTGCGACAAGATTTGCCCACTGGTCGTAGTCGGTTTGGTGGCCTCTAGCGTAGATCAAGGCGTTGATTAGGGTACTGCCACCGAGGCCTTTGCCTCTTGGATAGGGGCAAACTTTGTTGTACATTCCTGAAGAATAATAATGGTTTTGGTGTGGTTGATAGTTTGGTACTACCTTGACAAGCTGTGGTTTGTGGGGTACTATTAAAGGCCCAATTGAAATCGGTTAATTGCAAAAGTGGTAACATGGCTGGGATGTCGGTGAGGTTGTTGCCTACATTTCCTGCTTCTAGTACTAACACGGTCCAGTTGGTCACTTCGGATAATCGACTGGCGACTACTGATCCCCCGGCACCACCCCCGACGACGATAAAGTCGAAAGTACCATACTCTTAAATTACAATTTAGTGGTTTTTACAAATGGAAAATACTTACTTTCTGGTTTTCCTCTAGATTTATGTTGGTTGGCGTTTTTGGGCCATTGGTAAGTCCACGCTTTTTGGGTAGCTTGAGTTATCAAAGTGGTGTAGTAGTTGATATCATTTTCGTTGTCTTGAGAATAGATGCAGACGAGATTCAGTAGAATTAAAAGTGACACTTTCATTGCTCCGTTTATTAGTGATAATTAATTTGGTACATCCTCGCTGTATGTTGAATTGTGGCCTGCTTATCTGGCATTTGTGGTATAATTTCCAATACATATTCATGGTTTATAATAACATGTTAAATGTGGCGTCACGAATTTGGGTCATGTTTTTTTTTTGTGGGTGTTTGAAAAGATAGGAAACCCATAACTTGATTGTTTCTTTGCTTGGAAGTGACCAAACACATGGGTAATAATTTCATCGTGCTGACACATGCATCGCACGCAGTTCGTGACAAAGGATTGTTTTCCTAGATAAAAAAGACGTGCTCGTTTGTTGGCTTTTAAACTAGATAACGTAAACTGAAAATTTTCAAACAAACCTTTCGCCGTAAATAAAAAATGACACGGCGCAGTCGGTAGGATGTCGTCTAATCGAACAAAAAATAAAACCCCATGAATAAGAAATAAATTGGATATGTATCTATCCCTCGACAGCCTTTGTATGCCGAAAACACAAAAAACTCCCCCAGCGAAACAAAATTAAACCTACTAAAGTTTTCTTGTTTATCCCCTACGTGTATGTTTTCCAAAACCTATCCCGAATTTTCCCGTTCGGAAACTTCCTTCGTCGAACTTCCTTCGCTGAAACCCCGGTCGCCTGCATCGGCACCGTCTAATTGGCCTTATTTATAAAGCGCCAGTTAAATGAATGGCAGGTATTACATAACCTACATTTAATTACCGCCCGAACTGTAATTAAAGCCAATAGGGCTTCCCGTGTATGCGTCACCATTCACCGGATTTGTACAGTTGGTTTAGCAAATCGCAGTTCGACTGCCGAAAACGCCTCGAGTCCTATCGATCACGTGACCCACAAGGAGCCGGCCGATCGTCCTGCCGTCGCAGGATAATCATCCTCTATGAATCCTGATTAGAGAAGAGGCGGTCAATATTGCGTCCCGATGGAACCGCTCGTCTTCGGATTCTTTGATTAGTCATTAGTCGGGATTGTTTCCATTTGCATTTTCGCCTCGGGTTGTGATATATTCGAGCCCGGGTCCGCTCTATGTTTTATTCGGTGCGGATCTTATTAATATTTGCTAAATCAAAGTTTACTTTCGGTTCGCGTTGGAAATTTTCGGAGGGTATCGATTGCTGGGATGCGACCCTTCGAAATCCTAAGCTCAACTTCAACCTTTGTGCGGATTTTCCGGCAAATATTGCTGTTGTTCTTTGTTATTTTAGACGGGCGACACCGCTTGAGTGAGTTATGCGGTGAAGGAGTTGCAAAAATGGCGCAGTCGGTGGGATTCGCGACTGCAGTAACCCATTACCACCAGATCACCGTTCGCAATTATCGCAGATATCGTGCGACGTTTACGGTGGCGCTTTCGTTTTTATCGCTGGCAGAGCTGAGAATTTTCTTAGCGTTTTCTGTCTGTTCTATTATTAAAGCCCGCCCCCTTTCTTGGAAACGTCGCCTTCCATAAAAGAAAAATGCCGACGCTACGAGCTGACACTTCGGAAACATGCTCAGAAATAATGGCGGCAATTGCGACTGAATAATTTCGCGTCCCTTTTCCACCTTGTGAATAATTTGCGCAAGGCCATTTCGTACCCATCATAATTCCGACAGTTGTATTTAAAGGTGTCGACATTACAATTGGGAAAGTCCTAATTAAAGAGGAGAACGCGAATAATAAAATTCAGGCAAGTGGAAATTTTACGGACGGATAAATATCAAGTTAATATTTATTTGCATTTTCGGCTACAGAGCGTGGGCAAGTTTAACTAGGTCGCCTAGCTGTTCTCCGACCATGACGGTAGCCGCATTGGAGTGGCCTGCCACAGGTCGAGGGAAGACGCTCGCGTCTGATATTCTTAGGTTCTTGAAACCGAAAACTTGTAGCTTATAATTAACGACTGCGCCCTTTGATGGATGTGTTCCCATGGGACATGTACCCACTGGGTGATACAAAGCAAGAGTGAGTTGTCGCAAAGAGCAGTACCAGTAGGCTTCTGAAAGATAAGCATGTTGTTTGCAAGCCCTCAAAGGTCCTCCCTGTAAAGTGGCATTCATAGCTTTGAAAGCTTTCGTCTATAATAACCTTAAAACGAGTTGAATCCCTTCATACCGAATTTTAATATCTTTATCCTCCGGATCCGACAAGTAGTTAGAGTTTATCACCGGATAATCATACGGGTTTTTATTTTTTAATCTAACAGAGCCCGTAGACACGTCATGTAAACTTATCACATAGACACTAAAAGACTGAGATACGTTAATATGTTTCCAAAGATCGTCATATGTTTGCTCAGTGAAACTAAAACTTTTTGCTGAAAGTTGATGCGTGGCATTTGCTGGTACAAACTGTAATTCTATATCCGGGGTTCCTGTACCTTTCGTGTAACTAGATTCGTAGAAAGCTATTCCTTGCTTATTATTTACCACTGTGAAGGGTCCAACACCATGTAGATAGTCTTTCACTTGCTCCTTCAATGGCTTGACCGGCTCTGTGTAGTTAGTACCAACCGTGATCCCAAAGAAACAAGAACTATCTCTAAGAACAGTACCAACTTCCAAATCGGCAACCACATCAATTCCTAATTTTTCTAGATGGTTTCTAGGACCAATCCCAGACAGTGTTAATATATGCGCGGTACCAAAAACACCAGCCGCAAGAATAACTTCCTTGGTTACTTGAACGAAGTAGTTCTTGCCTTTGCGACTAAACTCGACACGGGTGACAATTCCATTTCCATCAGTTAGTACTTTCGTGACGTAACTGTGAGTCAAAATTTTCAAATTTTGTCTGTGAAAAAGAAAAGCTTTAGCATCATCGACTCTCTTCCCTTTTTTCGTATTCATTTGGGTTGGAGAAGCTCCCAGTTTGTTGGCGTTGTAGTCAACGGTAGCAAAACCCAGCTCCCTATTAGCTTCCAGGAATGCATCCAGTTGCGGACTTCTGGGTTCATGGAATGCCACATTCAAATAACCCGAAGTACCATGGTAAGCAGCGTCGTACGGAGCCTCAATATCGTTGTGCACAAACTTCTCCGACTTTTTGAAATAGTGGAGTACCGAATCGTACCCCCATCGCTTATCGTTGGCAATTTGCCCCCAGTTGTCAAAGTCTGATTTGTAACCCCTTGCATACACCAAACTGTTAATTAAAGTGGACCCGCCTACACCTTTTCCACGCGGATATGGACAAACCTGGTATTCCGATCCTATCAAAATGGTACTACTTATAAAAATCAAGCTTTTGATAAATACAAACCTAAGCAACAAGTTTTTTGTGGTGTGCTGTTGTAAGCCCAGTTATAATCTGTGAACTGAAGTGGCGTGGATAAATTTGGGATGTCAGTAGCGTTGTTACCATATTCTCCGGCTTCCAGTACTAGTACGTTCCATTTGCTTCTTTCTGATAAGCGACTAGCAGCTACGGAACCACCAGCACCAGCTCCGATTACCACAAAGTCGTAGCTTCCATATTCTTACAACCGGGGTTTTCTTATGTGGAAAGTGATACTCGCTTTGTACTTACTTTTAGGTTTCTCGTTTGAATAGTACTCATAAGCATTTGTTGGCCATTGGTACGTGGCAGCATTTTTGGTGATGTTACTGATTAAGTTTACATAATAGTCGATGGTTGAATCGTCTTGGTGACCCTGGTGTGGTACTAACAGGAATAATATCGTAAAGAGGTTTTGGTGCATTGTAGTTGCTATGTGAACAACTATCTAGTGGTGACCTGTACTTTTATATCGCACCAATTATTACTATTTCGCTATATAGACAATTATCTTGTCAAGGTTTTGTCATACGCAACTATTACCCGATAAAAAATGAAATAAAATAGGTATGAATTTTTTACAGTTAAATTAATTTTACAACGGTCCCATTTTAAGGGTTGGTACTCTTCACACTGTGTATCAATGCAACGTGAGAGCATTTTCGTTAATGTTTCTGATCAAGTTAACATAATTATTACCGATTGTATCGTTTTGGTCACCCTGGAGAGGTACCATAGGAATAGTTGAGAAAAGAGGTCTTGATCCCTTGCAGTTACTACTTAAATAGTACTGACATGTCTTTCCTAATGCACCATTATTACGCACTATAGAAACAATAATTATCATTTCATGGTCAAAAATACCATGCATGTCATAGATAAAAAAAACATATTTAAATAAACTATATCAGTAACAGTTGTGATAAAAAAATTGCGATACAATAGGTACTCGTACACATTCTAGAATTTGTGTAATAAGGTATCATTAAGAAAGTTGTTTAAAAATTCTCAAAAAATTCAGGGATGTAGAACTCGACGTGCTGATTCTAAAAATGTATCGTATTTATAAGTTCACTACGCTACATTTTCGAAATGTACGATTGTATAAAGTCAATTTTTTTTAATTGGAAAAATTTCGATACTTCAACAACCGATTCTGGAAAAACTTTTGGAGCTTTTAAAGAAGAGAGCTCGGAAGTGAATTCTAGTGCTCGAAATCTACAAGAAAATGTATTCAGTTAAATTTCGAAAATGGTCAACAGTGGGTCGAAATTTGAATAAGGGGGAAAATTGACTCTTAAGAAAATTGTCTAAAAATTCTCAAAAAATTCAGGGACGTAGATCTTGCTGTTCTGATTCCAAAAATATACCGTGTTTATGTTTATCGGGCAACATTTTCAAAATGTACGATTTAAAAGTATTTCACAGTTGAATATAACTTTATTGGTATCGAAATGACAATTTGAACTTATAACAATAACAGTTATTACAACTTTTTATTATAAGTGAGCTTAACTAGATCTCCCAGCTGCTCTCCAACCATAACAGTAGGTGCATTCGGGTGACCAGCCAAAGGAAAAGGAAAAACACTAGCATCTGCAACTCTCAGATTTCTAAAACCAAAAACCTTCAATTTGGAATCAACGACAGCTCCCTTTTTAGGATCGGTTCCCATGGGACAGGTTCCCAGTGGATGGTACAAGTTAGAAGAAACTTGTCGTATAGCGCAGTACCAGTAGTCTTCAGAAAGATACTCATGCTTCCTACAAGCTCTTAAGGGCCCTCCTTGCAAAGTAGCGTTCATTGCTCTAAAAGCTTTCGTCTTGAGTAATTTCAAAACTAATTGAACCCCTTCATAAAGGACCCTTATATCCTTATTTCCAGAATCGGATAAAAGATTTGTATCGATCATGGGATACTCGTACGGATTCCTGCTTTTCAGTCTGATGGTACCCTTAGATACGTCATGTAAGCTGACAACATAGACAGTAAACGACTGAGGTACGTTAATATTCTTCCACAAATCTTCGTACGTTTCTTCAGTCAGCTCAAGACTTCTCGCCGAAAGTGAACTCGTGGCGTTGGCCGCAATAAACTCTAGCTCTATGTCAGGAATTCCAGTACCTTTCGTGTAGCTAGATTCGTAGAAACCAACTCCTGCGTTATTATTAGCAATCGCAAAAGGACCCACACCGTTTAAATATTCTTCAACGTAATCTCTTAAAGGTCGTACCGGTTCAGTGTAGTTAGTGTGAACTGTAAGTCCATAGAAGAGAGTGTTGTCTCTGAGAGCAGTACCCACTGGCAAATCGGCAACCACATCAATTTTTAAATCTTCTAAATGCTGTTTTGGGCCAATCCCCGACCACATTAGTATTTGCGAAGTACCAATGGCACCGGCTGCAAGAATCACCTCTTTCTTCACTTCAACGAAATAATTTTTACCTTTGTGACTAAACTCGACCGCCTTAGCGACCCCTTTATCTGTCAGTATTTTCTTAACGTAACTATGCGTTAAAATCTCCAAATTTTTTCTTTGTCGTACCGGGCGAAGAAAAGCTTTGGCGCCATCTAATCTTCTCCCATTGATTGTGTTAATTTGCGACTGTGACGCTCCCAGTTTATTCGCGTTGTAGTCTACAATGTCGAAACCTAGTTCTTTGTTAGCTTCCAAAAAAGCATTCAATTGTGGACTGTTCGGTTGATGGTACTCGACTCGTAGATAACCTCCGGTTCCATGATAAGATGGGTCATAGGGTGCCTGTTTATCGTTGTGAACAAAGTTCTCGGATTTTTTGAAATAGTGAAGTACCGAGTCGTACCCCCATCGTTTATCGTTGGCAAACTTTTCCCACTTGTCAAAGTCGGACTTGTAGCCTCGAGCGTAAACTAAACCGTTAATTAAGGTGGTACCACCAACGCCTTTGCCTCGGGGATACAGACAAAGTTGATTTCGGGCTCCTAAAGAGCAGTACTACACTTAAATCGATTTTGTTTTGTCAAATACGTACCTAAACAGCATGTTTTCTGTGGTGTACTGTTGTAGGCCCAATTGTAGTGGCTGAACTCAATGGGCGTGTACAAATTAGGTACATCGGTGGCGTTGTCTCCGTAGCCACCAGCTTCTAATACCAACACGTTCCAGTTTTCAATTTCTGAGAGGCGACTAGCAGCTACGGAACCACCAGCACCGGCTCCGATCACCACAAAGTCGTAACTTCCATATTCTTTAAAAATGTTATTAACATTTAAGACAAAAGTATAAGTAATGTAGTACGTTGACGTTTTCCGTCTGAATAATATTCGTAGGCGTCGGTGGGCCATTTGTATGTTTCTCCGTTTTTGTAAAGGTCTGTGATTAGTTGTACGTAATACTCTACTGTAGCACTATCGTTTTGGGAGTGTAGTGGTACAACTAGAAGAAATACGGCAAGTAAGTTCGCGATCATTGTTATTGGACTATACAAGTGGTACTAATGTTACTGCACTTATACCACACACGCATATATTGTATATATATACGCTATAGATAAGCAACTGCGTATTAAAAATATTAGCATCTAATTATGATAAACCTATTGCATTTTTAAAATACGATAAGTTTATATTTTTGTAATTTTACTGCTCTGTCAGCTACTATGATTTATGCAGTAAATATCATTAGGCTCTTGATGAAGTAGTACAATTTGAAGGGACTGAAATAAGAATCCGTACTTTTCTGATAAACTATTAGTAATAACGAGTCCGCTAGTACCGTATTCTTAGAATCGAAGTTGTTTATGTAGACTGCAAAAATGAGGCTTTCTTTGTATTTAATAAACTTTTACGTTTCTCGTTTGTATGGTACTTGTAGTCATTTGTCCATAGTTTATATAAATACATAAGCATATCTAAATAAACTGTCACCAGTTGTGATTAAAAAAAAACTGCTAAAACAGACAGGCTTAAAAATTGTACATTAAGGTATGATTGAGTACTCCACAGTTGAAATAATTTAATTGAAACCGAAATAACAAGTCGTACTTATAATAAAAAGAACTATTGTTAACACCTTTTTAATTTTATTTTTCGTTATAAGTGAGCTTAACTAGATCCCCCAGCTGCTCTCCGACCATAACAGTAACTGCATTCGGATGACCTGCCAAAGGTAACGGAAGAACACTAGCATCCGCGATTCTCAGATTTCTGAAACCAAACACTTTCAACTCTGAATCTACAACAGCCCCTTTTTTGGGATCGGTTCCCATGGGACAGGTTCCCAGCTGATGGTACAAGCTGGAAGACACTTGTCGTATAGCGCAGTACCAGTAGCCTTCAGAAAGGTACTCATGCTTTCTACAAGCTCTTAAAGGCCTTCCTTGTAAAGTAGCGTTCATCGCTCGAAAAGCGTTCGTCTTGAGCAATTTCAGAACCAGTTGAACCCCTTCATAAAGGATCTTTATATCCTTGTTGGCAGAATCCGACAGAAGATTTGAATCGATCACAGGATATTCGTACGGATTTTTACTCTTCAATCTGATAGTACCCTTGGATACGTCGTGTAAGCTGACAATATAAACAATAAACGACTGAGGTATGTTGACGTTCTTCCACAAATCTTCGTACGTTTCTTCAGTCAGCCCAAAACTTTTCGCCGAAAGTGAGTTTGTGGCATTTGCCGCAACAAACTCTAGCTCTATATCAGGTGTACCAGTACCTTTCGTGTAGCTAGATTCGTAGAAACCTATTCCTGCATTATTATTAGCAATCGCGAAAGGGCCCACATCGTTCAAATAGTCTTCAACGTAATCTCTTAAAGGTCGTACCGGTTCGGTGTAGTTAGTGTGAACCGTAATTCCATAGAAGAGACTGCTATCTCTGAGAACAGTACCGACTTCCAAATTAGCAACCACATCAATCTTTAAATCTTCTAAATGTTTTCTAGGGCCAATCCCCGACCACATTAATATTTGTGAACTACCAATAGCACCGGCTGCAAGGACCACTTCTTTCTCTACTTCAATGAAATAATTTTTACCCTTGTGACTAAACTCGACCTCTCTAGCGACCCCTTTATCTGTCAATATTTTCGTAACGTAACTATGCGTTAAAATCTTCAGATTTTTTCTTTGTCGTACCGGGCGAAGGAAAGCTTTGGCACCATCTAGTCTTCTCCCACTGATTGTGTTGATTTGCGTCTGTGACGCCCCCAGCTTATTGGCATTATAGTCCGCAATATCGAAACCCAGTTCTTCGTTAGCTTTCAAAAAAGCATTCAGTTGTGGACTGTTTGGTTGGTGGTACTCTACACGTAGATAGCCTCCGATTCCATGATACGAAGGATCATAGGGTGCTTGTTTATCGTTGTGAACAAAATTCTCGGATTTTTTGAAATAGTGTAGTACCGAGTCGTACCCCCATCGCTTATCGTTGGCAAATTTTCCCCATTGGTCGAAGTCGGACTTGAAGCCTCGAGCGTAAACTAAACCGTTAATTAAAGTGGTACCACCAACGCCTTTGCCTCGGGGATACAGACAAATGTGATTTCGAGCACCTAAGGAACAGTGATTCACATAGATCGATGATTATGTTTCAGTATTTACCTAAACAGCATGTTGTCTGTGGTGTTCCGTTGTAAGCCCAGTTGTAATCAGTGTATCCAATGGGACTGTACAGGCCAGGAACATCAGTGGCATTGTCTCCATAGTCGCCAGCTTCCAGTACTAACACGTTCCAGCTTTCAATTTCTGATAGACGACTAGCAGCTACGGAACCACCAGCACCGGCTCCAATCACCACAAAGTCGTAGCGTCCGTATTCTTACAATTGGGATTGTTTCTGTGAAGTGGAAAAAGTCATATTTAATTTGTACTTACTTTTGGGTTTTTCATTTGAATAGTACTCGTAAGCATTTGTAGGCCATTGGTACGTGAGAGCATTTTGAGTAGTGTTGCTGATTAAGTTCACATAATAGTTGACAGTTGAATCGTTTTGGTCACCGTAAAGTGGTACCAATAGAAATAATATAGCAAATACTTTCAAGTACATTGCAGTTGCTATGTGAACTATATTATATTTAGTAATGATGTGTCCTTTTATACTACATCGTTACTATTCGATTGTAAAGGCAGTAATTATTTTTCAATGTCTAGAATATCACACACGCTATAGATAGACAAAAAAGGAACGATAAAATGGGTATGTATTCTAGTAGAAATTGTACAATAAGGTCACATTAAATACTTCGCAATTAAATTTAAATTTATTGGTACCCAAATAACAAAGCGTACTTTTAACAAAAACAGTTATTATTATCTGGTTTAGTTTTTGTTATAAGTGAGCTTAACTAGATCTCCCAGCTGTTCTCCGACCATAACAGTAGGTGCATTCGGGTGACCTGCCAAAGGTGAAGGAAAAACGCTAGCATCCGCAATTCTCAGATTCCTGAAACCAAAAACCTTCAATTTTGAATCAACGACAGCTCCTTTTTTAATATCGGTTCCCATGGGACAGGTTCCTAGCGGATGGTACAAGTTAGAAGACACTTGTCGTATAGCGCAGTACCAGTAACCTTCAGAAAGGTACTCGTTGTTTCTACAAGCTCTTAAAGGTCTCCCTTGTAAAGTAGCGTTCATCTTTCTAAAAGCTTTCGTCTTGAGTAATTTTAAAACCAATTGAATTCCTTCATAAATGATCTTTATGTCCTTGTTTCCACGATCTGACAGAAAATTTGAATCGATCATCGGATAGTCGTACGGATTTTTGCTTTTTAATCTGACGGTCCCAGTAGACACGTCATGTAAGCTGACAACATAAACTACTAAAGACTGAGGTACGTCAACGTTCTTCCACAAATCTTCGTACGTTTCTTCAGTCAGCCCAACCCTTTTCGCAGAAAGTGAATTTGTGGCGTTTGCCGGAATAAACACCAGTTCTATGTCAGGAGTTCCAGTACCTTTCGTGTAGCTAGATTCGTAGAAACCCACTCCTGCGAGGTTATTAGCAATTGTAAAAGGGCCCACGCCTTTCAAATAGTCTTCAACATAATCCCTTAAAGGTCGTACCGGTTCGGTGTAGTTAGTGTGAATTGTAATTCCATAGAAGAGAGTGTTGTCTCTGAGAACAGTACCGACTTCCAAATCGGCAACCACGTCAATCTTTAAATTGTTTAAATGACGTTTGGGGCCAATTCCCGACCACATTAGTATTTGTGGAGTACCAATAGTACCGGCTGCAAGAATCACCTCTTTGTTTACTTCCACGAAGTAATTTTTGCCTTTGTGACTAAACTCGACCGCCGTAGCGACCCCTTTATCTGTCAGTATTTTCGTAACGTAACTGTGCGTTAAAATTTTCAAATTTTTTCTTTGTCGTACCGGGTGCAGGAAAGCTTTGGCGTCGTCTAATCTTTTCCCATTGATTGTATTGATTTGTGTTTGTGACGCTCCCAATTTATTCGCATTATAGTCTGCAATATCGAAACCCAGTTCTTTGTTAGCTTCCAAAAAAGCATTCAGTTGTGGACTGTTCGGTTGGTGGTACTCTACTCGTAGATAGCCTCCGGTTCCATGATAAGAGGGGTCACAGGGTGCCTCTTTATCGTTGTGAACAAAGTTCTCGGATTTTTTGAAGTAGTGAAGTACCGAGTCGTATCCCCATCGTTTATCGTTGGCAAACTTTTCCCACTTGTCGAAGTCGGACTTGTAGCCTCGAGCGTAAACTAAACCGTTGATTAAGGTACTACCACCAACGCCTTTGCCTCGAGGATATAGACAAATTTGATTTTGAGCACCTAAAGAGTGGTACTACATGTATATTGATTTTTTTTTTCTAATACGTACCTAAACAACATGTTTTCTGTGGTGTACTGTTGTAAGCCCAATTGTAGTGGGTGAATTCAATTGGCGTGTAAAGATTAGGTACATCGGTGGCGTTGTCTCCGTAGCCGCCAGCTTCTAGTACCAACACGTTCCAAGTTGCAATTTCTGAGAGACGACTTGCGGCTACGGAACCACCAGCACCGGCTCCGATCACCACGAAGTCGTAATTTCCATATTCTTAAAAAAAAACTTTAATAGTACTTAAAGAAAAAGTACAAAAAACGTAGTACTTTGGCGTTCTATGTGGGAATAATATTCATAGGCGTTGGTAGGCTGTTGGTACGTTTGTCCGTTTTCGTAAAGGTCGGTAATTAATTGTGCATAGTACTCAACTGTAGCACTATCGTACTGTGAGTGTAATGGTACTACTAAAAGAAAAACGGCAAGTAACGTTGCGATCATTGTAGGGAATGATTAAAGGTGGTACTAATGGGATTGTGTTTATTGTATATATGCTATAGATAAGCAAATGGATATTTCAGTACATTTACATCTAATTAAATTGTGAAAAAGAAAAATTACTGCAATGATAAGATATAACAGGTGTGTATTTTGTAAATTGGATTACTTTGTCGTTTTACTATAATTTATACAAAACATATCATTAAGCACATGATAAATCAGTACAATTTTAATGGGACCTAAATAAGACTCCTACTTTCAACCAGAACCATTATTATTAACAGTTTCTTAGTCATACTTTCCGTTGTAAGTGAGCTTAACTAGATCTTCCAGCTGTTCTCCGACCATAACAGTAGGTGCATTCGGGTGACCTGCCAAAGGGGAAGGAAAAACGCTAGCATCCGCAATTCTCAGATTCCTGAAACCAAAAACCTTCAATTTTGAATCAACAACAGCTCCGTTTATAGGATCGGTTCCCATGGGACAGGTTCCCAGCGGATGGTACAAGTTGGAAGACACTTGTCGTATAGCGCAGTACCAGTAACTTTCAGAAAGGTTCTTGTGCTTTCTACAAGCTCTTAAAGGACTCCCTTGTAAACTAGCGTTTGTGTTTGTTTGAACCGGTGACGCTCCTAGCTTGTTTGCGTTATAGTCTGCAATCTCGAAACCTAGTTCTTTGTTAGCTTCCAAAAAAGCATTCAATTGTGGACTCTGCGGCTGGTGGTACGTCACTTGTAGATAGCCTCCGGTTCCATGGTACGCAGGATCATAGGGTGCCTGTTTGTCGTTATGAACAAAATTCTCAGATTTTTTGAAGTAACGGAGTACCGAGTCGTACCCCCATCGCTTATCGTTGGCAAACTTTTCCCATCTGTCGAAATCGGATTTATAGCCTCGAGCGTATACTAAACCGTTGATTAAGGTACTGCCACCAACGCCTCTGTCTCGAGGATACAAACAAATTTGGTTTTGAGCACCTGAAGAATTGTACTAGATATAGATATTTTTATGTGAAATTCGTACCTAAACAGCATGTTTTCTGTGGTGTGCTATTGTATGCCCAGTTGTAGTTGGTGTATCGAACAGGAGTGTACAAATCAGGTACATCGGTGGCGTTGTCTCCATACACTCCAGCTTCAAGTACTAAGACGTTCCAGCTTTCGATTTCTGAAAGACGACTAGCAGCAACGGAACCACCAGCCCCGGCTCCGATCACCACGAAATCGTAACTTCCATACTCTTCAAAAACGTTATTAATACTTATAGAAAAATTACTCAAAATATAGTACTTTGGCGTTTTGTGTTTGAATAATATTCGTGTGCATTGGTGGGCCATTCGTATGTTTCACCGTTTTTGTAAAGGTCGGTGATTAGTTGTACGTAGTACTCCACTGTAGCAATATCGTATTGGCACAGTGATGGTACCAGTAAAAGCAATACTGGAAACAAATTTGCGAGCATTTTTTTAACTTTGAAACGGCGTTCTACCAGTCTAATGTTTATATAGACCAAAAATGCAAAACTTTCAATTATGTAAGAATTTGTGAAAAACACTAAAATGTATGTGAAAAAAGAATGTAAGTTAATGCTTACGTATGCATATGAATGTGTGACATGGTGTTGACGCAGATGTTTTTTTTTTGTTTGTGGAAACTTTGGATGCGAAATTCATTTTTCTAACACGTAATAGAAAAGAGGTCTAACACTTACTCTTTGCGAAGCGAGGATATTTCTTTTGTTTTGTCCCTTTATATATTTTTTATACATAAAACAAAACATTTTTCTATTCAGCGGACAGTTTTTCTATCGCCAAGAAGATATGACATGGATAAAATCATTGTTTTCTTCCATCATTAAGCTTCTCGTGAAACAGTCTTACAAGAATTTGCAAAAAATGTGCTATTTATGATGCGGCTAAACAACGTGGTCAATATTTTGCCATTTTCGACACAATTAAATGTAGTAGTCGACAATTTGTAAATATTTAAAATAATCAGCTTGACAGTATAAAATTACATTAATAAGAGAGTTTTTTTATTTCTTATTATTTTTAAAAATCAAGATAGAACTTTACCCATTGTCTTCGTTTACAATTTTGTTCCAGTTCTGTTCCTGCGCACTCCCAATAGCCATAAATAATAAAAAACCGAAAATTAAGACAAAAATAGTCATCCAAAAAGCGTGATCCCAACCAATCATAGAACCCTACAATTTTAGTACCATCAGATACAGGAATAAAAGTCACGGTATTTTATTACATCTTTAACTTTTGCTTCTAAGACTACAAGGAAAATCATTCTAAACACATTTCCACAACCATTGCTAATCGCCGTAATAATTCCAGTAAAATTTGGTGCCAGTTCCAAACTATTTACCTGGAGGAGTGTATAGTGTATGTGTATAGAACAAACAGCGACCGAAATACTGATAACCGCTAGGATTCTATCACACTTTACCAAGTAGAATACGCTCACAAAGAGAAGGGAACTGGCAATAGCTAGAATATTTTTTAGCGAGGCACAAAAATCAGGTGGTCCTTACCGCAAGCAATAAACAATTTCCTGGTCACCGTGATATTGGCGCGTTTTTCGTATACCAGCCAATCGGACAAACACCCGAAAACTATAGCAGTAGTCCAAGTGACCAATGACTGTATTATCTTAATGTACATTTGCGTGTCGTAGGTTAATCTTAAAATAAGTTCCACGTATTCGGAGATACGACCACTCAAGGCGGAGAAAAACCAAAGGACGCTCACATTGCTTGCAGTCAGCGCCCATACAGGAAGAGAAGACAAGATTAATCGCCACGGTACCACCTTCCTTCCGACGACAAGCTGATTTGCTGGAAGACAGTTGTTGAAAATGTACTACTTGGGGTGTTCTCACCTAAATCTTCGATAAGAAAGTCTCTCTCTTGGACATTCATACGAGTATGGACGTGCGGTCTTGAGTAGAAAAAAAAGTGCCATAGAAAACACCAAACTACTCCGAAAGCGCCGAGGAGATAATAAAGTATTTTATACTCAGTCGAGTGGTCCACTAGAGTCACGTATATAAACAGACTCAAGCTAGTACCGACAAAGGTCACCGCGTATACTAAACTTAGAACTGAGGCTCTAGCTTTTCTGGGAGTCCAGTAAGCGAGGACGGTATTAACTGCAGGATAACAAGCACCTTGGAACATTCCATTCAATATTCTCAAGACGAAGAACTTGTAGTACACCTGTTCACTCATCATCAACACGGCAGGTGTTACCAAATTACACAAAGAACTTCCCAAAATTGTTATAGTCAGTAGATGTTTACCTCCGTACTGATCGGCGACATAACCTGCAGCAAACTGTGAGAAGATGTTAACCCAATAGAACGAAGTGATAAACAGGTCCTGGGTAAATCTGCTCCACTCGAAGATTACAGTATGGAAAAAAAAGTCCTAATAATATGTTAAAGTGTGTCTTCGGTTTGCTCACTGTACGGTGTCCTAGACTTTCAAGGGGAATATCGCATGTTTTATTGGGATCGACAGATCGACGCTTTTGTAGTACCCCATGTAGTATGCTGTTTTCCATTGCTATGGCGCAGCAAAGTCCGATACTAACCATAACGTACAGGAGATAACGATGACGGAATAGGAAGCCTAGAAATCTAATCATTGGCAGCTAAAAATGTGGACTACTTACATTTTGGCAATGGGCTTCCAGTTTGTATCGATACACCTCCAGAACTTTGAGACGTCGAGGGTTGCCCGAATACATATTGTACTGCAGGCAGTTTAAATTTAGAATTCGACCGTAATTTTTTCATTTTGATACCTTTGAACTGTCAAAGTGACTAATGGAAACGATCAACCACACCTAATAAACACGAAATTGTTAACAGTTGCCGGTCATTTATATACAATAGGGCGTCAACACCAAGGTGATTAGTCGCTTAGGAGTGGTACGTCAGTTATGATTGACCCACAAATGCCAAAGCAAGAAGGTGGCCAATAAAAAACAGAAGTTTGAAAGGGAACATAAGAGTAGAATTTACTTGAAATTTAGTCAAATTTGAAAAGTGAACGTTCAGCACAAAAAATCTGTAAGGCCATTTGCAGCTCGTTCCATGTAAAATATCTCACCTACGTCATCCCATAACCAGCAATCAGCATTTCCGTATCACTTGAAACGTCGTTTTAATCCGACCAAACGGAATTTTAAAATCGCCTACGATTTGTCGGGGCATTCAGTATCCCATTTTTCAAATATTTAAAATCCCGGCATTCCAGTGTTCTGTGCAGTATTTACCCAGCAGCTTTCTCTCTCCAGCGGCCCCTATTTACCAAATTTGCTTCCATCCAACTTCTTTGTTCAAACATTCAAACATGTCCTTACTCCTCCGAAATTCGCAACTATTTGCCACAAAATAACCCCAAACTTCCGAACCGAGTAGCACTTTGCATTCCGAAAGTACAAACGTCTTTCCAGATAGCGCTCCCGAGCGATTGTAAAACTTTATTGTTGTCTTTATACGCCGCTCCGAGTTCTTTTAAGAAAATAAACGAAACCGAATCAAACAAAATTGGTTATTTGGATGCACCGTGATAGATTCCTGATAAAAGTAGAGAAAATAAACACTCCGAATAGGGCGCAACAGTTTCATAAATTTTCAAAAAACCAAGAAGTAAAAGACTTGATAGGGTTTCGTGTTTATCAAAAATACCTACTTGTGTGCGGAGCTCCACATTGTAGTGGTTTTGGTATGTATTTTTGCTGTTTGTGGGCCGCGACGTCCGGAAAGCCCGCTAAACGTCTGAAATCCCCCCGGAAATGTATTATTAGTGATTACACTCCCACTTAATCCCTAGAAGTGAGCATAGCCCGCAGCCAGCGCCAGAACAATAATAGTCAAAGTCGTAACAATTCTCCCCCATGGACTCTTCTCAGCGCAAAACTATCCATCTTTTATGAGGCTTACCTCGTGGAACGGCGCTACCAACTGTAGGTCACGTGCGTCGGCAGGTTGGCCACTTTCCAACTGAAAATATTTGTCATTACCGGCGAGAAATAAAAGAAGCCGATCCCGAAGGATCGAAATGGAGATGTTCTTTTTTCCGGTACAGCGAACGGGATTTATGGGAAACGGCTTCCGCCGTTGACCTCCAGTGAGATTAAAAAGCATAAAATACATTCGGGGATTCATATCATTGGCGTTGCAAACTGATGAAAAATTGATGTTACTAGAAAGCCGCTGGTTCAGTTGGTATTTTCGTGGGGTTTATGTGCGTGTTGTAATTTCTGACGTTAATACCGGGGCCCACGCGCCTGATTTATTCCCGAGTATTTTCTCATTTTTGCTGTTTTCAGCTTTTCTTTCTCCGGGAAATATATGTTGGAGAAAGGAGAGATTAGCATGGAATTGGTGGGTGACGCTTTGAAGTTGTAGATAAGGATGAGAAAGTGCAATTTATGAGTCTCTTTTTGCGATTTTATTAGCGAAATGCGAAGGCGGAGGCTTTGCGCTGTTTTAGAGCTTTCGGGAACGCGGTCTATAAATAACGCTCTAAGGATAAAAACAAAAACATTTGCGTCGTGTATAGCAGAAAATGCACCGCCGAAATAACGTGTGTGTTATGAAACCACCTTGTCACTAATTTTTGTCCGTGACTTTATTTCAGTATTGTTGTTGTTGTTTACTTTTAATTTAATTCGAACGCAGTCACAGACAATATAGACGAGTCATTTTTAACGTCAAACAAATTCCGGCGCATTTCATGCATCACTGATTTCATAAATACGAAAGCCCCGAAGGTAAACAAAACAGCTCCGTAAACACCTCAGCCAAACAAACATTCCGACATTTGAGCAATTTTAATGTCACAACTCCCTCAACTAAAACCCTCATTTGTCCACAAATGTCAACCCAATCTTCAATCTATAATCAATGGCGCTTCCATAACTCACTAATGCCGAATCTACCCTCGCAAATGTCAAATGGCAAATCCCAGCCAACGTTCCAATTTATTTATGGGTTCTGACGTGCGAACACCCACATAATTAAAGCACATCGAAAGCTTTTAAATACGCTGCAATAAACGATACCTCTCGCTTTGTTTCCCCGGATGCCGCGCAAAAGCGAAACGTGACACTGAATTAATCAGATAACCTGGAACAGAAAGAACTGTCTGTGTTCATAAGACCTCACATAGTGCCCAAGTTTTCGCGCATTATTCCAGAACTTTCCGCGATAAATAGTTTTCGCACAACTCCTGTTCCTTGATAAGTACCACTTTTCGTACTGCCTCTAGTGTGAGCGATGGCTTTCAGGCCGACATCCAGCATGTGGCCCTCTCCTACGAGTCCGAGGACGAGATCATGGCCCGCATGTACAACAAGGGCCGCCGCGGTACCGCCCACTACAGCAAGCAGGACATTCGGGAGCAGTACTGCATCTCGGACCGGGGCCTGGGCGCTCTGGAGTCCGACCGTCAGAGTCTTTTTGGCTGTTTGTCGTCGCATCAAAGCTCACCTTGCTCAAACCGTGCTTCTTTCCTCACCGCCTGTGTTCGCCAGAAAGTACCATCCGACGAGAACCTGTACGAGCTGTACCGGAAGCATCCGGCGGAGTACGCGCCGTACCCTCGAAGGAGCAGGTAAGTGGAGATTTTTGCGCGTCAAAACTATCCGGAAATTAACGCAGCTGAGTTTTTTCGGTCTTCCAAAAAGGTTAAGTTTTTCTCCCCACTTTGAATAAGTAGTTTTAGTTTTGCGATCACGCAGCTGCTGAATTTTTGGACGTTTAGCTCGTGGTTTGGCCGAAGTCATCGCGTGATGCTTGTTTAGATACCCGTGGGGGCCCTTAGCCCCTGAAATTTATCGATACGACGAAGACTTGAAGAGCTCATATTTCCGGAGAAAAGTTCACACCGATCCCACTAGATACACTTGGATGCCTTCGGATGACGAATCGGTCCGGATGGAGAAGCCCAGATCGATACTGGAGCCGTATCATGCGAATCAGCAACCATCGACGCCCATCCCGAGGTGGGTCATGGGCAGGGAATTAGCGTTACACTTAAACCCCCAGCTTACAAGCTAAATCGTTCAAATAAAACCCGCCCCGTGTAAGTTTAGTTAGCCGAAGTAATCGACCCCGGGATTCCTTATCGATCTTCTTGTGATTACTTTAATCACGTAACGTTAACCACTGATTAAACTTGCACGTGCCTGGATTTTTCGCCCTGCTCACACCCGAAATTCCAGCAAGAAGCACGTGAGCTTCGCTCGTTCGCACACCATGGCGTCCTTCGACGACGCCATGACGTCCTTGAGTTCCTCCTCGAGCCAGCTGAACCGAATGACCCGCAGCCAGGAGCGCCTCCTCGACGTGCGGAAGTCCGAAGGACTCCCGATAACGCGCCAGCCGGAGCCATCCGATAATCTATTAATTATAGGTGAGTTGCGGCCTTTAATGGACCATCCATTACTGGAACGACGCGCCGTTAAACGAACAAGATGGAATTTCTTTCGGAGTCAACGAGAAGGGAAATTTCCGAGTTATGATTTTTTCGGCGCTCTCTTTCGACCCTCGTTCGTCCATTAAATTAAAGAATTATTACCGCGGGATTTTTTCTTGAGCAATTCGAGATTACGACGGTTTATTTCGATTCGCGAAGAGGACTTAATGAGGGTTTAGGCTGCCGGAACGGTTTCAACAGGTCGGGGAGTGTTTGTGCTGGCGAGGGGCGGCCAGAATCACTTAAGGGCACGGAGGGCGTATTATTTGGCGGCGCGGGAAGAAAATTTCTACCTTGAAGGGTCGTTCCCGTGGGGGCTAACGGTGGAAGACAAATCTGCACCGGAAGGCAGGCACGGGTTCTGCGAAATTGTGGGGTCTTTACAATTATGGGATTTGAGTTGCTGTTGGAGAGTGGGGGACGCCACTTTCACAGAACGGATGTATTACTGGTTGCGTAACGACAATTTTAAATAACGCATTTAGTGATCCTGGCTCCGGAAAAGTTCTTGATGTTCCTAAATCCGGTGCGATGTACCTTTCCCGAGTACACTTCTACCAGTTCAGCCAACTGCCGCACTCTACAAAAGCGCAACGACGACCCACAACATCTTTTCTAGGAGGACAAAGGTTTCAGATTTTTTTTCCGAGACGCTGAATTTACGTTAGGTAAAATTTAAGGAACATAACGTGTAATACCAGGGAAAGATCTTGCGCTTTCTGGGTCAGCTATCTAGTTATCGGTAGTTCTTGAGCAAGCCGTCGTTGATTTAGTGGTATTCGCTTCGCGTCTCCGGTGGCGTGTTCCGAGAATTTAGCGTTTGGTAAAAAATGCGGAGTGTCAGTGCGATTTTGGTGGCTCTGTTAAATTTCATCCCTCGATTTCCACACCTTATTGATTTCTTTTCTCAGATAAAGTTAAGAGAGCTCCAATGAAAACCCAAGCAACTCAAACAGAGGCTTGTTTAGGTAGGAAGCCTCTACCACCTGGCAACATCAATCTGAGTCCCAGAACCATACACAGGGTAAGTTTTGTTTGCTCGATGATTGTTGAATTAATAACAGACCTACGCAAACAAGCCCTAAATTAATGGTTTAATTACAACATTCAATTCCCGGCCGATAATATATGTAATAAACCATCAACACGGCGTAATTAGTTTCCGAGCTGAGATCTTATCCGGAACGGCGACACGAAAAGAGACGAAACATCTATTAAAAAATCTATTGGGTGCGTGTAGAAGGAAAAGAGAAAATGTCTCTGCGGTTCTATCAAACTTCGCCCACTTTCCACAAACTGACTTAAAACTTTTAAAAGGCGCTCGGTTTGTTCTAATAAAGAAAATAACGAGCTTTCGTCTGGATTTGGTGAATTTTCTACAAAAGCCGTGATCGTTCTGGAAAAAATTACTTAAGGCCTGTAAAAAATCCATTTTAATAAAGAACAATAAAGCTCGAGCATCGGAATCGTCCGCGTAATAAAACCCGGTCTTTACTTAAGCAAGCGAAATCGGTTTTAATTTTAATTCATTAAGTTCACGTTATTAAAAGTCTCCTTTTCGCAACTTCATTACCACTGTTGATTTTGTTTTTACGGATTTAAGTGGCGTAGGTCGCTATAAAGAGGAAACGTGGGCGTCCGGGGAAGCTCGAGCGCGGGGCTTTGTGTATCCCAATACGAGTAATTTGTTTGCTCACAAAGCCGGTTTGAAATAAAACCGTTGATTTGAATGACCGATTGATAGGAGTATTCCAGTGTTTGATTGGTGTGAACGACGGTCTTTGTTCTTTTGTGCGCGATGAATAAAAGATGCCTGCTTTGTTGGTTCTTTATCACCTGATATTTCCGAGGGAATCGTTATCGCATTATGGGAGAACCTTGTTAGGATCTGCATGCGGATGATTGAGCGACTACTTACAGGAATAGGAAAAGTGAAAGGTCGAGAATGAAGACAGATCGCGGCGGCGGCGCTCATTTGGCGCAGCAGGACGGATACGAGAAGGACAAAGCAAAGAAAACTTTGTTGTTTTAATTAAATTGGAAACATTCGCGATCCCCGAAAAGGAAAAGGCGCGCACGCTTTCCTAGCCGGGATTCTTAAAAATTACCCTCTGGCGGACCTCTAAAACAATAGGGTTCCGCGAAGACCTAATTCTTGATAAACCCGAACAAGCACCCACCTCGAGCCAGTTCACAAAACACCTCGCAAATAAATAATGATCTAGTTAATTACCCGCTGAGAAATTATCCCATAACGCCGTAATTTCGCCGGAATTCACTTCAACCCGTCTACGTAAAATGAAACCGATACATAAAAACTAGCACTCAGTTTTAAGCACGATTTGTTATTCCTCCTACAATCCCAAGAACCTAATTCCCCTTTTCGCCAGGTTAAAATGGTGTCCCAAGGCGCCCAAACCAACGGCATCCTCGTCAACGGCCGCAAACTAATCAAGTCTTTCTCAGAAGCAGGTACAAAATTCGAGTACTCCCCTTTCGAGCCGATCGGCGACCACGAGCCCCTCCAGCGCACCCAGTCCGACGAGCCGCCCCGCTCCCCCTTCATCGTCACGTCCCCGCCGCACGTGCAGCTCCTCGAGCCCCCCAGCTCCTCCTCCTCCTTGTCCCGCTCCGACCACGAGTCCGAAGACTCGGAATCAAAGAAAGAAATCTTCATAGACTTCAAACCCCAAGTGTCGTCGGTCCAGGGCAAGCTGGTGCGGCGGCCCCTGACCAAGACGGTCTCGGACGGCGAGATGCTGATCGAGCAGAGGAAGATCCTGACGATCGAGGACGTGCCCGTGGTTTTCGACAAGACGTTGACGAGTTTCAGTCACGAAAATATCATCATCACGGACGAGGAGCAGAGGGTCTTCACGCCGTATTTCCAGAAGGCGCCGATCAGGCATGAGGGGATTTGTAGGCCGCTGGAAGATAGCGTGTATTCGTCGTTATCCTTTGAGGATAATAATTTTCACACGCAGGATTCGATAGACGAGGAGTTTCACGAAAATTTGATTTATAACAGGATGTATATGCGGCAGGAGTCGAATGAGAATGAGCTGGTTCTGAGTTATTCGCCCAACGACGAGTGCGTCGTGCCGTCGGTGTGTCTGCTCCCGGATAGGAAATTGTCGCCTTTCGCATCCACGGACTCGCTGGCTAACGACATGAGGTAAGGGTTCGAAGATTTTGAATTTGGCGCCTTTTAACGACGATTAAATTCGGATTTTACGCCTTCGCGCCCATCGATTTGTTTAGTTTGAATTTCCCGGCGTTCGTTACTAGCCAGAATGAAACTAATTTAGCTCCAATTAAAGTTCAAACGGTTTCAATTTGTCTAACTGTGGAAAAAAACTTATTATATAAACGAGTTTATATAATAAGCAACGTTGATTAATAAATCTGGAAGTAACAAAGTTTTTTCAGGACTAATTCTCTCCGCCTGTCTAAACTAATTACCAATTAAAACCTTTTTAATGAATATGAAACTGGAGGGATATTGATGCTTCAACTCGCTTTTTTATACCTTCCGTTTTTGAGTAAATCTTTCACCATTAGCTTTCGAGAGGATTAAGGAATGCTTGCAAATTAAATTGAAATTTAACTCAAGTGCAGCGAATTTTCCATCAATAAGAAGATTTTTTCTCGATTTGATTCGCTCGAAAAGCATTTCGATAATCTAATTTTCTGCCAGAGTTGCAACGCACCCTCCAAAATTAAAAGGCTTACACTAACAGGAATTTGTTGAAGTATTCGCAAATTTAATACGTTGTAACACTTTAACACTTCAGGAGCGAGGGAAGTTCTGTCGAAATAACTTTCGACCATTTTTTTGCAACGAATTTCAGATTAAAAATCATTAGTTGACGTTAAAAAATGTTCTAATTTGCAGTATCAAACGTTTGAAAACAACCTTAATTAACCTTTTAAAGTAATTCTTGATGAAAATTTCAATTTGTTTAGCAATTTTTGCAATGGGAAGTTCGAACTGTGGTCGGGATTTTTTAGCTTCTTTTAAGACTGTTGAAATGAGGGGTTCGTGTAGGGATCACTCCGACGGCATATGGAACGAGTCGCAGGCCACCGTGCTGCAGGTGGACTCCGGCACGGACAACGGCACGGCCCTCAGCAGCTCGGAGATGACGTCCGTGACGTCCCCCGGGTCCGCCATCCTGCTGACGCCGTCGTCCCGCCGCAAGCACTTACTCATGATGCAGCACCAGCAGCGCTCGTCCATGGACACCGAGGCCCTCGAGGAAGAGTTCGTCGAACAGGTGATTGTAGCACCCTGTCCTAACCCTCTTTGTGTGGCATGGACCCCTCGCTACGCAGAGCAATGGAAATTGGGGGTAGTACGAGTAGAAACCTGGAGTAGGCTTCCGCAGACAGTTTGCTAACTAGGTTTTTTGCGTAGGGTGAGACCTCTCCTCGCATAGTCATCGAGAAAGCGAGCAAAACCCTGGAACCTCCAAGTTCCACCAAGCAACAATTCTTGACACCTCAGCGGACCATTTCCCCCACTCCGACGTGGCGTCGGCGGACCCCCGAAACCCCGTCCGAGTCGCCCCTCCCCGCCATCGTCCCCGACCTGCTCCTCGCACGTACAGATTCTTGTAAAACCAACACTGACGTGTCCGAAAGCACGACGACCGACGACTACATCACTGCCAATTCGGGAACCGATAGCTCTCGGAAAAGCGGATCCAGCAAGGTAGTCGGACGCTGGTCGACTTCTTCTCGTCATTTGTTTGATTGCAGGGTGTGGACTTTTACAACTTGCACGCTCACCTGCAGGACGGCAGCTCGTTCGAGAGCAGCAAGGGCGACATTTTCGGCGACGACATGGTGGTGCCTTCGTTCTCGCCCCCCCTCATCCTCGAAGAAGCTCACAGTTTATCAAACACCCCAGTGCCTGAGGTGCGTACTGGCCGCTCGACTCCGTCCGACACGAGCTCTTCGTGTGGAAGCTACAGCGTTGACGGATCCTGCCCCGATCTGCTCGAAAGATCCAAAGTGCCTTCAGCTGCTACCAAGCCGGCGTCGGAAGACGAGAGGAGCACGCGGTACGAATCTCCGGTTTACTACGAATCGCCCACCGACAACGGGTAATCATTGTCAGGGGCGGCTTGCCCTATGAGGCAGGTGCGCTTTATTATTGTCATAAACCAAACTTCTCCTCGTAGTCTGCAACCGCATCTCTATTCACAAAAGACCTGCCGCATCCTCACCGCTATACCCGTTCCTAGTAAAACAGCCAATTTTTAAAAAGTTTGTTGCAAAATATCGTAAGTACCTCAGTGCTCTACACCTTGACACGAGTCGCCCCTGACCATTACGATAGTAGCTCGCGCTCCGTTTAACTTTCGCATTCCCTAGATGGAAGAACGAAGAGTTCAATCGCGAACCCAGCAAACCCAGCAAACGCCGACCTTTCACTCTAGATATCAGCAAACACCAAGACACTTACACCCTATCGCCCAACAGCAAGCACAAAACCCTCAAGAAGGAGGCGAAATCGTCGCCGTCGAGCGACAAGCCGAAAAGGGCCAAAGCTAGAACCAGGAGTCCAATGCAAGCGCACAAAAAACACTACCAAATCAAGAAATCGACCACCGTCTACGGCCCAAACCCGGAAGACCGGTACAAGATCAACCTGGAGGAGAGCAAAGCGACGTCCGACGAGTCCAGTTGCGATTTAGGGAGAAAGTACCCCATCAACCAGACGTCTCCCCGCAAAGGAAAGAAGCTCAAAGACAACACTAGACGCAAGTCGCTGCCGCGGTCCCCCACTGGACAACGGTCCAAGAAGAACAACTTCGAGGAGAAACCGTCTAGTTTGCCCGGGAGTCTGTCGCGGCGGAAGTCCTCCAAGAACAAGAACTTGCAACCAGAGGACGCTAAAAGCACCTTGGCGCTGTACAGGTAAGTTTGAAGAAAAAATAGGCAAATCACATGATTTTGGTGCAGTCCTGCTAGCTCCCCAGGCAAGAAGCGCCACAGCCCCCAGCGCAGCCCCGAGACCGCCAAACTCAAGGCCCTCAGCGCCGAGTCGCTCCGTTCCGTGAGCCCGGGCAGCGACAGCGTGTTCTACAGCGACCCCAGCAGCCACACGGCCGACCACCAGGTGCACTGCCTGCACTGCGGTAAAGAGGTGGATATCGTGACGACCGACGACCCCGACAAGAGCATCAGCAGTAACGGCACGCACCACGACATCGTGGTGCAGCCGCCGGCGGGGTTCGAGGACTCGCCGAAGACCAAGCACACCACCACCAGGCTGTACAAGAAGCTGGACCGCCGCTTTCGCTCCGAGGAGCGGAGCCAGACGGACTATAGACGGCACAGGTACAAGCCGGACGTGCGGGCGAAGGTAAGTTGCTTGTGACGGGTTGAGGGTGACACTGAGAGGGTAGTCGGAGGAACGGGGGGCGAAGACGTATCGGGCCAAACTGAGGCCCATGGCGAAGTCCACGGACAACAGCCAGGAAGTGCTAAAGGCCACGGATTCGAGCCCCAGCGTGCTGCCGGGGGCGCCGGAGGACGAGGACGACCAGGGGATTTATGATGTGCCTTACATGGAGGGGTGCTGGATGTACATCGACGAGAGGGACGAGGTGCACACGTGGAACAAGGGGTGCACGCCCACAGGTAGGTGGAGTTGAGAAGGTCGGATTGTGTTTGATGGGCGAAAGGCTTAAAGAACTAGATTTCTTCTTGAAGGGGTTTCTTGTTAACAGAACCGGAGCCGGCTCGTCGAGAGTCTGTGTCCAGCACCGAATCCGAGCAAGAATTTCGGAAGCGTTACCAAGCCGTCACACATCGAATGGTCCATCGAAAATCTTGCCTCGAAATGTATAAGAGGCAAACATCGAGGTCGTTTGGTGAGTATAATATGTTGAAAACGAGCTTTCAATATTTTTTATCTCCGCAACCGCAAGTCCGACAAAAAATTGTTAGAACTATTTTGTAGATGTCTTAGTGTAATTATTATCTACAAGTTTTGCTGACAATTTTTCGGCGTATTGTTTTTATTCTCTCCTGTAATATTTATAATTAAAATTGAAAAACTAAGAGACTCAAAAAAAATTGTCGAAAATGTTTCTAAATTTGCATGAGGGGGACATACATAGTGGAAAATGTCATTTTTTAAAAAGTCGTATAAAAATTCTCAGAAAATTCAATGTTATAGATCCTGACGTGCTGATTCCAAAAACATAATAGCATGTGTTTAGGGTCACGGAGCAATATGTTCGAAATATCCGGTGTGAAATCCGATTTTTTTTTATTTTTAAAAATTGTGCTATTCTAATGGGAGATCCGGGATTCTGTTGGAGTGATCGAAAATGAGACCGGAAGTGACTTTTGCTACAACAAAATGTATTGAGTTAAATTTCAAAATGGTCGAAAATGGATTCATAAACCACAACTTCAGAACTATCTTACTTTTTAACATTTAAACAATTTATTCCAGAAAATTCTAAGATGATAATTCCTGGGGAGGTAGGAAAAATGGATACATTTTGATTAACGATTTACTATGTTTCCGATAACCTTAAAACCTTTGCAAGATTTTGAGGAATTCGATTGTGCCTTTTCAAAGTTAAATTGTAAAATGTTGTTAAAAATCACTCCCCAGTATCAGGTTATTGAATGTAGTTAATTAGTGCATCTCTGGTGAGCGGCACATCCACCGGTGGCTGGATTCAGGTCCCGCTCCGCTGCTCGCCAATTACTGTCTAATTGTGACGTCACGCCCAGACGCCACTTCATCTAAACTCTAAACCGTCCCTTTTTCTTTCTTCGCTAAATATTAATTCAGGTTAAATTGGCCATTTTCCGGTTCCCTGATTCCCGAGAATGGCGCCATTTAAATGAAGGCGCCTTTTGCAGATGATTGTCATGGATAAGAGTTTTTACGGAGTTCGGGTCACCTGTAGCATACGTGCGGAACTTCCGACTCGGGGAACTTATTAAAATTTATTAGATTTACTTAATTGAGTTTGTTTATTATGGAATTTAATTGCTGGCCTTGCTTGGCGCGCCGTAATTTATTACTGGAAACAATGAGTACTTTCGTTTATGTCTTAGCGTAAAAGATTTATTTGTATTAAGTTGGCGAACTTGCTAATTCCGGTTGGGATCGCGCGGTAACCGAGCGAATCGAATTAATTTAATTAAGAGAGTTGTGGTGATTTCGGACGCGAGATGTAAGAAGACGACTTTTATATTTTAATTGTATTTGCCAAGAGATGGAGGGTTTTTGTAGTCTTGCTTAAAGAAAAGTTATAAATAAAAGCAACACATGTTGACTGAGGACTAGCTTTTTTCTAATAAATAATAAAACTGGAATTTAATTTTCGCACTGTATGCCAGAAATAGCAGACGATAAAAAGTATGATGAGTTTGGCAAAGATTAAGTAATTTAACGCTCATGGCCACATTCTTACCATAGTAAACAAAAAAAAATTGACAAAATAAAAATAGCGTGACCCAGAAACCAGAATATTGTGAGTGCAAAAATCGTGGATATCTGACACACTATACCATCACACGTCAAACTATAGAAACGTATCTGCCCGTCTTCTTGAAACCTCTTCACATACACGTAAATAACTATCGATTCGTCCATTCAATTTTCCATTCAATTCCAGAATAAAAGAACATAACCTCGTAAATTCCACCCGAGCTGTATGCATAGCTGCAACATCCAATATGTATGATGATACGACACGGTTTCGAGCATTTCCACGCCACTTTTATGCTTTTGTCGTACGAAAGTGATCTTCCACCCTGAAAACTAGGTTATGTTGAAGCGCCATCTATGAGTCACCATGACTAGTTTGATTCAGTTTTCTAGTTACGACTAACTTGATAATTTTGTCTGCGACTTTATAAATCCCATAGACAATAAAAACACTAATTAGAGAATTTTCGTTTCGTTGGCCAGGATTGACGTCCGCCTCAGCGCCACCTACGTCATCAAACTAAAACCCACCCATGTGGAAACTGCCCATAGCGTCTAAAATTCCCCCGACCCATCCGTTCCGCTGCACGTTTATTAATACATCCCCATCCACTCAATGGAAATCGCTCCTCAAACGTTTATAAATAATGAGTAAACGAGCAGTATTTTTAGAATGTAAAGAATGCGCCGCACTCGAAATAACTCCGACCGTTCAGTATTCGCGCAAAAATGTTGTAATGTGGAAGAAAATTCCGTTGTGGTGGTGCATTTTGGCTGCAGATCGTGTTTACACAAAACCTCGACACTTCATTAATGGCCTTAGGTATGATCTGTCCATTTCGTGAACCCGTTGTGACCTACCTCAATTCATTAGCAAATGGAAATGCAGATAGCACCGAGCCACCCAACGATAATTCCGCCCAATTACGCAATAAATTAGAGGAGATATTAAAGCTAATGTTGGTCATTTGGTGTCGGGAGAACCAGGCTTTAAAGCTCGTCGCGCCGCAACGAAACGGTATTTGTCTTTTCTCTTTTTTTTTAGGGAAATTTTCTGCACCACTAATGCGATGCGTTTATATTGATACGAATTTGGTGGGATGAAGTTGATAATGGCGCTATTTTTTGCTTTGCTTTGCTTGCTTCTTTGGGGTGAGGTTGGGGCATGCATCATGGGACGATTGATGAGGCAGGCCCTTGGATGATGGGTGGAAAATTTCGGCCCGCCAGGTCAAGGACGCGTTTGAGGAATTTATTTTTATAGTGCACGTGTTCATAAAAACTGGGTTAACTTGCCGGTTGAGGGGACTCGCTAGTGGAGGTATAACAATTTTTCCTTTTTTCAAATGATTAAATGATATTTTAATACAGATGTATTGTCCATCAAACTGGAGCTTTTTTCATGTTGTAAGCCCCTGGAAACAGTTCAATCAACCAAAAAAATGTCATGGAGAAATATCGTAAAAAGGCACCATTGCCTTCTGTTTTTTCCTTTTTTTTTTTTGTTATTAAACATTCAAGAATGGCTTGAAAATTCCCACTAACAAAGTAATTTATTTAAATAATAATGTCTTATAAGTTAAATTATAATATTAATCAAAAACAAACAAGTTCTTTTTTTCTTAGTCGAAATCGTCAATTACTCTATCACCTAATTTTTCGTCTGCGTTTTTCTGTGTAGAATACATTTTCAAAACACAATATCTCCATTATTAACAACTTTAATGTTATGAAATTTTAAATATAACTTGTTCATAAGTTACTATATACAACACAATAACAAAATGAATTCCATCACCATTTTTTTAAATTTTGGTGATCACGTGATGCAATAAAATGACGAAACCCTATTTATTTGAAGAATGCTAAATAAAATTCTAACTTCTTTTTCTTTTAGAATGCGACAAAACCGTGGTGGTCCACCGCGAATCCGGCGAATTCGGCTTCCGCATCCACGGTTCCAAACCCGTCGTCGTTTCAGCAATCGAGCCTGGAACACCAGCCGAGACTTCAGGCCTTGAAGTCGGCGACATAGTTTTAGCAGTAAATGGAGTCAGTGTATTAGATAAGAGCCATTCTGAAGTCGTCAAGATCGCACACGCAGGAAGCGACACATTATCATTAGAGGTAATATACGAGGTGAAATCGAGGCGCAACGAGCCGTGCTCACCCAAGCTCGTTTGCCCCCAGGTAGCTCGAACATGCTACGCTCTTAACACCCCCGACGACGAGCATTCCTCCAGCGCCCTCTACAGCGGTTACTTGTGGAAACTGAGCGGGTACGCGAGCGGCACCATCACCAACAAGTGGATCCGGCGCTGGTTTTGCCTCAAACAGAACAATTGCCTTTACTACTATAAGACTGATTCGGTGAGTACTCCCACTGCGGTACCACCCCCTAAAATACCTCCTTCAGGAGAAACAACCAGTTGGAGTGGTGATGCTGTTCGACCACGAGATCAAGAAGCAGAGCGACGACGACGAGGGCTTGTCGAAGCCGCACAGATTTGTGATTTTCAAGCCCGAGGCGGTACCGCTGCACCTGGCGGCCGACAACGGTACGGCCCTCAGCCGGTGGGTGGAGGTGATCGGGAGGGCGATCAGCGACAGCCAAACCGTCGACGAGTTTCTGGAGAAGACCAAGAAGCACTTGGCTTCGACGCCTAGTAATATCCCCAATCCGGACTGCTTCGGGTACTTGGTGAAGCTGGGTACTCAGTGGAAATCGTGGAGTAAACGGTACTGCGTGCTGAAGGATGCGTGTTTGTACTTTTATCAAGACGCGGCGGCCAAGTGCGCGTTCGGTGAGTGGCACTTGGGGTGGTGAGGGCGTCTAAAATTTGGTGTTTCAGGTGTGGCGTACCTCCAGGGTTACAGAGTGCAACAGTCGATCACCGGTAGCAAAAAACACGCCTTTGAAATAATCCCCCCCGATCCGAGCAAAAAGCACTTCTATTTCCACACGGAGTCGGATGCGGATAGAAAAAGGTAACTTGGTAAAGATGCGAGAATTAGTCTAAGGTGGAGTTTCAGGTGGATCGCCGCGCTCGAATATTCCATCGACAGGTGGCTCAAAATCCAGTAACTCGAACCTGCAGAAACATATTCGGTGAAATCGATGTTTAAACCAAAATATCACTAATGTAGATGCATGTTTTTATTATTATTATTATTATTATTGAGGAATAATTTATTGCTCAACTTCCTGTGTACATTGATTTGTATTATTGTTTATAATAAAACTGGTACTATACAATATGCACTGCCATTGTAAATAGAATAAAGAGAATAAAAGAGTCACCTTCGAGACAACTGTCCAAAAATGACGTTTCAGTTCCGATTTTGATTAATAAATTTTTGAAAATGATCAACTCGCCGGATCTGGATGTAGGCGACATTCACACGCTGATTAAGACTGCTAAAGCCTATCCTGGTTACGTTCCGGGAGTCTCGAACGAAGATGAATATAAAAAAAAGACAGAAAGATTCATTCGTGGAAATTCTCTCTGTTCTTACTACGTACGCATGGCGTGGTCGAGGAAAATGCAGTTCATTACCGACCTGGTGCACCGAATACGCAGTTTAGGTACTATCACTCTTTTCCTCAACACTTTGCATTCCGTCACCGGGAAAATCACGTCTTACTGCCTCACCTCGTGAGTTCTACACATTTCTTAGGTTAGTACTAAAAATGGTACCGCAGGCGGACCCCTCCGATGGTTTTCGACCGGGTTCTAGCTGATCACGACAGAATGATGGACCCGGAAATTCTCGTACCTACAATCCATAGCGACCTTCAGTGGTACGAATCTCTGGACGACCAAGAGCAAGTTGCCTATCTCATGAGTAAGTAGTATCCACACCCCACCTAAGTGTAGCACGCTTTCAAAGCTCTAGTACGCATTTCCTCCGGCGGCATGATCAGGATACTTTATTGTCGCCTACAAGAAACCTACAACGAACGTATTCGTCATTCTTCGCCTTTAGTCAAGTCAAGTGAAGAAAAAGATCACGAAGAATCCGTACCTGTGGTTCCAATGGAGCACAATCCCGACGATCCCAAGCACCAAAAAGTACTCGAGTTGGAAAAACAGTGGAACCAGACGATCAACAAAATGAAAGAAGACTTAGCAAAACGGATGCCGACGTCGAAGCAAGAAAAGCAGGGTAAATCGAAGAAAAAAGGTTCGATGAAAAGCAAAGACAAGAAGAAGAAAAATAAGAAGAAGGAGGATGAAGACCAGATGGATTGGGTCTGTATTAAGGAAGCGACGATCGCTACTAATTTACTTTTGCAGGTTCAGTTAATGCCCATATGGATAGTTAAGAAGATTTTTAGCTATTTGGACAAGAAAACGTTGACCAAAGCGAAAAAAGTCAACGCGTACTGGAAGTGGGCGATCGAAGAGCTCGCCAAGGACAAGAAACTTCGAAAAATGTTGGATAAATCCAACAAAAAATTGAAGGTAGTGTTGTTGAGTTTGTGTCTAGGGATTTCATTGGTTTGTTTAAGGCGGCTGCTGGTGGTGAATGCACCCTTCCGGAAGACGCCATGCTGGAGACACCCAAATCCAGAATTAGCCATACTCAAAGACGGGTGAAAAAGTTGGAGCAGAGGGGCGCAATTTTGGATAAAATGAGACACTGTGAGGCTGAAACGACCGACACTTCTTGTGTCATGGTGGAAGCGTTCAGTGTATTTTGTTTTTTTTATAAGTGGATAGGCATAGTCTTACTAGTGTTTTTAGGTTTGCGATTTACCAAGGTTTTCTGGATCTATTTCAATATACCCTAGGGTGGTTCGAATGAATCCACCTCTGTATAAAAGACCTGACTGTCTCTTCAAAGATTTAAACCTGATCTGTGAAACAAGGGACGATTTGTCAGACTCTGGATGCGATCTCTCACGGACTGTCCCCCATAGCTCTCAAACAAGTCTTGGAAGTGACGAAGATATATTAATATAATAACATTTTTAACATAACTCATTCAATACACGTATTTATATACATAATATTGTCTTTCTATTAGAAACCCATAGGACAATACCAAGGGAGAACATATAAAATCAATGTCAGAAAAAATCATCACACTCGTTATACACTTTCGGACAATACTTCTTAGCAAACAAAGAATAAGCCGATCTTGCGTGTACAAGAACTTTCCTCTGGTAACTCAAGTCGTTCCATAAATACACCACATAACTCTCCTTCGTCATCTCCTCAACTTCTTCAACATAATCTTCCTCAAAAAACATAGTCCAGTTGTGTCTTGCAACTGCATAGAATGCTCCAACCGGATAAACTTTGAAGTTTCCGAAACAAGTCCTAGCAACAAAATCACTAGCAGTTCTATCACCACAAAGACTTTTAACCATTCTCGTTATAACATTAGAGCCATTGCTCGGCCACAGTTCTCCCCTGAACTTCTCTTTCAAATCTTCTAGGCAAAGGGTAGCCAAAAAGTGACCCACACCAGTAGGTTCAAAACTTAGCACACCAGAAAGAAGAGACGTTCCGAATTCCACCCCGGCATAGTTCAAAGGAAGTTGCTCCAGAGATTTAGTGACCACGACGTCCAGGTCTAGCTAGATGCCCCCATACCTCCACAAAGTCACGTATCTAGCGAATCAAGTCGTCACGATTGTTAGAATTTTGATAACTAAGAGAAACAAACCGTAAAACCTCATGTGAAAATTTGGATGCATGCTTCACTAAGAACTCCACAGGACTGTTTTTAACATACTCCCCAAAATCAACATGCCGGATTTTGATGTTTTCGTATTTCTGTAGGGATTGTAGTAACCGATCGGATTCGGTTGCTTCTTTTTTGATTACCCCGGAAGGTGTATATAGAAGGTAGATTTCGAGGTTTGGATTTAGTTTGGCTGCGGATTCTACAGAGCAGGCTTGACGTGCCGTTATAACAATTTTGCCGTTTCTGGCAGAGTTACAAGAGGTTTCATGGAAAAAAATGGATTTTCCCTTCGCTGGAAGCAACGAAAGAATCGAAGGAAGTAAATCTGTATTGCTGCGGTAACAATGTATGGACGAGGTGTGTTTCAGAGTGGAAGTTTGTAGCTTAAATAAAATATAAATACAAGCATACGTGAATATCACTGTAAAAAGTGCACACAAAATCAATGTACTTAACTACTTAACTAATGATAAGTATAGAATGCACTTACCGTATCAAAGAACGTAAAAAAAAATAGTAAAATTATAATATGTAGAGCTCGCATACTGCGTTAGACGTTTTCTATTAGATTATTATTAATGCAAACATATGTAAATAAAAGTAAAAAGTGTCAATTTTACACTAAATAATTGCCCTGAAAAGAACGAGTGATTCAGAAGTCTAAAAATGAAATATCTTTATTGTGTGACAGCAACGATAAAAATTTACACTTTCTTGGCTAAATAAATACCCGTTCAAAGTCTCCGTGAAGACACAAATCAGAAATACCTTTCACACTCCTGATACACTTTCGGACAAAACTTCTGCGCAAACAAAACATACGGAACTTTGGCCCCCACCGGAACCTTCCTCTCAAAACTAAGCTTATTCCACACGTGCACCACAAAACTATCCTCCGTCATCACCTCCACGTCCCTTACGTACTCTTCCATAAAGTACATAGTCCAGTTGTACCATGGCACGGGGTAAAACGCTTCACTCGGATAAATTTTAAAACCTCCCGCACAATCCCGCCCAATGAAATTCCTCACATTCTCACTAGCGCAGATGTTTTTAGCCAATCGAGTGATAACCCCAGGCCCGTTTCGGATCCACTCCGTTCCGTTGAAGTTCTCCCTTAGATCTTTCAAACAGTAGGTGGCCAGGACGTGTCCGAGACCCGCGGACTCCAAATTGATGACACCTGCGGCCACCAGAGAGTCGGATTCGACGCCGGCGTAGTTAGGGGGGAGAGTGTCAAGGGGTTTGATCACCACGACGTCTAAATCGAGGTAGAGGCCGCCGTACTTCCACAGAGTGAGATATCTGTGGAAAAATTTTGAAATAGGTGATTTACCCCACGAAAGTTGTATCACCTACCTTAGAAGATCGCTGGTGTGCGACGTAACGTGGTAGGACCTTTCTAGAGTCCCCCTTTTCCAAAGGGACTCCACAGGGGTGTCTTCGACGTAGTTTCCTAAATCGAGATGGCGGATTCTTACGTTGTCGTACGACAATAGGGCTTGTAAAAAGCGATCTGATTCGGTCCCTTCGTTCTTAATTATACCGGGTGATACGTAAAGTAAGTAGGTTTCGTAGTTCGGGTGCAGCTTGGCAGCTGATTCCACAGCGCAGGCTTCGCGTGCGGTAATGACGATTTTTCCGCTTTGGGCAGACTTGCAGGATGTCTCGTGAAAGAAGATGGACTTGTCTTTGGGTCTTGAATCTTGTATGGAGGGTAGAGATTCGGAGTGTTGGTGGTAGCACTGGTGACCAGTTGGATTGTCATTGTCAGGAGTCTTGAGTTGAAAGAAATACATCAAATAATAGATTATGGCTGCGAACAAAAACAATATAACTATAAGTTTTTTGTTGAACTGGATGAACATTTCTATGGTTTAAATTGAGTAGAACGTGGCAACAAAAAATTGGTACAAGAGAGATACAGTGCTTGTGCATGTGGTAAAATTTACTATATCTACTTATCAGTATTGTTACTGATAAGTAGATATCGACATGCTCTTGATAGGTTTTATCACTTTTTGTAAACAAACGGAAAGACGTATGTATTAAAAATCGTGTGTGTAGGTGACAAAAACTACACGAATTCAAAGAAAAAATGGAAACTGAACAACTGCAAAAACAAATCAATTGGTGATAATTCTGCATACCAAACTGGCGTAAAATAAAGTACATGCGTTATTGTACAATATCTCTCTGCAAATATATTAGACAAAGCCGTTTATGATTTGTTATCTACTTCAAAGTAACCGCAAAATATACAACTGGCAGAAAAAATATGTCACACGACATCCGGTACAGATTTCACCAAATTTTCATGTTTTTTGTTGTGCGTGAACGCGTATAAGAGAATAAACTTTGATAAACATTTAAATATACTGTAATTCCCCAAAACCTATTGAAATGCGCAAATATATAATTTCATGAAACTACTAGTTTGATTTATATTTTTTTAAATAATATGAGAGAAATAATGTAAAGCAAAAATCTCCTCGACTAAAAATTCTTGGGTACGGTGGCCGTCTCTTTGCAGGTGTGGTTGTTCAATATACTTCTATTTCCAAGCCACATCATACTTTATTTACCTTTCTCTCTTTCAGTGTTATTGACCCGTTATTACCCTGTAACATTACAACACGTCATATCTCCACAAGCACACAAAGCATCTATATTTTATAAAGCACTGAAGCTTTAAACTAGATCAGTTGTTAGCGACGACAAACGGAATAAACATATTTGCAACGACTTCGATTCCCCGATAAATAAATAAACGAACACACAGACATTTTTTAAATAAAGATAACAACCACCATTAGCGATATCTTATCTAACAAAAAAATCAACAAACCATCCATGTTTTCTCTCACTCATAACTTTCTATTAGCCGTTTACAGGTTTAAGGTAAGCCCTCCTAAAGTTAATTTTTTTGTTTTAGAACCTAAATAACTGCGAACAATCAATAAAGTATTAAATACCTCAACTGCTTCCTTCGCAACGGAATTCAAATGCAACGACTATTGATTTCCGCGGTATTAATAAATGCGCCGTCTAAACTCCCTTTACCTCGATTTCAGCTCCCAAAACCCAAAAATGGTCCGCTGGAAACAGGTCACCCTACTTGGTGTAACATTCACGATAATATGGCTGCTCTATTCACAAAATAGTGCCACAAAACCACAGTGTAGCCAATTTCCGAAGAATGTTTTAAAGTACACGAAGACGTGGCAAATCCAAAAAACCCAGCACGGTACTTTGCAACTAATGAGCGCATTTTTGGACGACCGCCAGAAGTCTGGGTTATTCTCCAAACAGTACCCCACTATTCGAATTTTAGGCATGCTGGACAACACGAATCCACAAAAATTCTATTGCCAAATTTGGTACGACAAGGAGGACGTGGCGGTTGTGGAAAGTAGCCACTTCTGGATTTGGAACGGGGACTGGGAACAAGCTGAAACGTTCTTCCAACCCTTCGTGTTTTCTTGTGACACTCCTGACGAACGAATACCTAAATATGTATCTCTGGTTGCAAACAAATGCGACCTAGCCACCAACAGACTGACCGTAGTTTACGAAAAAGTTAGCACGAAGGAAGATTTCGTGGTCTGCGTTAAAGGTCTGAATTTTCCTCACGATGATATTAGTATAAGACTGGTGGAATGGATCGAGCTCGTCACTCTTCTTGGTAAGTACAAGTTCCACCGACTGCGCCAATCACGTTGGCTATTACAGGAGCCACCAAAATTCACTTCTACAAATTCAGTGTTCACTCCAATGTCCAGAAAGTGTTAGACTATTACGAAAACCAGAACCGAATTGCGATTACCCCTTTGACTCTAGTAGGTAACTACTCCAACACTCCTGATTTTCAAGCCAAGTTTCTACATGAGCATAAAGTTGAGCGTCGGTTACAAGAAGTTCTTCCTTTCAACGACTGTCTGTACACTTATTTGTACAAATACAAATATATTGTCTCTTTGGACATAGACGAAGTGATTGTACCTAAAGCTGGTAACTGGTCTGACCTGATGACGTACCTACATGCTCGAAACGGACTGGCGGATAGTTACCTCGCCCGAAACATTTATTTTTTTGATCATCTTGTACACAGTGTTGGGGATATTCCAGGTTATATGCATATTTTAACACATGTTACAAGGGCAGAGGAGTTTTCGCCTGAAGGTGACTATGTTAAGGGCTTCCATGACACAGAAAGGGTGTTAGCACTCTATAACCACATTTCTTTGTGGTGTTCTGGCTGGTGGGGCTGCGAGAATCTCAACATTGGGGTGGATTTAGCCCAAATGCAGCACTACAGGAGTGACTGTGTTAAAGAGTTGAGGAACTGTGAGGAGTTGAAGAGACGAACTGTCGTGGATACGAGAGTTTGGAGGTTTAAGCAGAAGTTAATTCCAAGGGTTGAGACAGCTTTGATTGACTTATACTTTATAGGTTGATTTATGTTTTTTTTTTGTATCTGTGAAATGAAAAAAAATTGTAGAAGTTATCTTTCTAAGGTATTTTCAGGTTTGAGGAAAAGCAAACGCAGGAAACATCATTGTCGAAAAAATTTATTGCTAATATCAACTGAACAATCTAGTATAAAACCTAACAACCCACCTAACTTGGCTATAAATCCAACAACAATCACAACAACTTTGAATACTGTCTTTTAGGTAATAGGCCAGTCTTCAAAAACTGAGTACTAATAAAAATCAAAACTTTAACCCTACGATCATCTGAAGACTGACCTGAAGATATGAGCAACATCACAACGAAAACCTAATCTAAAAATGAGCGATATGTCTCCAAAATTAAGAAATACCCACAACAAGAAAATTTGGACACTTCCATTTGAGCACAACTAAAACAAATACCCGCATTGTTCGACCACCTTTGGACAAAATTTCTGAGCAAAAATGGCATACGCCGTCTTCCCCTTAACCTCAACCCGCTTATTCCCGCTGTGCTTGTTCCAGACATGTATAACATAACTATTTTTCGAAATATTGAGTACTTTTTGGGTATCTTTCTCGTCAAAATACATCTCCCAGTCCCACCACGAAATCGGATAGAAGGCCTTCTTGGGGAAAACCCTGAACCCTTGACACCTCCTAGCCACCATTTCTTCGGCCGTGTCAGCCCCACATATATCCTTTAGTAGCCTCGTGATAACCCCAGGCCCGTTGTAGCCCCAATCGTAGCCCTTGAAATTTTCATTTAAGTCTTCCAAGCACCGTTTGGCCAACTCGTGCCCTAACCCATCTGGGCTAAAACTTAGAACACCGGCTGCCACGTTTCGAGTGGATTCGGATCCGGCATAATTAGGTGCCAGGAGTTCCAAAGATCTGATTACGATTACGTCAAGGTCGAGGTAGATGCCGCCGTATTTGTATAAGGTGAGGTATCTGGAAAAGTGAGAGGTGTAGATAAAGGCACCATCTGTCGAGCGATTTTACCTTAAAACGTCACTAGCGTGCGATTGGGCGTACCAGGACACTTCGAGTTGCCCCTTTTCGTAGAGTCCTTCCACTGGTGTGTCTTTGGTGTAGCGGCCGTAGTCCACGTGGTGTATTTTGACGTTTCTGTAACTCAACAGGGACTGGAGAAATCTGTCGGATTCAGTATTCTCAAATCTGAAGACCCCGGGGGATGCGAATAGTAAATTAACCTCGAAATTTGGGTTCAGTCGGGCGGCGGATTCGACGGCGCATGCTTGACGCGCAGTTATGTATATTTTACCTGGAAAGGTGAATTTTGAGTTTGTACAGTTTGTTTTTGAGTGGCCGTTTACTTTACATGATTTGCCGCACACTATGCGGGCTTGTTTTAATGGCACGATACTAACACAAATGGCGCCAATTTTTAAACACCGATGAAAAAAAAATTTGCCTGTGGCTATTTATAGTTTTAAAAGGGAGAGAATATGTAATATATTTTTTACTTACCGAGCGTAAGCTACGGTCTCCCATTTCTACCTGTGTATCGAGTGTTCAATATCTCAGTTTTGGAATTTTTCAATATTTCGATTTTTCAAAATTTTGTGACTTTTTAATCTTTGATTTTACGATTTTGCAATTTTTTAATGTTTCGATCTTTCAATTTTTCGATTTTGTAAATTTTCGATATTTTGATTTCGATTTTTAAGTTCTTCGATTGTTTTATTCATTTTTTTGATTTCTCGATCATTCAAGTTTTCGATTTCTCAATTTTTTAACATTTCAGTTTTGGGAATTTTTCAATTTTTCGATTTTTTAAGTTTCAGATTTTTTAAATTTTTGATATTTCGATTACTCAATCTTTCGATGTTTCGACTTTTCGACTTTAAAATGTCCTGATTTCTCGAGACCTGAGGACTACGGGAGTATTATTTACGCCACTGGTTTTTACTTTACATAGTTTAGCAAAAAATTTTCATAATTTTTCAAAGAAGCGGAATTTTTTAGGTTGTACGTTAGGGACGAAATAACTTACAACCAATTTTTTTTATTTCAGCTTCAAATGAAGTCAGTTTTGTTCTAAAGCACGTAAACATAAATATTTGAAAATGCAGTGGAAATACCACCAACGTAAAAAGAATATAGACCATGTATTGAATAAAATCAAGCGAAATCAGAGAATATTAAGAAGCGATAACTTCTGCATCATTAATACCAGTGTGGTAGGAAAGTGACAGTCAACTAATCAAATTCTCTGACATCATTTGATCGTAAAAACAATAATTTCTAAGAGCATTTCTGAGAGGCGGCATTTTCAAATAATCAGCAATTCTTACCGTTTAAATGCGAATTACAGGATGTCTCATGGAAGAAAATAGACCTTCCTCTAACAGGTTTGCTATCTGATATGTCTGGAAGAGTTTCCGATTTGGTGTGATAGCACTGTATGCTCTTTCTCGGGTACAAATAATAGTAAAAATGGTTGAAGATTGTGCGGTTTTGAGGCTGGATCATGTAAATTGTTGCTATCACTAAACATGTTGTGAGAAGGGTTTTCTTTTGTAGTTGGTAGAAGAGCATTCTAGGGGTTGAAAGAGCCAGTTGGAGAGTGGATGTCCATGTTAATGATACATCTGTAAAAAGTGTGCAGTGCAGTCAATTTAGAAGAAAATTTTAGTTGTTTTACACTAACTATCATCAAAAAATTAAATTTTTTTGCCAGAGAGAGAGAAAGAGAGATTTAAAATTAGTAGTTCACGTTCAAATAAATCTTCTTGTACTGTACAACTTTACCAAAAAACTGTTATTGTCGAAATAGTTCTTATCAGGTTCGAGTTAATTTCAACACTCAATAACAAGAAGAGTGATTCACTTAAAATAGACCAAGGTTCTGGCATAGTGATAACAAACCTTTTTATTTTTTAAAAACTTACCTCATGTTTCTCCCCAGGCCTCCTCCACTTGTTTTGTATTCCTGCCAAAGCTCCTACTTATTGTCTTCCATTTTTTCCCGGATATGTCGACTGATATGTCGTTGTTCAACCATAACAATTAAAAAAACACGATTTCTCAATTAACCAAAAACATGAGCATTTGTGAGCAAAGATAAGTCGAATTCATCTCTGTTGCAATCAAGCGATTTTTTATTCTTCTTACATCCATTATAATCCAATTTATTCATTATTCTCTCATTTTCTTCAATCACATTCAATAAAACACGTTATCTCTACCAACAATCACATGTTTTAACACCAACTTCCTATATTGTCATATCAGTTCTGAAATCCAGATGTTTCTGAGGTAGTTTATTGATCTCAGTTCTCTGTTACCCCTAGCACGGAGGATGTAAAGCTTGCCACGAATGGACGCGTTCGTGTTGTGGAATAAAGGGGTGGAAAGTCTGAAGGATTTATGAGGGTGTGAGAAACTTCGACACTTTTATATATCGGGAAGGGTTATTAATTTTTTAAAGATGGTGTTGACAAATGGGGTGCTAAATGTTTGAAAGGGCGGGAAGGTGAAATCGATCTTGCGTGTGTGTGTACTTTAGAGAAATAAGGTCATTAGTCAGTGGAAGTAATAAATTCTGCGCTATTTGCGTTTTATTTTCCTAAAAATTCTACCCAAACTCGTGAAAATAAAATAGAAAAATCGTGCGATGAACTCTGTCCCTGGACACCGCATTTCGGCATGTCCGATTGTTGACGACGCGAACTTTGCTCCATCATCGTCATTGTTAAAATTTTCTGTCTCCCAATATCAAAATATTCCAAAATTTCGCTCTACGCACTCTGATTACAAAAAGTACCACCCAGTACTTCCCACCAGGTGAAAATCGTCGAACGATTCTTGATAACCGTACCTCTCCATAACAATTGACACAAAACAAACATCGACATTCTTACATTCTTGAGGATCAGAGGTCGTACTGATAACTTAATCGCACATGTCATAATTTTTATTTATAAAACAGAGTGATTTGTCATAGTGCTAGGATGTGTAAATCGTGGTTTTAGTGCCAAAATGTTAGACTTTTTCGCAACTTTTGGTTTGTTTTATTTCACAGTGCTATTGTTACCTGTACTAGGTCTTAGTTACTGCGGTGAGCTCATATTTTCCCACATTTTGAATAAAAAACACTTTCGCAATTTATTTTTATATTGTGATGACAGTTTTGGGCATCAGTCACAAACTCTGGCTCTTTGGAATCTCAATCCTCCACCCACAAGTCGAATTCCTTAAAACCACCACCGTAAGAACGCTACTGGACACCCACAGAAATCAAGGGATCATCTCGGTGCTTCTCAGTGTCAAAGGTCAAGCACAACCAGAAGCCATCAGGCGCCACCTGCAGGTAAAAACGCCCAAACTAACTTCTGGGGTGCTGCGAGGCACAGTTATTAGCCAAATCCTATTCAAACAGTTTCTTAATGACCTATATGGCACAAAATTTCCACACTTACTATTGTAGGAAGTCGTACGCAGGAGAGACAAATCGGGGAACCTCACCTTCCCCCGACTACGCCACTGTTTGGTGGCCCGGTGTGGTACCTATGCTTGGGAAAGGGCTAAATTCGACCTTGACCAAAACATCACCGTTGCACCCCTAAGTTACAAAGGACGTTCTGTCACTGAGTACAACATTCAAGACTATGTTAGCGAGATCGTGTCGAAGTACTTACCCCAAAATACTCCTCCATGGCAGGTCATTATTATTCCATCCAGTGAAGACCACCACTACGTACTTTTAAAATTGCACCACGTCCTTTTAAACGATGGATTAAACATCGGGGATCTTCTTCCGCTAATACCACCAACAAGACAAGTTCCCGGGTGAGTAAAACTTTGAAGAAAATTCACAGTACGTTTCTCTTGTAGTACCTTCACGTCCAAGAGCCCGCTAGTAGAGGTACTACCGAAACCTGTGGCAATCCCTAAACTCAAACAACGACTAAGTGAAGAAATTTCCAACTTCTGGAACGAATTCGTCTCGAATTATGACCCTCTTGAGTGTACCGAGCTTCTGAAAAGTACTCCAGGGGTTTTCCAGTTTCAAGCAATCCTTCTTGTGGCTTTAGTTTCAACGGTGAAGGAGTGTCGTAAAGGGTTTCGAGTCATCCGAAATGACTATCTCTCGAGGGGTAAATTCGTGGTGCGCACTCTTAAACGAGAGTGCAAGAAAAGAAAAATCACACCTCTAACTTTAACCAAGTCTGTTTTAGTGACTGCGGACCCTCGCAACGCTCTCAAAATTCTAGCCAAACTTTTAAAGTCCGTTATAATTTTTCCTTTGCATTTCCACATGGTACTGTTTCGTGAAATGGGTGCCCTTTTCAACTGCATAACGCAGCATTATTGTGAATATAGCGGTACTCTCGTTGGTACTTTGTACGATTACGTCCCATTGCTCTTCGGATGTTTGCGAGAACTTTTCTTCTACACTGTAGTAATAGTGAAGGCTCCTAGAACCATAATCGAGGATATTCTCCTCAAGAAGGAGTCTTTCCAAACTATTACTCTGTGTGGTCGAAAATCGGTAGCATGGTCAGACCCAGTTAAAATCGAATTCATTCGTTCCATTTCCAAATCGACTGGAGCTTCGGAAATTGAGATCATGCTAGCGTCTATATCTGCTTGCATTTCAAGGTACTTTATCCACACGAAGCACCTCATCCCGGACTCCCTCCCGGTGAGTCTGCGCAACATTAATTCAAACTACATTTTCGGTACCGGGCCGTACCTCAAACCGGAGGACTCAGTCAGCGGGATTCTTTGTGTAAACTTACCCATTCTAGACCCTGAGAAGGAAGTTTCGGTACTCGAAAACTTAGTCGATATCAAAAACAACCTCACAGGTTCGTTACAAAAACAAGGTCTTTCACACCTTCTAAGTCTGTGTCAGACCAAGTTCGGTTTTTTGACCAAAATTCTACCTTTGTCGCTTCTGGGAGTCTATCTACGGTACTTGTCGAGGAAATATGCCGTCTCTGTCACGGAACTGACCAGTCGGTACCCGAACGTGAGCCAACGCACCCTCTGGGGACAAGAAGTCAGCAGCGTCATCTACTGGAGGCCACCGCAAGCCAATTCGAGTAAGAAGTTGTCGCACTTTATGACAGATGGTACTTATTGATATTGTAGGCGTGTCGCTGTGTCTGAACGAGTACGCCGATCACGTGAGGCTGGGGGTGATGTGCGATTCGCAGTTGGCGCCCCACCACCCGATCCTAGCCAGGGGGTTCCCCGATTACATCCAAGATATAGCGCGTTCTGCCGGAGTCACGTTCAATCAATAAAAACTGAAAAATATTCCGTGTTTAATTTAAATTAATAATCGAATAATTTTGATAAATATGGCATTTTTCTACCAAAAAACCACGCTCACTTTTTCAACGAAACTCTCGTGATATTTTGATTTACATATATAGTGATCAAACACGACCTATTTTAAATCTATGTATGTAACTTAGTTCTGAGCCGCCCCCCACCGACAGCGTCACAGTTTGAGGACCACTGGCACGAGTCGACGTACGCCGCTATCATACTAGGCAAAAAGTTCATTGCATGTAAACCTGACGTCAGTCGAGCCAAAGTCGGACGCACGTCTTGTCGTAGTAGGCCGCGCTGTGAATTAGACACCATGTGAATGCGACCGTGCCACCAAACATTATATAAGTTGATATTTTTAATTGCGATCGTAGGCGCCTTGGTGCCGCTGACAGTTAAGCAAAAAAAGCAGTAGTGCCAATTGGTTTTTGAGGGTTTAGAGGTGAGGCGGTTTTTGCGTTTGGAGTTGGTTTGAATGAAAAAAATTGCTGAATGCGTGAACGAGTGAAAGCGGAGAAGTTTGTTGAAACGCACGGATTTTTGAATGGGCAGTAAAATCCGGTTCTCACTGGATTGCCCCAGGGGTTTAAATGAGACTCATTGATTAGGCCAGTGGCGGCGGCGCGGGAGGGGTGTGCTGAGTCCGTGAGACGCGGTGGAAGTTTGGTCTTCCGAGGAGAGAAAACGCAGCAAACGGAAGTGTTGATAAGATAAAAAAATCGATAAAAAACGAATTATTTTTTGTAAGTAACTCAGAAAGCATCCGCTGCGATTTTTGTTGTTCTGTCATGTGCATTGTTCCATAAACTTTATGACTTTCAAGTTATTTGGAATTTTAGGTGAATTTAGATTTTAGTCGAAGTAGGCACTGGCTTTGCCGCCTTGTCGATACGAGGTTCTTAAATAAATTTGCCAAAGTGTCGTTTCATGCTAATTTATGATTAATAGCAAAAGTCGATAAGCGCTACAAAATTCTACGTTGACAACCTTCGGACATTAAATAGCAAGTTCACTTTACGGTGTACTTTGAATCATATCGGTAATAAAACTACAGGTGTAATTACATTGGAACAATTTCACGTACAATATAATGTTATGATTATGACCTTGTTCGGTTTGTTGAGACAGTGTTTATTTAAATGCCCTGAACATTGAAAATTCCAATATTTATAGTTTTATTTGAAACAATGAAAATTAATAAGATTTGAAAACCTCAGAATTAAAATTCAGTGCCACAATATAATTGCACAATTACATAGAATTGTATTGTGTAATAATAATATAAGACAATCGGAATTTAAAACGGAGAATTTTTATCTACGATTATGAAAATTTGTTTGTCTCCGGAACAACTACGGAACCTTGTGACCATCCAAAAATATCTAGTTCCATCCAATTAATTCAATTAAACAACCCCATATCCCTAATTGAGCCAATAATAGAAACGCGAGAAACCAGAAACTGATGAAATTGGACTTAATTACTTAAGTGATAGTTGGACAACAATCGGTTCTAAAAATTAGAGTCATCAACCTATAACTTTATAAATAAACCCACACAATTGATTTTTTACTTAATCGATTTCATAACCATTAGCACAAATGAACAATTTGTAGCCCGCAAGGTTAAACCGTTACCAGAAAAACCACTCAATCTAGTAATTACTCGTAAATGATATCTTCCGATAAATCGCGAGCGGAAAAACACCGTCGTGCTCCGACTTGTTATGAATAAATTAGTGCGCAAACATTTTCTGGTCCTAACCAGAAAATTCGTCCCAAATTTCGCACTGGCAAACGTGAGCGATGCAAATTGACACCAAACACACAAATAAGATAAAATATACGTCGCATGTGACATGCGATGGGTTATATAACGCCCGATTTTAATTTATGAGCGAATACAAACAATCCCACTAGGAGGGGGTAGATCATGTAAAATGCAAAAGAAGGCTACATTCTCGATATATATTTCTTCCATAAAGGTAGTGCGTTGTAGTTTTTACCCGACCTGGCTAGCACCCGGTTGCGTGGACAAAACAAAAATAAACCGATACGTGCCTATAAATAATTAGTCAAGTCCAACGCAAGGCCACAAATCTGATATTTATATCACCAGCAAATTCACTAATCCATTTTTCAGGATGCGAAAACCCAGTGCCTTCTAGCTGCCTTGTCTTTACCCAAGGTAAGCCTTCACACTCCCCTTCTGTCTAAACCCTAGTCGTTGCAGTGCTCTTTTAGTCCACAAGTGTCCTCTTTCCGGTAATTGATGAGAAATCTCACCATCAAACACTTCGTTTCTTCACGCACCACCGAACTGAGCAGGGACCCCAGATTGAGGCTCCAAAACTGGTCCAAGCGTTGGATGCAGCTATTCTTCTTCAAGTGAACGATGCCAGACACAGTGGTGCCAGTAGACGACGACGAAAACGAAACCGAAGCCTCCGCCTTGACCAACAGACCCAAAATCCCGGACGGCGGATGGGGCTGGATGATCGTTTTAGCCTCCCTCATCATCTCTTTAATCCAAGACGGCATTAGTTTCTCCTTCGGGACTCTCTACACCGAGTTCATCGACGAATTTGAAGCCTCTAAGTCGAGCACGGCGTGGATCGGGAGCTTGTTCCTCGCGGTACCACTTCTAACGGGGCCTGTAATGAGTGCCCTGGTTGATAAGTATGGGTGCCGGACCATGACCATCCTAGGTGGATTGGTGTCCGCTGCTGGGTTCATTTTGAGCTACTTCGCCAACAGTGTGATCGTCATGTACATCACGTTTGGAATTATCTCGGGGATGGGACTCGGACTGACGTACATCACGGCGGTGGTGTCCATAGCCTTTTGGTTTGAGAAAAGGCGAAATCTCGCAGTGGGACTAGGGGCTTGTGGTACCGGTATTGGTACTTTCGTATATGCCCCTTTCACCACCATGCTACTCTACGAGTACGGCTGGCGATGGACCGTGATCCTCTTGAGTGGTACCCTCTTGAATATGTGTGTGTGCGGGGCTCTAATGAGGGACCCCGACTGGATCCTCGAACAGAACAAACACTCCAAACTATCCAGTAAGACGAGCTCGGTGTCCAACGTATCCACCCCAAGTCAGAAAATGGACCTAGAAGCCATCCGAAGCCTACTAAAGAATGGTCAAGACGCCGAGTACGTTCTCCAAACTCTGGCGACTTCCATCGAGCGCGAAGAAAAGGGGCAAAAGGAGCACCACCAATCCGTCCTCAATCTCCCGACATTCGTCAAACAGAACGAAACCGTGAGTCCGTGAGTGTTTGTTTAATACCACTTCGGTACTCACTTTCTATCTCTCTCCAGGTCCCAGCCGAAGTCCTCGAGCAGCTCCAAGAAAATAAAAAGTTGTATCGGATCATCGTGGAGAACTACCCCAGTCTTTTACACTGTAGGAGTACGTCCGAGAAAGGGCTCAACACGTTGGTTAATCCCAGTTTGGGGCCCCGGATCCCTGTGACGTTCTCCCTCAAGCTGAAAAAATCCGACAAGAAACCCATCACGCATCAGGTACTTCGTACGACTGTGTGATTCATTGATGACGTTGCTTTCAGTATTCGCTCCCTGAGCAGGCCGAGCCTTTAATGAAAAAAGCCAAAAAACCGGAGACTACCTCTTGGCTGGTAAAACAATTCAGTTCTACCACTCCGCACCAAAATTATTTTAAAAACATGAGGTTCCCTAGGCATTCGATACACCGGGGGGCCGTTTTGAATAAAAATAAGTACAGGTTGAGGGCATCGAGCTGTCCTAATATATACAGGGTGTCCATGACGACTCTCCTCAAAGACGAGGATGAGGTGAGTAGGTCTCGACCGTCCTTCTGTACCTCGCATTAACGTTTCAGCTGTGGTACGCGGGGTTAATCAAACTAGTCAATCTCTTTGACGAGTTTCATTTCTTCTTATTGTCTGTCTCGACTATCATTCTTTTTGCTTGGTTTATGACGCCGTATTTCTACCTAGTAGATCACATGGAAGCCCTCGGATACACCAAAGACGAAGCCTCGTACGTCCTATCCGGCATCGGAGTGGCCAACACCATCGGAATGGTACCACTTCGTACTAACTGTAATTTTCGTCACACATATTGTAGGTAGTTTTAGGGTGGGCGGGAGACCAACCGTGGACCAACGTGTCAAAAACCTATGGCGTCTGTCTCATCCTGTGTGGAGCATGTTGTTCCGCCATCTACATCTTCACCAAGAATTACATCGTCCTCCACATCTTCGGCGCGCTGTACGGAGTTTTCCTAGCGAGTAGTTTCTCATTTACTCCTGTGATGTTGGTGGAACTGCTTCCTCTTGAAACGTTCACCAAAGCGTACGGTTTGCAGTTGCTGTGTGAAGGTTTGGGACACCTGGGGGGACCCCCGTTCGCAGGTAAGTACCAACCCAACACACCTAAACGTTCTAAAGACGAACGAACCGTAGCACTACTTGCCGATTTGACGAAAACTTGGAGTTACTCGTTCCATTTGGGGGCGGTTTGGATTGCCGTTGCCGGAGTACTTGTTCTCATTATTCCCTACACGAAAAACCGGAAGATGTTTGGGAGGGGGCCGGTGGAGAAGGAACTGAGCGAGAGAGACTAAACATGACAAGTACTTAAATTTAATACTGGATTGTACTTAAATACTAGTATTGCTTACATTGTATTACTGTCATTCTATAATAAAATTTGGTCAGTATTTGGCATCATTTTTAATTACGATTTTATAAGTAGGATAAGGTACTGTAAGTACCTGACGTAAACTTCTCCATTTCGTAACTCGTTTGCATTAGGACCATGTCTAGGAACGCTTCTTTTTCGTGCTCTGTGTTGTCGCTTTTGATTTCTTCGGTCTTGATTTCTTCTTTCACGTCATTTTCGGTGATTTCTACGTCTTCGGTTTTAAATATCACGATGGTTTCGAATATTGCACTTTCTGCCATCTGGAGGGCATTTTTTGGAGGTTCAGAGGACAATTCTTGCGGAATAGTTGCTGGAGTTGCTCTTGATTCTAAATTTGGAGTCAATTTTTGGCTTTTTTCGTTTGTATCTTGACGGTTTATTTCTAGACCTGGACTAACAATGCGTTCCTAAAATAAATTGTTTCAAAATTTAGAATGTCGTACACATTGTAATTACCGAGGGTATTTGATCTTCTTGTGGATCATTCTGAGATTTTGATCTTTTTGTTCGTAACCGTAAACGTCTGCGGATTGGTGTGCTGTTGTCGTTCACAACGACTTCTCCTAACAATTTTGGTTTCTGTTTGAACTTTGTAAAAGCACTATTTTCCTCGTCAGGTAGATATAGAGTTGGCACAGCTGTTTGCAACAACCGTCTGTTACCAATTTGTTGTCCTATAACCAAAACGACACATTTTTGTAATTTTTTACTAATAATATATGATAAATATAATATTCAAAATACCTCCAAAATGGATTTAAGTTCAAAATATAAGTGCCTTTATTGTGCTCAAATTTGGTAATTTGATTAAAAAAAGTCATGATCATTCTTAAAAAAAGGTATTTCTGTTTAGTGAATACACCTCATAATTCCACAAATTTCACTAATTTTGTGGTTGGGAAATTACCGCTGCCATACCTGGTAATTGGTCAAATAAACCCTGTCATTGGTTGATAAAAAAAAAAAACGCAACCGGCTACATGACTAAATTGCCCCGCATCGATTGGTGCATCACTAAGCCCCACCCACATCCTACCACCCTGATTTAATTTACGAAAAAATCCTTACTTGATTTTAAACAATAGTCTTCCTCTGCAAAGTGGATAGAGCACACTTTCGAAGTTTTGTGAATTGCAAAATCCGCCCCAACGCGGTCCTCCCATATTTTCCGCCGATCACAATAAAATGCCTGCCCCTGGGCATTTTTAATCACCACTTTCGTGCCAGCTTTAGGGAACTGATGGTACGTCAAAGTACCATCGTCTGGAAATTCACAAGTCGGGACACAGCACCTGTTGCCACATTTCTTCTTCTTCATTACTTTTATCAAAAATACATGTGTAAACCCGAATGGAATAAAAATAAATTACACCAGAAATGTAAACAAAAACAGCATTTGAATAGGAGGTTATGTTTATGTTTGTGTGTGCAGGTGCAATGCGCACTTGTTGCGTCAACTCGCCGAGTCGCAGCATAAGCAGCTGTGATCTGCAGCAGACTATGCCGTGACAGTGAGCTGTGCCGCAAACTAATTACAGTGGACATAGCGCCGAAAACTCGTTGGTAAACAATAAAAAAATGTGGTAAAAAAGTCTGTATAACGGTGGAATAAATTGTTATTTTTATCTCTCGTGCGATTATAATTATAATTACATGCTTTTCTAATTTTCCGGTTCGAACCAGTGGCGTAGCTAACTTCCACTGTGCCCCCCCGCAGTTTATAGTAAGCGCCTTCATGCACCAAATTTAAAAAGTAATATAAATATGTACTACTCGTTTGTACATTTTTTCGGTTACTTTACGGTCTGCGCCCCTTTTGGCGCTGCGCCCCCCCCCGCATTGCTAGGTTTGCGGGGGTGCTATTTACGCCACTGTTTCGAACATCTAGGGCCCCTTCAACGCTAGAATATGATAGTTTGTCCCTTTTAGATTGCTTTGATAACCAAAACTGAGCCACAGGACTTAGAAGATCTCTATCCTCGAAAGCATTACTCTTGGTTTTCACCGTATAACTAATCACTAATCCAAAAATAACGGTCGTTAATAGTCCACACACTATGTATAAATAGAAAGACAACTTAAAAATAGCAGGTGCGTCAGCTTGTTTCATTAGATTTCTCCAAATTTCGCTGGAATAAATCAAAAATACCTATTAGCTTGTTTGAATACTTACAAAGTTGTGTTTGATATGATAGTACTATTGATGGTACTTGTGTGATTCAGTGCATCACAACCGCTGGCAGAGCTAGACACAAAGTTATTAAAACACCTCCAGTACTCCAGTACTACAATAGAACGCGCCCTTAAAATGTCACGGTATTTTTACTAAATTAAGAAAATGTCGTACTTGCGAATTCGCCATTAGAAACAATACTCGCAATGTAAAAATACCTATTAAATGTCCTTGAGTGATTCCCCAAACGGAGTTCCTAGAAGAGTAGTACCGGAAATGTGGCTAAAAATGTTTCAGTTAACACGCGACGAGAATTAGTTTGGTTCATCTGATAGCAATGGTCAATGGATACCGAAATCGGGAAAATTTTCATTTTTTTGTCCGGTAGTAGGTACTCAGTGGCGGTACTCTGCGTCGTTGCAAAGCATCCAAAGTAGATCCCTATTAAAGCACTAAGCAGCAACATTGCGGCAAAAATGAGATTGTCGAACCAGGTTAAAGTGAGTGAAGGCATGGCGGTGCCATTAAACTAGTACGGAATAAAAGTCGAACAACTTTGTTGCTTTTGTTTTAATACAACACAAAAACCTTGAATTATTATAGTACTATTAGACGGCTGCTATCAACAGTTCGTAAAATACTGTAATTAAAAGGCAAATTGGGTAACGAAACAGTTTTATTCTTCGAGAATTTCTAACGCCTCTTCTACATCTCTGTACGGTACTCCCTTTTTGTCTTCATATTTTTTGGAAAGACAGAGTTGTACGACAGGACTTACGTGGTCCTTGTCGGTTGGAGAGTTTCGTTTGGTCATGCAGCTAATGATTAAACCAACAATTACAGTCACAACGCATCCAATCAGTACGTAATAATAGAAAGATATTCTGAAAATCATAGGTACTTGTGGAAATTGTATTGTGGAAGTTGTGTTGGAAGATATGTGGTACGAAGTACTCGAATTCTGATTGAGTACACCACACCCAGTAATCGAAAGTGGTTTCGTAGGATTTTTAATCGCTCCTTTCAACTGGTAGTACTTGCCAGGAAGTGCTACACCTGCCACTGCTAGAAAACCCGCAACAATACCGTAGAAAGCTCCCTTCAAACAAATATTAGTACTTCAATCTGTAACGTAGTACCACATACATGGTGGTTAGCTGACGGAAAAAGAGCTCCTAGTGTAAAAACGCCAAGCAAAGGTCCTTGTGTAATTCCACAAACCGTCAAAGTAACAGACAGTACTTCTCCAAGTTTGTCCACCGCAAAAACCAAACATGTACAGAAAACTCCAACCACGAGTACTATCGCTTTCAGGATGTTGCTACCCCGTTTTTCTGTAGATTTATCTTTTAAAAATAAGCATACGAGGTCTTTGTACAAGACACCAGACAAAGCGTTTAGGTTGGATGACATGGAACTGCAACAACTTGCGTATACACCATAAGAGAAGCAAAAGTAGTACCTGAGAGATGCACTTGCAATAGTAGCTACAAAAAGACCAGAGATTCCTGGAATGCTAGCACCGATGTCCGTTATGAAATACGGCAAGAGTTGGTCGTGTTTTGACACTATTTTGCTAGTTAGAGGATCACAGTCTTTGTACCTGGAATAAGTTAGCAAACCAATGGCAACACCGAATGTCTGTACTAAACACATGTTGAACACAGTGCATATAACTGCCTGTTTGCACTCCTTGAATGTTGGTAAAGTTAGAAATTTTTGGGCACCGGTTTGGTGGACGATTATTAAGGTGGTGGCGATCGTAGTACAACCGATGCTGTATCCCCAAAAGCTATCTCTTGCTGAGGGGTCTATAGTGAAGCTAAAACAAAGTTTGTACGACTATCAAACTATTAGCAAAGAGTACTTAAAAACATGTAGTCTTTGACCATCCACTGCTGTATTCCAAACTGATGATATTCCGGCAGACGCATCAAGACCCGTCACAAAAACAGTCAAAAGACAGGTTAGTATAACTGCGAACTGAAGAAAATCCGTCCAAATAACAGTCTTCAGACCCCCTATCGACGTATAAAAAACACAAACCAAACACAAGACGGTAGCAACCAAATTAACATCAATTCCAGTAGCTACAAAGGTACTATTATTTTATTCGCAGACATGTTTGAAGTAGTACCTGTAGCAAAAGTCAAAGATGGCGCATACGCATGTACCGGAAACGTGAAAATTTCGGACAATACATAAAACACAAACCCTATCATTCGAGTCTTCTTATCAAATCTTTTCTCCAAGTACTCGTAAATGTTGGTTACTTGCATTTTGAAGAACACCGGAAGGTAAACATAAGTAGCAAGAAAACCCATTATTGTGTACGCCACAACGTATAACCAGACGCTAGCTCCGTATCTGTACACATCCGCCACCGATGTTAGAAGCAAGGTACCTGAAATATGGCTAAAATTGCGTGGATTAAGTGGAACAACAATCTTAAAGTGGTACCTCACTGCTACTGATACCGCTATCGGAATAACTTTCATGTTTTTGCCTCCCATGAGGTACTCCCTGATGGTGGATTGCTTGGTCCCGAAGCAGCCGAAATAAATTCCGATTATGGTACTGAGCACCAACATACCTACAAATATTATGTAGTCGTACCAGGTTAAAGAAGGCGACATGATGCTGAAGAAAAACTCAGTTTAACTAAGTCGACGCCGTTATAGAAGGTTGTAAATATACGAATTTTAAAGAATAGATAGTGGTTCTAAATGTTCTGTATATAAATCGTTGGTTTATGCTTGACATCTCGTATAAATTTTACGGAACAATGGCGCTTTTATTACAATATATGTATGTTACAGTGATTCATGGCAATGGGTAATTTCAACGATATGGTAAAGCTTGTTTCGATTAACTTTGGACTACTTTAATGAAATACTGCCTGTAATGGTATAATTTTTGTTTGTAGTCGAATTTTACATGATTTTCTTCGTTTTCTCGAGATTTTTGATGACAAAAATGTCCATCATCATAAAAAATGCAAGGACGGTTGACGAATCTTGTTTCAAATTAAGTAAGTAGCACTCTTTACTTTAACAAAGCGCTACATTATACTTCCGTTTCAAATATATCGCAAAACCTTGACTTTTAAATGGTAAATAATTGCTTTCGTCAACTAAGTATACACCTTTTTTAACCTAGAACATTATAATTACAAACGAGAATATGTACTGTATCAATTTTTTCTTCGAGAATTTGTAACGCTTGTTCTACGCCAGTGTTCGCTACTTACAATTCGTCTTCACATTTTGGGCCCCAGTTTGATGGACGACTATAAGATCGCATGAAACTGGTACTTATGACTATGACATATCCCCAGAAACTATCTCTAGCAGTAGGACCAGCAGTGAAACTAAAAGAAAACATTATAAAGCTGTCGGATTAGTAGCAAAAATTACTTAAATCCGGCATTAGCATAAGGTGAAGACTCTTGTACAGTGGTACTTCATAGGTACTGATATCTCAATTGAAATAACTTTCGTGTTTTTTCCTCCCATTAGGTATTCTCTGAGGGTAGATTAGTTCAAAAGAATCCGAAATAAATTAGAATCAAGATACTAAGTGCTAATATACCTGGAATATAGAATGATATTAATGTACCAACTTAAACAGACCAACATTCTAAAAGGTACACCAATCTAATAAACTTAATTTGACGTTCTAGACTACAGACAAAATTTGAATTCAACAGAACAGGTAGTGGTTATTTTAAAAGTATAGAATTTAAATTGTTTGTTTGTACTTAACATTAAAAATAATCGTAAACAGACAAAGGCACTTACATTGAAACATTTATTATAATAATTCACAGTTGCTTTGTATTTACAAGAATATGGAAAATGTATTCTACTTTTACTCAGGTAATTTATTGTCTCTCGGTATAGTGATAATAATAATGAAATATATGTCTGTATTTTTTTAATTATTTAATCAAAACAACTTCTTTCTTTTTTTTGACTCAACCATATTCGTCGCTTTTCCAAATTCTTAGTCATAATTGACATTGGCCCTCAATTCACTGACAACTTATACAAAAAAAATGATGTTACTTTTCTACGTACTAATGCAGTACCTTATCAACTCCTCCAGAAAACGGTTTCAACTCCATCAGCCTACTCAGCAGCTCAACAATCCTCACCAGAAACCTCTTTCTAATGACAAGATACCATATGTTCACCATTCCCAAGTCCAGTCGTACGTCCTCCCCTGTACCAAACTTTAAAGACATTTGAAATTATTTTATCAATAAATTGATTGAAAACGAAAAAAAATTAATTGGCCTTCATGACGTAAGAGTTGTAAATTAGGTATAAAAATAAAACTCATGTACATTAATTCAGCCTTCATTAAAAAAGGGCATACAAATTCTATCATATTTATTTCTACTTTAATTTCGTCTTCCAGTCCCCCATCCACTGCAATGAATTCCGGTTCGGGAAGCTCCACAGGGTCCAGATTAGTCGTATTCCACATGACCGAAAAACTCGCATTGATATTAAGTTCTTCGTTTTCGTACCTTGGTAGGCTAAGCGATGAAATAAAATCTGTGTGACATGATCTTCTTCGTTTGCTCGATACTTTTGATGGCAAAAATATTCATCACCAAAAATTATGCAAGGTAAGTTGAAGAATCTTGTTCCAAGTTAAGTAGTGCTCTTTATTTAACACCTAACAAAACGCTACATAAATAACCGCTTTCGTCAACTTCACACCTATTTAACCTAAAACGTTATGATTACAAATAAGAACCTGTACTGCATCAATTATTTTCTTCGAGAATTTCTAATGCTTGTTCTACGCCAGTGTACACCACTTTTTGTTTATCTTCATCTTTTGTAGACATACAAGAATGCACGACAGGAGTTAGAAGATTCTTATCTACTGAAGAGTTACGTTTTATTATACAACTAACGATTAATCCAACAATCACAGTCACGATGGTACCAATCAGTACATAATAGTAGAACGACACTTTAAAAATCACCGATACTTGTGGAATTTGATTTCTGAAAAAATATCAACGTCAGTACTCAGACTGAGTACATTAAATCTTTCTTACAAAGTTGAGTTTGAAGATATGTGTTTCGAAATACTTAGAGTTTGATTGGAAAGACCACAACCACTAACAGAAAGTGGTTTTGTTGGATTTGTAATAAACCCTTTCAACTGATAGTACTTAGCAGGAACTGCTATACTCGAGACGGCTATAAATCCTGCAACCATCCCATAGAAAGCCCCCTTCAAAAAAAATTACCGTCTCTATATAATTTCTGGAAGTGCGACATACATGGTGATTAGCTGTTGGGAAAAGAACTCCTAACGTAAAAATGCCAAGTAAAGGTCCTTGCGTAAGCCCCACAATCGTCAAGGTGATAGAAATGATTTCTCCCATTCTCTCCACAGCAAAAACTAAACAAGTGCACAACAATCCAACCACAAATACTATTATCTTCAGACTATTACTACTCTGTTTCTCGGGTTTTTCTTTCAAAAACAAACACACAAAGTCTTTGTAGATGACACCGGATAAAGAGTTCAAGTTCGACGATATTGAGCTAGAACCATGTACGTCTAGTGTACAACATATAAGAAGAAAAAGTGGTACCTGAGGGATGCACTTGCAATGGTCGCTATAAAAAGACCTGTAATTCCTGGAATGTTCGTACCGATGTCTGTTACGAAATATGGAAAGAGTTGATCGTGTTTTGATATCTTTTTACTAATTAAAGGGTCACAGTCTTTGTATCTGGAATAAGTTACTAAACCAATGAAAACCCCCAACGTGTTCACTAAACACATGTTAAAGACAGTAAACACCACTGACCATATACAGTCTGTGAATGTTGGTAAGGCCAAAAATTTCTGGACACCGGTTTGATGGACGACTATTAAGGTAGTCGCTAGAAAGCTGGTGCCTATGAGATATGCCCAGAAACTATCTCTTGTGGTAGGATCAATAGTGAAACTAAAAGAGGACTTTGTAGGACAGTTGAGTTAATCGCAAAAAAATACTTAAAAATTTCTAGTCTTCCACCAACTTCTGCTGTACTCCAAACTGATGTTATTCCTCCAGATGTACCAAGACCTATCCCAAAAACAGTCAAAAAACAAGCTACTATTATTCCAAACTGGAGAAAATCAGTCCAGATTACAGTCTTCAAACCTCCTATTGAAGTGTAAAAAACACAAACCACACACAAGACAGTAGCAGTCAAGTTAATGTTAATCCCAGTAGCTACAACAGTACTATTATTTTATTGCCACTAAAGTTACAACAGTACCGGTTGCAAAAGTCAAAGCTGCTGTGTACGCATAAAGCGGAAACATAAGAATCTCGGACAGCACATAGAACACGAAAGCCAACATTCGTGTTTTTTTGTCAAACCTTATTTCCAGGTACTCGTAAATGTTAGTAACTTGCATTTTGAAGAAAACTGGAAGATAGACAAAAACGGCAAGAAAACCCATGATGACGTAGCTAACCATGAATAACCAAAGGCTAGCTCCGTATCTGTACACGTCGGCCACCGTGACTAAAAGCAAAACACCTGAAATATGGCTAAAATCTGAGGTCAGTTTAAGGAAGAGAAATTTGTGTAGTGGTACCTCACTGCTACGGATACCGCAATCGGAACCACTTTCATGTTTTTGCCTCCCATGAGGTATTGTCTGATCGTGGATTGCTTGGTTCCGAAGCATCCGAAATAAATACCAATTATGGTACTGACCACCAGCATGCCGGCGAAAATTATGTAGTCGTACCAGCCCAAAGAGGGTGACATGATGTGAAGAAAATCACTGTTTGACAAAATCGACGTCGTTCTAGAAAGGTAGTGGTTTTAAATGTTTCAACATAAATCGTTAATGTATGGTTGACATCTGAAATAAATTTTACGAAATAATGGCGTCTTTATTGCATTATATATTACAATGATTCATAGCGCTTGTTTAGATTAAGTTTGTACTATTTTTATTAAAGTACTGTTTTTAACAGTACATAAAGTTTATGAAACACTATAAAAGAAAGGTTGAAGAGCCTTGAACCAAATCTAAAACAGTCAGTCTTATTTTATTTAGAAAAATAAAATTAGATAAATTACTCAACCTAAAACATTTTATTAAAATAACAATAATAATTGTATCAGTTTTTTTCTTCGAGAATTTCTAACGCTTGTTCTATACCACTGTACTTTACGTTCCGCTCATTTTCACATTTTGCGGACATACAAGAATGTATGATAGGACTTTGAAGGTTCTTGTCGTTTGTAGAGTTCCGTTTTGTCACACAGCTAATAATTAAACCAACAATTACAGTCATGGTGCTTCCAATCAGTACATAATAGTAAAAAGATATTCTGAAAATAATAGGTACTGCGGGCATTGGATTTCTGAAAAAATCGTCACTACTAACTGTCACCAAGTAATTCTCATTCCTCACAAAGTTGTATTTGAAAAAGTGTAGTTGGAAGTATCCAAATTCTGATGAGCACATCCATTAATCGAAAGTGGTTTAGTAGGATATTTAATCGATCCTTTCAACTGGTAGTACTTAGCAGGAAGTGCTACACTCGCTACTGCTGTAAAACCCCCAACCATACCGTAGAAAGCCCCCTTCAAACAAATATTAGTACCTCACTCAATCACCAAGTACCACATACATAGTGGTTAGCTATTGGAAAAAGGACTCCTAGTGTAAAAACACCAAGCAAAGGTCCTTGTGTGATTCCACAAACCGTCAAAGTAACAGAAATTATTTCTCCCAGTTTATCCACTGCAAAAACCAAACAAGTACACAAAACTCCCACCACAAGTACTATCATTTTCAGAATGTTGCTACCCCGTTTTTCTGAAGGCTTCTCTTTGTAAAATAAACACACTAGATCTTTGTATAAAACACCAGATAAAGCGTTCAAGTTGGACGACATAGAACTGCAACAACTTATGTATACAGCATAGAAGAAGAGAAAGTAGTACCTAAGGGATGCACTTGCAATGGTCGCTATGAAAAGACCAGAAATTCCTGGAATGCTACTACCGATATCTGTTACGAAATACGGAAAAAGTTGATCGTGTTTTGATATTATTTTGCTAGTTACAGGATCACAGTCTTTGTATTTGGAATAAGTTAGCAAACCAATAGAAACGCTGAATGTGTGCACTAAACACATACTGAATGCAGTATAAATGACTGACTGTTTGCAGTCTTTGTATGTTGGTAATGTTAGAAATTTTTGGGCACCGGTTTGGTGGACGATTGTTAAGGTGATAGCTGTTGCGGTAGAACCTATGGCGTACCCCCAAAAGCTATCTCTTGCCGTGGGGTCTACAGTGAAGCTAAAAAGGAAACTTGTACAACCGTCGGATTAGTAGTAAATCATTACTTAAAAACATGTAGTCTCTGGCCATCCACTGCTGTATTCCAAACGGATGATATTCCCGCAGACGCATCAAGACCTGTCACAAAAACTGTCAAAAGACAGGCTATTATAACCCCGAATTGGAGAAAATCCGTCCAAACCACAGTCTTTAAACCCCCTATCGATGTATAAAAAACACAAACCAAGCATAAGACGGTAGCAACCACATTAACATCAATCCCAGTAGCTAAAACGTTACTATTATGTTATTGCCACCCAAGTTGGTACCAGTACCTGTTGCAAAAGTCAAAGATGGCGTGTACGCATGCACCGGAAACGTGAAAATTTCAGACAGTACATAAAACACGAATCCCAACTTTCGCGTTTTCTTATCAAATCTTTTCTCCAGGTACTCATAAATGTTGCTAACCTGTATATTGAAGAACACTGGAAGGTACACATAGACGGCAAGAAAACCCATAATCGTGTACGATACAACGTATAGCCAGATGCTAGCTCCGTATCTGTACACGTCCGCCACCGTTCCCAGAAGCAAAGTACCTGAAATATGGCTAAAATTGCCTGGGTTAAATGAGGCGAGATAATCTTGAAGTGGTACCTCACTGCTACTGATACCGCTATCGGAACCACTTTCATGTTTTTGCTCCCCATGAGGTACTCTCTGATGGTGGATTGCTTAGTTCCGAAACACCCGAAGTAAATTCCGATTGTGGTACTGAGTACCAACATGCCTGCGAAGATAATGTAGTCGTACCAGGTTAAAGTGGGCGACATGATGATGAACAAAGCTTCACTTTGACTAAGTCGACACTGTTCTAGAAGGCAGTTGAAGTACTAATTAAAAGAGTCGACAGGATTATGATTGACATCTCAAACAAAGTTTGCGACATGCGACATAGTAGCTTGTTATAATGATTCATGGTGATGTGTGCATGTTCGAGGTTGTACCAGTAAGATCTATACATCAATTAAAAAAATTATGCAAGGAAATTTGACGAACTGTATTCAAAAACTATGATAATCGGTTTTATTTTATTCTAACAAAAAGCTACATTAAGTATACTTCCACTTTACACTTTACACCTACTTAATCTAAATATTTTGGTACAAATACCAACGTCCTGTTTTTTTTTTTTTCTTCAAAAATTTCTAACGCTTGTTCTACGCCAGTACTCTCTGTTTTTCGTCAAATTTTGTAGGCATACAAGAATGTACGATAAGACTTAAGAAGTTCCAGTTCCCCAAAAACTATCTCTTGCTATAGGATCAACAGTGAAACTAAAAGAAAATTTTGTAAAAAAGTTGAGTTAGTAGCAAAACCTTACTTAAAGGTTCCTAGTCTTTCGTCAGCTTTTGCTATGCTCCAAATTCATGATATTCCTCCAGATGGCATACAAGAATGTACGATAAGACTTAAGAAGTTCCAGTTCCCCAAAAACTATCTCTTGCTATAGGATCAACAGTGAAACTAAAAGAAAATTTTGTAAAAAAGTTGAGTTAGTAGCAAAACCTTACTTAAAGGTTCCTAGTCTTTCGTCAGCTTTTGCTATGCTCCAAATTCATGATATTCCTCCAGATGCATCGAGACCAAAAACAGTTAATAGGCAAGCTACTATTATTCCAAATTGGAGAAAATCAGTCCAAACTACAGTTTGCAAACCCCCTATTGAAGTGTAGAACACACAAACCACACACAAGACAGTTGCAATCAAATTGACGTTAATCCCAGTAGCTGCAACAATACTATTAACATATTGTCACCAAAGTAAGAACAGTACCGGTTGCAAAAGTCCAAGATGGCGTGTATGCATGGATTAGAAATACAAGAATTTTGGAGAACACGTAGAACACGAAAGCCAACATTCGTGTTTTTTTGTCAAACCTTTTCTCCAGATACTCGTGAATGTTGATCACTTGCATTTTGAAGAATACTGGAAGATAAACATAAACAGCAAGGAAATCCATGATTACGTAAGCAACCGAGAATAACCAAAGGCTAGCTCCGTATCTGTATACGTCGGCCACCGATCCTGCAAGTAGGTTACCTGAAATATGGCTAAAATCCAGGGTTAGTTTAAGAGAGAGAAATATGTACCGAGGTACCTCACTGCTACTGATCCCGCGATTGGAACAACTTTTATGTTTTTGCCTCCCATGAGGTACTCTCTGATCGTGGATTGCTTGGTTCCGAAGCATCCGAAATAAATTCCTATCAATGTGCTAAATGCTAACATAGAATTATGATAGAGTCGTACCAGCTTAAAGAGATCGACATTTTAAACCAACGTCAATCTAGTAGGTAAACTTAGTTTGAAGTTCTAGAAAATTTTGAATTTAACAGAACCGATAGTGGTTATTTTCAAGGTATAGCATTTAAATTGTTTGTTTATACTTGACGTTAAAAACAATCGTCAACAAAAAGAGGTAAGTTGCAACAGTTGTTATAATGATTGATAGTTATTTTGTATGTTAAGAACATGTAAAAATTTTTGTACTTTTACTAAAGTAGTTGATTATCTCATGGTTTAGTGGCAATAATGAAATATTATAAATACATTTTTTATATTTATCACATAAAAACATAAATTTTTTCTTTGTTTTTTTTAGCTCAGTCATATTCGTCCCATTTCCAAGTACTCAATCATAGTCGACACTGACGCTCAATTAACTGTCAACTTATACAAAAAATGACGTTACTCTACTACCTCCTTTTAGCAGTACCAGCATCAACCCCATCCCCCGTAGCCTACATTCTCCAGAAAAACGGCTTCACCTCCATCAGCCTCCTCAGCAGCTCGACAATCGTCACCGAGAACCTCCTTCTAACCACAAAATACCCCATCTTCACCATCCCCAAGTCCAACATCTGCGTCCTCCCTGTACCAAACTTTAAAGGGCTTTCCGAAGATAATATCAGAATAAACTGCATCGATATCAAAAATATACACTTTTCTAAATCCAACGTGACCTTAATCGAGCTACAAAAAAAGATCGCATTTGTAGCAAGGGTGAACACAGCTATAATCCCTGAGGTTACGTCGATTGAGAAGCCCTTCAAACTAAACAGTAATTGTAAAATGATATACCATGAACGTACCAACGTTTTTGACTACGTAGTAGCGCAAAAACTTGACTCTGCAACTATCACAGAGGGTGCCAATACTACCATTGACGCAAAGTTGGCATCTTCCCGACAGTACTGCGTCCAGGATAATGGTGTCCCGTTGTATTGCGAATCGGCGGTCATTGGAATCTTTATGTATGAAAGTACGTCAGATATTTGCTGTGTTAATGAGTGTACGTCCACTTCAGACCTTAAAGTGCTCAAACTATATACTGAGGAAGTTCAATCTTTATTAAAAAAGTATGTACCGCCATAATTAATGTTTATATTGATCTAGTTTGAGTCTTGGTTAAACGTTTGAACTTATTTTAACAATAAATTGCTTGAAAACGAAAAAATGATTTGGCTTTCATGACGTGAAGGTCGTAAATTAGGTACAAAAGTAAAACTCAAAATTCAGTAATTCAGTCTTTATTAAAAAAAAACACATACAAATTAACAATAACAATGATCTTCATGCTCACTTGTGTCTTCTAATTCTATCTCATCTATTTCTATTTTAATTTCATCTTCCAGCCCCCCATCTACTGCAATGAATTCTGGCTCCGGGAGCTCGAGAGGGTCCTGATTCGTCGTATCCCACATAACCGAAAAGCTCTCATTGACATTAACTTCTTCAATTTCGTACCTTGGCAGGTTACGTGATGGAATAAAATCTATGCTAGTGGGATGATTCGAGGGCTCCCCCCCTATAAAGTGGTCAGCGCACACCGTCAGTGGCACCCACATCTTTGGAGCATCCGCCTCGTTGTTCCACATAACCTTCCTCCACATGTTCCACCGGTTAGCCTGCGAATCTGAAGATGGCCGGTTCAGGGTGAAGAAACGCTTGTATGGGTGTTCTACGCTGAGGTGGTGGCAGAATTCCACCATACACATGTCCTTCGTTGGGTTTCGCTGCGGCAGATCCATCGTGGGAATGGCGATTGGGGAAAGTTTGTCACCTTTGATGTGGAAAACTTAGTAATTTTGAGTGTTTGAAGGATGTGAGGGGGTTTACCTTTGTAGTAGTCTGAGGCTTGGAAATGTTTGGAGCACACTCTGTCAGTGCGGCTGTGGGCTTTTTTCATTAAGAGGATTAGTTCCCAGACCCTTTTTCGTTCCATTTTGTTTTCGATTCCCTTTTCGTTGGTCACGTAGACGTAGGATTTTCCGTCTTGGGGAAACAGGTGAAAGTGGAGGTGGGGGTGGGAGTAAGAGTTGCGGCCGCATTCAGGGACGCAGCAGTAGTGGATTCTTGTGGTCATTGTGGGGCCCCCGATTCTACATGGGTATAGGTTATGTTTTGAACTGTCAAATGTATGTCAGGTTCTGTCAAAATGCATCATTTAAAAGAAATTAACAAATTATGAAATTATAACATTACCGTGTATACATTAATATTAAACTATGAAATAATTGAAGATTCATTTTGCATTAACATGATTATCTTTATTATTTGAAATGAATACGCAACCAACATTACACGTGGTTTCTGTTCTAATTTTTATGATGAAAACAGAGACGTATTTAAATGATTATGGACCTCCAAACATAGCTAGCATTTATGTAGAAAGGTCACACTTATGGGTTTGCGTTTTACGCAAAATTTCCACTAAACAATCTTATAGTTGCAGAAATGGTAACACTGCACTATATTTACTGACAAGTGTACTTATTTATGTATGAAAACAATTTACGACCTCTGAAGAGCAACAGGTGTCTACAATAAATAGATAACCTCAAGCTATAATCATTCGTTCTCTTTAGAATGTTTCAAACAAATCGAGTCTTGTAATTTATCAGCGCCACATCCACTTAAAATTGCATAACCCAAGTGTCAAACTATCAAGAACTTAATCTTGTTTTTCCATTCAATCGTCACAACGCATTATTTAAGTGTTGATACTACTAATAGTGGCGATAAAAACCGGTCTAGTAAATATTTAAACATTTTAAAATACCAGAGAATGATACCTCCTTATTAAACAACGTAAACTGGCTAAACGACCACGCAGCACCTGCTCCCCCAATTACCAATTACCAAAGTAAAAACTCCTCTCTAAATAAATAATGACGTCACATGCGAACATTTTGAGGACCCCTGCCCGACCTGCGCCTCTCCCCACCACGCGCAACGATCGTCTGTTGTTTTCAGTGACGTTTCGTGCAGTTTTCTCGTCTCTCGTGCGAAAACGGCCGCAACCATTCTCGGTGCGCCAATTACCAAAATAATTCCCGTCGACAGCCCCCGACTGGCAGTGTACGCGTAGCCCCCGACCGGAATTCGCCCGCCCTCACTCAAATCAAGTGTGCTTTGTGTGGTTACCGTCCCGGCCTTCCTGACTCCGGCCCTTTAAACCGCCACAGCAGACCCATCGTTCGAGCGCTCCCAGACGATGGTTGCAGTTTTTTAGCATCGTTTTCGGCGTAATTTTCAATTTTTGGTAAGTTGGTTGTTTGTTTGGCTGTAACGTGGACGTTTTTTGGCGCGCTACCGGTTCTGGATGATCGTTTCGAGGCGGCTGGGAATAAGTATAGCGTCACCTGCGCGTCACGTGATTGACGCCGATTGACAGGCGACGATGTGACGTCACGCTAATCAGGTGACGTCATCTTGTTGTTTTTCGTTTCTAGCCGCGATGTCGACGAAACCATGGGGGGCGTTGCCGGTGTACCGGATCATGACCATCATGAAGAGTTCTTCGGAGGCGGAGAACATCGGGAAAGACTCGTCGCTGATGATGACCAAAGCTGCGGAACTCTTCATTAAGATGCTCTCGAGGGAGGGGTACAAGCTGGCGAATGGCGGGAGGAGCTTAGAGTATAAGCACGTGGCGGAGGTGGTGCAAAGGGACGAGAGGTACGAGTTCCTGAGGGATATTATGCCGAAGAAGATCACCTACGCGGAGTACAAAAAGATGCAAGGGATACAAGAAAATCGTGACGAATCGGAGACGGAAGACGACGACGAATCGGACTCGGGCACCAGCAGTGGCAGTAGTCAATAAATCAGGAGTGCTTTCGTATGCTTTTGTTTTTTGTTTTGTCTTATTAATCCTATCCCTTTTATGTTCAAATAGTTGCAGCGCGGCGTGCCCTCACCCTCACTACCTATAACAGTCTGTGAAACATTCACGTGAACGTGTGAGCCAATCAGAGCGCACACGCTGATCATGTGACTAAGCTAAGCCGACTTAAATAAGCGCTGGTTTGTTTAAAATAACGTTTAACCTCATTTGACTGCATAATTAGCACCTTCAGGCACGTGCTGTCTGCTTTCGTAATTCCGACCGCAACCTTGGATTCCGATAACAGTTTCTGCGTTATTTGAGAAAAGAGAAACGCTGTGAGGGTGGAAGAAACCGTTCCGGATTCTGAGAAAGTTCGTCCACGTGCCGCCGCTTTCCCGCCCCCGGCGGCGGCGGCATCCCTCCCCGTTCTTCCAAATGGCAGGGGTGGAATTTTCCCTGCATCGAACGTGTCCCCGCCATTTCGCTATCGATTGGTGGTTTCAAGGTTGCCGCTGCGGAAGTGACGCGTTTATTTGCACACTTTGGTATACCTGCAAAAATGGGTTGCCACGTGACGAAATTCATATGCGAGGATGGCAAATATTGGTAGATGGGTGGGTTTGATGTTTGATAAGAAATGGGGTCGTGGATGAATGGCTAGAAAAAATGATAAGTGGAAGCATTTTAGTAGATACGAGCGAAGACTTATAGCAGAACTTTGCAAGCTTGGAATTTTGTGGGGCGAAACCGTAAAAGGTGGTTGAACAAACTGCTTGTTTTTGTGGGGAAAGTTTGAAGGATAAAAGGGTCTTTGACCGCTTAAACCGTAAATATATGTATATATATATGGTTCTAAGTATATGGCAGAAGTTTGTAAAGGCACATAAGTGTATGTACATACGTCATGTAATTTCATACAGGTCTACCGCTAGAACCGTATTGTCACTTCTTTTACATTTCAAGCCTCAATCTTAAGGTCTAATTTTAAATTTTCTCTACGTTTCACAACATGTAGTACACGGCAGTGTTGGTCTCCCGTGAAATTTGAAATATACTGTAAGAGTTTCATGATTTTTAAAAACAAGACATTACTACTAGTAAGGCCTCTTTATAACACAATACTTTTTAATGATTTTTAGCCTGGTTTTCAAGGTAACTTTTAAAAAAAGTAAAAATTTTAAGAAATATATCCCATTTTATCAAACGTGAATACGGTTTCGGCCAAGAAAAGTTACCATTTAAAAACCCTTAAAATTCGTCTTTTTACCCTGGTTTTTTCTGTTGGGCCATTTCAGAATACTTTGTTTTTTAAGCACTTTACTCCTATTTTAACAACCTTCTTAATTAAAAGTTAAAATTTGCCTTTTTTGCTCAGTTTTTCAATGGGGCCACTTCAGCACACATATGAATATGGTTTCGCTCAAACAAGTTCACCTTTTTAAAAGCAAATATTCTAACCATTTTACCATGTTTTTATGGCAGGTACCTATATTTAAAAAAACAAATATTTTTAAAATATTACTGTTATTAACGTAGGTATATTAAAAAGTTACAATGTTAATGCATTTTGACCTATTTTTAAGTTTTTTACTAGTACAGCCCCCTTCAGAACACTTTGTTTCTTTAAGCATTTCACCCTGTTTTGAATTTTGTACTATATGGGCCTGTTCAGAACAACAGTTGAAATTTAAAGTCTAAAATAGACAAAGAAGATAAAAAAATGTATTTAAAAGAATGATGTGAATTGGAAAATTTGGTGTGTACCCAAACGGTATACACACCAGAAATTGATTAATTAGAAAAGGTATTTTTTACGAAAACGCTATGCGATGGACCGCCTTGTACATTATTATTTGATTATTTAAACGCAAGGTCCCTTTATAGTGATTACTATTAAGGAACCTTGATTTAAACGTAAGATGATCAAGTTTAAGTGATCTTAAATCATTTAAAAAATATAATATTTTAAGAATTTGTACAATAGAAAATCAATTATTTATGATCGCATTCCAAGAGTAAAAACATCTCCATGTTTATAAATTCTTTCAATTGATAAAGTCTCCCATTTATGTGCATAAGTACCGTATGGACCATTTGTTATAGGTATTTGATATGGGCTAGCAAAAGGTATTACTTCTGTAGCTTTTTCCTTATATATTCTCATATATCCTTTACGGATAAAGTAAAATAAATCAAGATATGTAATCGGCTCGCTGATTTCCATACAATTATTTTTAAATTTTAAACTAACCTCTTCTTTTATTGGATAATTAAATTTAATTTTCTATCATGTTATTATGACTAATTTTTTGATTAAATATTTTTTCATATCTGTTTAAATTATAAAGTGTAGCTAAAGTAATAAAACCTGGAAATATTTGTTGTTTGTCTTCGCTCGAAATAAGTTCGTCTAGATCTTTTCGTAATTCTTGTATAAAATCTTGTGATAATTCTTGATAGCATAATACCAAGAACAAATTAAGTTTGTGTTTGTTTTCTCTGATTAAGTCTTTGGATAATTTTTGATATTGTGATATTTCGCTCCAATCAACTTTATCTGCAAAATCTTTTATAAAATCTTCAGATAAATTTTTGATATTGTGATATTTCACTCCAATCAACTGTATCTGCAAAATCTTTTATAAAATCTTCAGAACATCAAGTGGTGGGGAATGTAAGGGCACGCACTTTCCTGTGCTCTGTGTCTGACCTCTAATTTGGTGAGTCTGTTCTGATTTTTAATCGGGAAAAAGCACTGGTTAGTGATCGGTTTGTGAGAGCAGGTAAAGTTGTTTGCAAAATTAAAGGATTTGCATTAAACTATGAAACGTCCAAAAAAGATTAATTCCGATAGAATAAACAATATTTTAGAATACAAACACAAAAAAATCAGTACACAATATAATCGAATTACCAGAGAGACTAAAACTAAAGAACTTTTAAATAAAACAGAAACAAAAGAATTTGGTTTTGTTTATGACAAGAGAGTTATTTTAGAAAACTTTGACACAATACCATTTGGATATTAATCCTTTTTTATTGTTAATTAATAATAATGAATAAATTGGAAACTATAATTAATTAATAGTTTTTTTTATTGTTAGTAGGTTATAAATAACTTATTACAATATGTAAATGAAAAACTGTAATATAAATAAACAGGCTAAGAACATCATCTCTAAACTGACTTTACCAAGCTTTACATACTTGTACAACCAACTGAAAAAAAAAACACACAGTACCTACTTTCCTTTCATCGAGTATCATTTAATAAAATTTTATTTCCTCTTCAATGTAAGTTTATTCATTCAATTAAATATACAAATGATATGTATCAAAAATACAACAATATCGATATATTTACCATAATAAATTATACAAACAAAAAGGCAAGAATACCAAAAATAGACAATAACAATTAATTTAATTCACCATTCATCTATATGCATATCTAGGTATTTCTGAATGCAAACAGTGCCATCCTGGGCTGTAGATATTAATAATTTGTTTGTTGGCATTGGATATAATATCCATAAAATTCCCAAGATCTTGAGATCTTGCTTTAGCATAAAGCTTTCTGGTATTGTGACAACCAGATTTACGTTAATTTCAAGATGGGCACTTTCGCACTGTCGTTTGTAGAAACACATTACAAATAAGTCAACAAACAAATCTTCTGTTGCGCAATATTTCTTTATGTCATCCTTTATTATTATTTTCAATAACAACCTTTATTTAATACGCGTTACAACGTAAATAACGGTCTAGGGCGTTATTTTTGAAATTAATAGGCCCTAGGGCGTTATTTTTCAATATTCAGAAATTATAGTAAGAGTAATGATAAAAATGGAACAATAACGTACTTTATATAAATTTATTCTTTTTGCTTTATTTCAGAAGTACAATTAGTAAAGTGACCTGAAAAATTAACACCTTTGGAATCTGTAACACTTGAAAATTGACTTGACGTTTTGATGTCAGCTGACTTGTTTACGCCAGAAACTAAACGAGCATTCTTCCGTTTGGAACATTCGCTATCATCCACGTATCCTTCTGCCACTGTGGAACTTTTCCAACCTCCTAGTTGCTTCAAATTTAATACGCTTCCTCCAGCATCGGCATGTAATGTCGCAGCAGTTCGTCGCAGGCAATGACCAGTATAGCTTTTAGCATCAAGCAAACCCAAAAATGTGGCGATCTTGGATGGTATAGCCCCTATAGTATTCTTACCCACAGGTTGTGCAGTACATCGACCCCCACGTAGGCATAAAAAAAATCTGTCACACAATTTTTCATTTAGTAAACAACGCCGTTGCTAGTGACCAAGGTAGGTCGATTTTTCCGTTAAATTACGGGAATAAGCTTTTTTTTGGAATTTTGTGTTTATTTATAAACTTTTGCTGGTAAGGATGACATAAAATGTTGAAGGCACCACGAGGGTTATGAACATAACACCCTCGGACGGGACGCCCTCGGGAGTACACTGTCGACCTCGTGCGTTATTTATTTCATAACGCCCTAAATACTTTAACAGCTATTAATAATCTAGAGCGTTTTTTTTCTGCCAAGGCTGAATGTTTTTCGCGCCTCGTTTTTAAATGGCCAAATTCAATAAAATGTTTAGACTCGAATTCGTAGATGAAACTACGAATATTTAAGGCATTTATATGCCTCATCGCCTCCCAATTTGTGAAGTTCTAAAAGTAATTAATACATTAATTCACAATAACAAAATCACTTTTAATTATAATAGAATTAATAAATTAGGTAGTAATGTAAAAATTTACCATTTTTTGTGTTGGTCCTTGAACCGAACAACGACGTACGGAGGTTTTCGTGATGTCAATAAGTTTATACGGAAGTTTATTATAAAGTCTATTTATTAATGAAATCCACATAACTGAAATTTGTAACACGAATAATGACACAAATGATTACTGGCCGCTAATGGCGGAAATGAATGACGTATCGCGTATGGCCAAGGGTGACTTCGAAAAAACGGGCAATTTCTTTAAAAATTTTAACTTTTTAAAAGTTACCATGAGAACCAGGCTAAAAATCATTAAAAAGTATTGTGTTATAAAGGGGCCTTACTAGTAGTGACATTCACTAGAGAAGAAATAACGAACATAGAATATGAACAAAACATACAAGGTACTTGAAAAAGTCTTCCGACATTTTTCACCATGAAATGCTAAGATTTTGATTAATCACAACCATCAACATCAAGAATATAAAATCCCTAAAAGCAAGAGATAAATGAGCGCAGTGTTTGTTTTTTCATCGTTACAGTGCATTAAACCATCCTAATGACATAATTTCCCAGGATAATGTTATCGAACAATGCATTAATGGCATTTTTATTTATAGATCGATATACGACCCACAGTTGCTTGTAAATAAGTAAATATTTGTGCTTTGTAAACTTTTCGTCACAAACGTACGTCAAATTAATATCAGACTGATACACATTTAAAATTTTACGTAGTTTATTTGATTAGCTACACCCATGACGCAAACTTCTAATCCTCCATTCCAAAAAAAAAAAATCATTAAGAAAGTCAAAAGGACGAGATAACGAAATTAAGAATCCGACTTATCTTCAACGTTTAAGGAAATGTGTTCGCTGTATTCCAAAGTGCTCGTGATGAATAAGATATGTTATCAACGAAGGACGTTACTCCCATGGCCCGACACAGACAGAATGAGGCGCCCAGTGGCGTTCTAATCCCCAAATCTCAGAGTTAAAACTGACTAAATCCCGCCATAACCTCACCTGTCAAATCTGACATTCCACCTGTCATTCTCCGGCCCCACTCACATTGGAAAAATCCCGGGAAGCCAATTCCTAATCCAGCTATCAGCCACACTCTCGCAATAAATCCGTAAGATTGCCAGAGACGGCTTAGGCTTATCTGATAAGTTCGACTCGTGCGTCCCCTCTCCGCCCCACGCCACTGTCCCTCCACTAAATGATAACACAAAAGAATATTTAGAAGTGGATCTGGCTATCAGACGACACATGCTCGTTTCGGCTGAAAATCAAGTAAACGGGGTGCATCGTTCAGTCGTGTGAAAAGCGAATTTTTGTGGCGTGTGTGGTGTACATGTCAAGGTCGGGGGCGGCTGCGGGCGGCCTCACCATGGACGATTTCAAACTGGCGGTCAGTACGAATTCAAATTTTACTTAAATGCAAGATGCGCAGTAAAAATGGCTTTTGTTTGCTCGTTACTGCAACAATGCCGGGGGACAAAGGCATCGTTTGGTTTTTTCACGGGGTCAATTACTCCTTATCGCGGATTTTTTATTTCATTGTTTTAGTTTGGCGTGGGGGTGGGTTTGAGTTGGCAACGTTGGCTTACGGATTTTTGTGACCTTTCGGTGATTACGGATATTTTTCTTGGTCTATCTGTCATTGACATTCGCTCAAGTTCAATCCTGTGTTAGAGACGTGTGTTGTTCTCGGGTTGAATGGAATGAGGTTTAGTTGGAGTGCACTCGTTTCGAAATTGTCTATTTTCGATAAGTACTATCATGAAGTGGGTTAAAAATAGAGTGGGAGGTTGAGGAAGAGGTAGTCGGTCGAAGGCTGAATGCGTAAAGATCGAAACAGGAAAATAATCAAGGTTTTTTTTAAAATTATATTGTCTCATTGTCCGCTCTCACCGCGCTAGTTTGATTGGTAACAATGGTGGTGTGTTTGAGCAGTGGTACCAACGTATTTTAAGTTTTCGGCATGGTAGAACCCCGTGAACTCTCAACTCCATTGTAACTGATGTCGTTTATGCACGTGTGGACACTGATCAATAAAAAAGTTCATTTCGTATTCTCTCTAATTCGTATTACGCTCGACTAGTTCACACCCCATGCCAGATATAATAACTGAGTGTAATTCGTTGTGAGAAGTTCTGTTGGGAGTTGCAAACTTTGTTAAAGTGTTAAAAAAGTGCAAATTTCATTGTTTCTCCGGTTGACGGCATTATAAAACTTGAGTTTATCACCAAATTGACCTTGAATTAACCGTTTAAAAGTGAGTTTTCTATAAATGTTGGCCATCGAGTTTCTAACGTGCGCCTAAGAATAGCACTCAATTTGACTAAATATTAAACGAAATGGACCTGCTTAAATGTAGAGAACAAACACAAATTTTGTGAAATGTTTACATTTTGTATAGCTAGTCAATTGTGGTGAGTTTATCATAATTGTTTTTTAATGGAGGAGATTAGAAAATTGTTTTGTAATGATTTATTTTCTGCCCACTTTAACATGCTTTGTAACTGCAGTCTGCAGCTAAAGCCACAAGTTGCGAGTCAGCGGTTAAATTTATCGCAAAATAAATATACTTGAATCTAGATATATACGACCTACTTTCAAGTTTATAGGAAAGTTAGAATTGGTCTCCATATTGTCTGCTATTTGATTGCAAAAACTTCAGGGATAAAATTAAATTTTGTTGACATTGTTAACAATAAATTTAAAATTTGGTTTAGTATTAAATAAGTTACTTTTATTAATACTTTACAAAAAAGATTTTAATGTAATTTAATTGTTATGCAACCAACATTACACGAAATCTGGATATGAAACAATAATGCACAAAATGCATTTTAATAATAAAAACCGAAAACTTCCCTTACAAATGGATAAAAAAAGAGAAATCTCTTAAAGACAGCAATACCATGTGATCCAAAAAGAGGCGTTTAGTTGGTCATGAAATCTATTTTTTGTTGATGTAAAGTGGTACGTATAAACTAATTGACCTGTAGAATACATCACTTCTTGGTTTGGACGAGTTATATTTCCTCATAGTGACTACGCTCCATTTTTTTATTAGAAAATGACAATATTTGACACATTTTGCAAACAAAAATGACCGTTTTCAGCAAGATTTTTGTTACAACTCGTTTAGTAAACGATTACAAGTTTCGTCATGAAGTTCCCGTTCCGAACCGGACTTTGTGTGCTGCTGTCGGTAAATACATCATTGTTGTTCTATGTCCACAAAAAACGAAATTCCTCAATGCAAACTTTAGCCAAAAACTTCCACGCAATAAGTAAATCCCGCAATTTGGAACCCGCCGCGAAACGTTTCAAGGCAATCCGTTCGTTTTCTCATGGATCAGACATAAATAAATCCGAAACGTAAATAACAATCTAAGATTACGTCGACATGCAGAACTTGTTGACACTTTCCGCCAACTTTTCCGCGGACTGGCATCCAAAAATAAAAATCTTCCCCGACGTGACAGCGCGTAAACAACAAAACTCTCTTCGTATCAGTCCCGCAAATCGACGCCAAGTGCACCGCAATAATGTTTTCCGCTCTCTTGCAACGACCGGCCAAAAATAAAATCCTTTACCTATTTCCATCCGTTTTACGTCCGCGCCTCTTTTTTCAACACTTCATGTAGTCCCTGCCAAGTTATTTGACATTGCTGTGCCGCACGTAGGTCACCATAATAATCACAATTAAAACCGATTAGTTCAAAGCAGATTATTATTCCATTATTGCGCTCGGACCGAACATTTCCACCAAAATCCTACCCGAGTGCCCGGCGTCTTTAACATTGGCGCTTCCTAGTGATAACAGTGCGCGAGTTCCACTATCACGGATTAAAATCGAATCCACTCGTGGCGGAATTCGAGATTTTATCTCTGGCGACAGCGAAACCCATGTAAACAGGTATTGGATTTTATCGCTGATTATTTTTAGCGAGTGGCTGCTGCAGCCGCTTCGGCGGAAGCTCGGAGGATGCTCCACACGGACGCATTTCTGGACCTCTTCTTATCCTGTAAAGTGAACCGATGCATAAACAGATCGATGTTGATTAACAATTTTTTTATTAATTTTCAAATTTAACGTTTCCAAGAGGTTTCGTAAATATATCGGCGATTTGTTTTTCAGTTAAACAACACTTAAATTTTAATGTTTATAATACCTTTTCACACCTTTTCATTTATAAAGTGAAATTTTACAACTATGCGCTTGCTCTGTTGATTGAACTGTCCGGTTTTCACTGTTGAGATTGCATTCTGATTATCAACTTATAAAATGTCTTCACTTCGCCACTGGTAAGTTCATCAATTAGAGATTTGAGATAGAGTACTCTGGGCCCATAACCTGTTGAACTTTAAAATTTTACTTTTACTTACTTTAAGAAAATTGTACATATTAACTTTTTACGTCTTTTATACTTATTCTCATTATCTTTTTTACATATCTAGTAACAACTTTTAACAAACAAATGAACACGTTTTGACGTTTCTGTGAGTACTATACAGCGCAATATCCGCAACCAATCTTAAAATTCACTTGTTCATTATTCACTTCATATCAAACATTGTCGTCACATTGTTGGTGCGGATGATCAGATAAATTTTGGTTAGCATCTTACCATTTACACGATATTCCGGTAGTTTCGGATATTATCCGAACATGTTTGGTTCTGATAGTTGTTTGTTGGTTCCAGATCAACCTCCAACCCCCGTGGTTGCAGCGCGCCCCGCATGGCACCACACCCCGAGCCAAGTGACAGTCGGCACGTACCGCCCCCGACCCGCATGAAACGTATCGCAAGCGCGTACCGTCTTGCGAGCTTGCGCAGGCAATTCTCTAGAGACTTGCAAGAATGGCCCAACACACCATGGACAAACAATCCGATAAAGTCAACAAAAACGGCGTTACAGTGAGCTCGAGTACCGCGAAAGTGTCAAACGGCGGCGTCGACGAGAACCGGCCGCTGCTCGATGACGCGCTGAAGCGCGCCTCCATGGAAGAGGAGGAGGAGAAGCCCGTGCACCACGTGCAGTTCGACCGGGGGCGGGGTGACGACGCCAAGCCCGCCCCTAGCCCCGCCCCCAGCTCGGGCTCCAGCTCAAGCTCGAGTTCGAGCTCCTCCTCCACGCTCGACCTCAGCGAAGCCACTCCCCCAGACGGGGGCTGGGGCTGGGTGGTGGTGGTGGCGTCGTTCGTGGTGAACCTCATCGCGGACGGCATCACGTTCAGCTTCGGCGTCATCTTCGTGGAGTTCCTCAAGTATTTCGGCCAGAACCGCGGCACCACGGCCTGGGTGGGCAGCCTCTTCATGGCCATGCCGCTGTTGTCGGGCCCGGTGGCGAGCTTCCTCACGGACCGCTACGGCTGCCGCAAGGTCACCATCTTCGGGTCGGTGCTGGCCTGCACGGGCTTCCTCATCAGCTCGAGGGCGAATAGCATGACGGTGCTCTGCATCACGTTTGGTATCCTGGCGGGGTTCGGCTTGAGCTTGTGCTACGTGGCGTCGGTGGTGATAGTGGCCTACTACTTCGACAAAAGACGCTCGTTCGCGACGGGGCTGGCGGTGTGCGGCAGCGGCATCGGGACGTTCATCTTCGCCCCCTTCATCCAGTTCCTGCTTCAGGAGTACGGTTGGAGGGGCACCACGTTGATCCTCGCCGGATTGTTCCTCAACCTAGCGGTGTGTGGGGCCGTGATGCGCGACCTCCCGTGGACGTCCCGGAAGGTGAAGAGTCTGGCGAAGGAGCGCAAACGAAATAGGAATCTAAAGCGCAAGAACAAAGGGTCTTCAGCCGACTCGTTCTCGGTGAGCAACAGCACGAATACAGCATCGGTACTACAACCCATCATGGAGACGAGCAACGAGAATTTGGAAGCCATCAACACGGACCGGCTGTCGTCTTCATTGGTCAACCTCCCGACGTACGTCCGGAACGGGGAAAAGGTCCCCATCGAGGTGATCGAGCTCCTGTCGCAACACAAGAACGTCTACAACGTCCTCCTGGCGAACTACCCCAGCTTACTGACGCCTTCGAGGAGCTTCAGCGACTCGGGTCGCCTCAACGAAGCCTACATGCAAGCGAAACTACCGCAAGCTCAAACCCAGCCGACGAACCAAGAAGCCGCATACTTGTCGTGGCTCAAGAGGAACCAAATCTCGCCGCCGAGGATGAACCCGAACAAGAAACTCCCCACGGCCTTCCTGAAGGACTTGAGAGTCCACAGACTTTCGGTGACGTACCGAGGGGCCATGTTGAACATCAACCGCTACAGGTTACGCGCCAGTTCTTGTCCCGACATCTACAGGAACTCCATGACCACCATAGCCAAAGAAAAGGTAGAATGGTACGCCGGCCTGTGGGACTTCTGGGACTTGCTGGTCGACATGTTCGACTTCTCCCACTTCGCCGACGTGAAGTACTTGCTTTTCGCCATTTCAAATTTCTGCTTGTACACGTGGTACGACGTTCCGTACGTGTACTTGACGGACCATGCCACCACTTTGGGGTACTCGGAAGAAGACGCCTCTCTACTCATTTCCATTATCGGTATCATTAACATGTTCGGTGAGGTGGGTATTGCACATGGTGGTACTCCGGGTACGATTAGTAAACGGTTCATGGTCGTAGGTGATGTTGGGATGGGTGGGCGACCTGCCGTGGGCCAACGCCATAATAATCTACGCAGCATGCATGGGGCTGTGCGGCGCCGTGACTGCGGTGGTACCCCTAATCAACAGCTACTGGTCTCTCTGTGTCATTTCTGGTGCCTTTGGGTTCTTCATAGCAGCTAACTACTCTCTAACGTGTATCATCCTGGTGGAACTGATCACTCTCGACCGGTTCACGAACGCCTATGGTCTCCTCCTGCTGGTGCAAGGAGTGGCCAACCTGATCGGACCTCCGCTCGGAGGCAAGTTCGCTTTTGCTAAACCAGTACAGCCAATCCAGCATCGGACACAATAAATTATTTTTTACATTTATCATCGTAACTATGCATCTGACAAAAAAAGTAGCAATAACTTTTTCGCGTAACGTTAATAATAAAAAAGTTATGAAGGTAAAAATTTAAAAATTAAGGAACGAAAGCTTGGATTGACTGGACTAGGCTTTAGAGTGAATGCGTTGACCGTTTGTTTCCAGGTTGGCTGTGCGATCAGACGAAGAACTACAACTTATCGTTCTACCTGGCGGGTCTGTTCATCGCTCTATCCGGTCTTCTACTCATCATCGTGCCGTCGGTGAAGCGCTGCAAGCGCTTCCTGCGGGAAAATTCAGACGAAGGTGAATTTTCCGTAGACGATAAATTACAAACCATAATAACCTCTTGTCTGTCCAAAACAGTTGAGAAACCTACTGCAGGTGGCGCCAGCCACATCTAATTCACAAGTGAACTTAAGTATTGTAGGTTTTTTTAGAAGTTTTAGTAGTTTTACATTTTTGAATGCTTTTTTCGTGTTCTGCATGCAACTTGTTAAGTCCCGCCGTCAAAATCAGGCCCAAATTGTTACAAAAACTATATATATATATATAGTAGAGCTTCGTCGAGTTCAATTAAACATGTAACCAATTTTAGGTAGAGTTTCGAATCTCAGGTTCAAAATCGTAGATCTGTTCTAGCGACTATCACTCGGATCTAGGAATGTTATGAAATTCGTCAAATACAAATTCTACGTGTAAATATAAGTGTAGAGGCTGTGTTTAATAAGGAGGAATAAATTAGGATAGGTAGACGGAACATACACAGAATATACAATCATGCACCATTTTCAATATTGTTATTTTTTAAAGTTTGTTGTTCAGTGGGTGTAAGGAGAGGTCTCGGACGCGCCACGTTTTAAAGTCTTATGAAACCTCTAAATAAAAAACTAAATTCATCCATTTCGCGCGCGCGTCGGGTCCGAGATGTCCGTATCCATTTGAATTATAAGCATAGCTGTGATTCAAAGTTCGAGTTGTTTTCTTTATCGACGACTACAAATAACTCAATAGGTGGAGTATTTTCTTTTTATTTATTTTTCTATTCAGACCTTTCATCCCATAGTGTCGACTTTCGGTTATGTAGACTAGACGATTTTTTTTCGTATCAGTATTTTCTTTTATTGCTATTAGTTACCTTTCAGTATGATTTCCGTTGGGTAGAATTCGAGGTCACTAATAGAATATTCTCTCATTTCGTTCTGTAAATAGTATTCCCCGTCAATAAATTAATGCCTTTAGATATTATCTTAGAACGAAGAGGTCCCACTTTGAAATATTCTAACTATAATCAATTTAACTTGGGATCGTGAGTCGATCATAGTTTTTAATATCTTTACTGTATTATATCGATAGGAAGTAATAAAGCCATTCAAATTGAATCTTTTTTTATGCGACCCTAGCTCCCGCTCCCGCCATATCGAAAAGGAACGTCAAATCAGAGAACATAGAGAAGCGCCATAGTTTAAATCAAATAACGGTTGAGGACTTCTCAATTTATGTTGGTAGCAGTGTTTGTTTCTAACTAGGAATAAAAATAACTAGAAGAAATGTCATAATATTTTTATTGGCATCGACTATTTAAATTTGGCGGTTGAGGACTTCAATGTCAATAAGGGTGGTTTTGCAAAAATAGCCTCTATATGTCGCTTTTCTATGTTCTCTGGTCAAATTAACCTCCTAATTATTAGGAATTTTCTGATGTAGGTTGGTACAACGATCGCATCCTGCACTTATTGACGCTTCTGTATTCAGTAATTCTGTATGTCACTAATTGAGGTTAGTTTGAAACTCAGTGATAAAAGATTAATTAATCGATCTGTATAACTAGTTTTTACACTATAAAAGACAAATATGGAGAGCGACATCGATTTTGGAGATCTACGCGACGACAAACTAATCCAACAGAAACTGACAAATTTTCACAATAGTGTTCAAAAAATTGGAAAAATCGTCGAGTTATCGTCCAACCCAGACCTATACGAAAAGCTGACCACAAAAGAAAAAGTAGATTTCGATTTATTTATGGCATATACTTTAAACACACTTTTCTGGCTGTACATGAAAACAAAAGGAGAGGACCCAAATAAAAGCGAGATAAAAAACCAGTTGAATAGGGTGAAAGAGTACATGGTTAAGGCAAAAGACGTACGTGTGTCTGTGATCGTAGTATTTTTTCTAACAAGAACATTTCAGGCTAACGACAAGGCGCATCGACCTCGAGTGAATCAAGCAGCTGCCGCAAGATTTATAAAGCATGGCATACATTATAAAGACGGAGACGAACCAGAAGAGCCTCCCGTTAAAAAAATGAAATTGTCAGATTAGGAAATAAATTTATGATAAAAAAATTGTTGATTTTGTGACAATTGACATTTGTGCAACATAACCTTAAACCATAAGCACATTAGCACACAGACCTCAAGAGAAAAATGATGTCAGACGAGTCAGAAAATGACGGTGTATTTGCAGAAAGCTACGAAAACGACATTTATTATAAAAAATACAAACTCCTTCTGGACGAGTGTGCCCAGCTGCAAAAATCAAACGAAATTTTAGTTTTTAGGTTAGGTTTCCTGTAACTATCGCCTGTTCTAATTTCAAGTTTTAGGATACAAGAAGTGAACAAAATCGTACGGAGGAGACAGAAAGAGGTGAAATTCTTCAGAAAGCGGCTCCAAAACAACTACGGTGAAGATTGGGCTGTGATTCCCAACCTTGACATTGTGAAGGAGGAAGAAGACAGCAAATCTGTAGCGTATTTGATGTTGAAAGACAAACTAAAAGACGAAAAAGGGGAAGAGCGTAAGTTGAGTTATACTTTTCGAAATTTATTATTATTACAACCATGTCTTAGCTGTAGAAAAACCCAAACCTAGTAAGAAACCAACTAAACGAAAAAGTGGCAGAAGCGAAAAGGACCCAAAAGCGCCGAAGCGGCCTTCAAACCCGTTTTTCCAATTCTGCCAAGAACAAAGACAGATTCTAATGGAACAATTAAACGCGGAACTGAAACCTGGAGAAGCAGAACTCTCGAAACAAGAACTAACAAGACAATTGGCAATTAAATGGAAATCTCTTTCAGGATCTGACAAAAAAGCACGTTTTTAAATCTTTATTTAACATAATAATGACCCTACGTTTCCAGGTGTATGTGGACATGTATGAACGTTCGAAAGAAAAATACGCAGCGGAATTATCAGAATATAATATGAAAAAATAATATAAGCATAAACAACGAATTTATATTTTTTACACAATATCTAAGCTTTGAATGAATCCTTTTCCTTGCGGATGGCTTGCATTGCTGCGATAGAATTCTCACACTTTGCGTGTTTTTGCACTGAACTCTGGCACACCCTCATGAAGGGATTGGTTTGTTTTTCATCAGCAATGGTCGAAGGTACTGTGGGCTCCCTATTCCCTCTTTTGACTCTAGCCCATTCAATTCTGTTCAAAATATCGGGATTGTCGGGCTCCACGTGTTTCGCAAATTTCAAGTTTTGTTCAGTGTATTCGTGCCCACAATAGACTTGAGTATTATCAGGTAAATTTCCCAAAATATCGATCAAGGCTGCATGCATCTGTTCAGCTGTACCTTCAAAGAAGCGCCCGCACCCAGCCACAAACAAAGTGTCCCCTGTGAAAACCGCAGGGGGCTGCCCTCCAGCATTTACATAGTAACAAATATGCCCCGTTGTATGACACGGCGTGAACAGACACTCCACATTAATATCCCCAATCGAAAACTTATCTCCATGCTTCACGAGATTCGTAAGCGCCCCAATTCTCTTATCGCCCCCGAAAACCTGCAGCGCATTTTTCGACTTTTTCACGAGTTGCTCGTTACCCCCTGCGTGGTCCCAGTGGTGATGAGTTGTCAGCACTTTTGTCAAGTTAACACCTTCCCGTTCAACGGCTTCCAGTACCGTATCGGGGGTGACCGGGTCCACGATTGCCGCTTGCTTAGTTTTTTCGTCAACTATCTAAAAACCACGATCAAAGACTGCCAACAAACTTCCATCACTTACAAGATACATATAGTTGTCGGAAAGCGCAGGCAAAACTACCACTTTCATGTTGTTTAAAAGAACAGTCGACTGTGAACTGTGTGACTCTCTTAAACCGTTTTGTTGGAGTGCTGACACTAGAAATAGAGTGAAAAAAACAAAAATAAATGTCAAAATGAGTGACATAACCTCACTTCCGTGAAGGTTCCGTTTTTGAGGTGAAGTTTAAGTAACAGTTGGTAGGATTCGGGGGGTAGGTGAGGTTCAAGGGTTGTACTATTGTTAAATGGTTGCATATTTACCGTGTCTTGTGTGCTTTTAGTAATTGGGACGTTCAAGGTCACAGGTAGACATAACCTCAAACCTTGTAGTTTTTTTAATCTATCGTTCATAAGTAACAAATATGGTGAAATGGGACACACTTCTTGTGGGTGTTTGTTATGCTTTGTGAGAATTACGTGAACGAGTGGTTTTAATCAACTTACGTCGAAAATAAGTAGCTGTGAGGCCTTGTAACACTCTATTCGGAAGGTACCTACTTGCAAAATTAAACATCGTAAATTGTGCTTGTCATCATCCACAATGCTATTTTTTAATATAAGAAGGACTTTGATAAGAGTAATTGTTGTGGAATGATAAGGTATGTTTACAAATGAGTACCTAACCTCACACTTTACTGTCATTAATTTAATTGCTTTCTTTATGAATATTTTAGTTACATAGTAGTACATTTTAGATGTATTTCGCGTAATTTTAGCACACATTTTTTGTAATTACTTTGTAGTTTAACTATCTTGGCAAAACTACAATAATCGTCCCTAACGTCAAAACATAATTTGTTCCCCTATGTAAATAACAAAATGATTGTTTAGTGCCGCTAAAAGCTCAATAATTTAACACCCTTCATCCACTTTGGCGTGTTTGCGCAACTGATGCCCCCTTAATCCACTCATAGTTTTCGATCTATAAGCACACTCTTCACACAAGTACCACTGGATCTCATCATCTCCTAAATGTTTATTATTTTTATGCAGCTTCAAGTAAGTCTTACATTTCGTAACAAAACTGCACTGATCACACTCGAAACACTTCATATACTGTGCATGTTTATTTCTCTTGTGTTGTTGTAAACCCCACTTTTGCTTAGCTTTATAAGAACAAAGGTCACATTCATACCATTTAATGTGTTCTTCAGGTACGTGCTTATTAATAGTGTGAGACCTCAAATCGTCTTTTCTTGTAGTTTGATAACCACAAACTTCACACCTGTGCCAATTTATATCATCGTCTATAGCATGTTTGGTCATTTTGTGGGCATTGAGGTAGGTTTTTCGTTTCGTTTTGTATGGGCACAACTCACATTCGAACCATTGGACTTCGGTGGGTGGTAAATGATTTTCAGCTATATGTTTTTTTAAATTGTACTTTCGGTTAGTGGAGAAGGGGCAGTGGTCACATGTGAGTACCACATTTTCGTGTTTAACCTTCATGTGGTAGTAAAGTTGGTGTTTTGATTTGAATTTGGCACCGCATTTCTCACAGTCGAACTGCGGAAGCAACAAATGCTTACTTTGGAAGTGCTGTTTAAGAATACTCTTCGTCTTAGCTTTATAGGGGCACTGGTCACACTCAAACCACTTAATCTCATCATCGGCTTTGTGCTTATATATTACATGTTGTCGCAGACACGTCCTATACTTTGAGACATACGGACAGTACTCGCATGCGAAAGTTTTACTGTCTTCGTCTGACTTATGTATGGTCATGATGTGTGTTTGCAAAAAGTGCCCCACTCGTGTTTTGAACGCACACTGTGCACACTCAAACCACTTATCTTCGATAGTATGTTTATACAGCTTGTGCATCCTCATGTACCCCAAATATTGTGTTTTAAACGAGCATTCGTCACACTTGAACTGCTGGGGTTTCACATGACTCAACTTGTGCTGCTTTATCTCCGTTTTCACCTTCGTTCTATACTCGCATTTGTCGCACTTGTACCACCTAACCTCACTTTCCGTCTTATGTGTATTCACCGTGTGTTCGTTCAACTGCCGCCGGAAGTTCGTAGTGTACGCGCACTGCTCGCAACTGTACAACTTCGTCTCGTTTTCTGACGTGTGTTTCGTCAACAGATGCGTCTTCAAACAATGGTCCACCTTCGTTCGAAACGAACACTTATCACATTCAAACCACTTGGTGTCGTTCGGGTGTTTATAGTGCTGGTGCCGCTTCAAATACCCCACGTGATCGGTCTTAAACGAGCACTTGTCGCATTGGAACTCCTTCAAGTCCTTGCTTTTGTTCAAGTGCATGTTTTTCTTGTGTTTGCGATGGAGGGCTTTCGTTTTGGCCTTGTAAGGACACTCGTCGCACTGGAACCACTTGATTTCGTCGTCCTTTTTGTGTTTGAAGATGTTGTGTTGCTGGAAGGTATTCTTGTAGTTGGTGCTGTAGGGGCAATAGTCGCAGTTGAACCTTTTCTGGTCTGGGTGTTTGGAGGAATCGGTGGCGTGCTTGAGCCACTTGAGTGGGAAGTAGGTCTCGAACTCGCACTTTTTGCATTTGAAGGTTCGGATGGAGTAGGCGGTGGATTCGGGGGTAGTGCCGTGGGAGCGTTCAATGTGTTGTCGTAGAAGTACGTTAAAGTTTGTTCGAAAGTCGCAGGTGGAGCAAGTGTAGGATTCAAGAGTACTTTGGGCGCAGTTGAAAGTTAGTGGTGAGGTGTGCTGGGGCCTGAGCATGGTCGTTTTGGTGGTGTTGAGAGGGTGCAAGATAACCTCACTTTCCTGAAAATGATTTTGGAGCGACTACGATTGATTTGTCATTGTGGGGGCGGTTACTTTTTCGTAGAAATTCACTTTGGTTTTATGTGGGAATTACATAAATTGTAAAAATTGGAGCATATGTCAATAAAGTCACATAACCTCACAAAAAAAAAGGATCAACGGAAGGTCTGTGACATGGAGTGAAAATAAAAAAAGACCACACCAATGAGGAGCTATTATTGTTGTCACATGAAAATACGTGATTGGCTAGGGTAATTAAATTCATTTGTTTTGCGAAATGGATGCAATCCTGCACCATGTTTCTTTCAGAATTTTATTTATGAAGGAAATTATTTTTCTGGCTTGTTTTTTTTTTATAGAATTAACTGGATTTATTTCAAACAAGCTATCGTATTGCAATAGAATTAAAATGAGACAGAAATCATCTTGATTTTTAAGAATGGGGATATGCGCACATGGATAATATTGAATAGCATCGTAGACAACCAGTAATACAGGGCGAATAAATACAATTTCACTTTTTTTTTCATTTTGACTTCAACACTTTAATTGACTGTACGCTTCACATTAAATATTCAACAAAATAAATAGACAATAAATTATAGTAAAGAAACAACAATTACCTCACTTAATTCAGAAAAAATTTCTAAAGAAAAAGACAAACCCATGCACCCACCCAGGCACAGCCCTATCAGTCTCCGCCTTATATCCAAACCTATACAATTTCTCGCACTCTTCATGCAATTTCTGCTTTAATTCTGGATTCTCGGTAACTATAGCTAACTGTGTTTCTAAATCTCTGTTGACAGACCTCTCCCCAAAATTAGGGGAACCAATCAAAGTCATACACGGATGGTCGTTTTTATGAGGGTAGTACCATAAACCCTTCCCGTGGTAAGTCCAACCGTCCCTCAAATATTCAAGCAAATTTATCCTGTTCTCTTGGCGCCGTTTTTCAAACTGTTTTTGGAATTTTTGTGCGATGAGAGAGTATGCGAAGGGAATGCCTCCTGCAGGCCCTTTGGCCCCAAGAAAACCATTAGCTTTAGGGTGTGCCATTAAAATATCGCAGTTGGCCTCATTTTGGTTGATCAAAGTTGACATGTATTGACTGGTGAGGTTGAAGTAGCCTGTGGCTATTCGAAGAGTGGAATTTTTGGGGGCTTCAGCCAGAATTCGATCAGTAGTTTGGGAGTCTTGCTCTATTCCTAGTTGCCCCATTTGTACCAAAGGGTAAATCCACGTATCTACAAGTTACTACATCAAAATAGAGAGAAAAAAAAGATGAAAAAGGTATACCAAAGCCCTCTTCTTTGTGAATATTACGTTCATCTTTGGCCTCTAACAGGTATCTTTCAACCATATCGCCAGCCTTACCGACAAAGTCACTTTTACGTCCATCGTAGGGTAACTGATCCCACGTCTCCGCCAAACCGACATTATCCAACTCGTCCATTTTTAAACTAAACGTCTGTACTTTCTTCACCAAACCACAGTAAAAATCACACAGCCTCCTATCTTTAATCACAAAATACCTATCTTGTCGATTCGTAAAATAATCATTTGATAAATTCGCCCCACTAATCACGAGAACATCATCAAAAACGTACAACTTCATGTGCTGCAACCCGCACAACTCGTTCCATCTGTTCGGAGTGACTTTTCTCAAAACCCCTCTAAACGCAGGAGTGTGGTAAAGCGAAACACTACAGTTTTGACTTTGCGACTGCAACAACGGCTTTAACATAGTCCGTGAGTTATTCTCAAACCGACTCCCCCGCATAAAATCCAGTAAAACATTCACCATTAGCTCCCCACGTTTAAAATTCTCATTCTCCAGTAGCGTCGTAACGAGGCTCTTCTCCAAATGCCCCGTCCCCAGATACAAACTAACTAAAACTATCCGTTTTTTCGCGTTAACACAGCCGTACTTGATCGCTTCGTAGAACTGATGGGGCTCTGACAAAATGGATATGTTTTTGGCATGCAGAGGAAAACATGGAGCGACGCTTGACAACCAGCCGAAGGGAATAGTTTCGGGTTTAGTAAACGGGTTTGGATAGATCGCAGAGTCGGTTTGTGGTAGCAGGGCTGTCTCTACTAGGCTATTGAAGACGCGTCGAAGCATTGTACCTGAAAAGTGAGGTTATGTTTGATATATTTCGTACTAACAGATTTTTTGGAATGTTTGTAGACGTAAATACAATCCTGGCGTGCTATTATGCTTAATAGCTTCAGTATTTGGGGAAATCTTGCGTCAGTTTTTGCGAGATTGCAAAATTTGTGGGGAGGGAAAAGTGAGGTTATGTTCGGGTGATTTGTGGAAAAATTAGCACTTAATTTGGAGTTAAATGAGGACTTTACCTTTGGTTTTAACAGCGTTTTTACTTTTATTTGTGTTATTGGTTTTGGAAGAGAACTGTCAAATGCATTCTACTTGTTGACTACGTTTATACGTCTTCCTCGATGTCCACGTCTCCACGTTCATTCGAGTCTCTTTGTGTCAGTGGTGTCAGCTTTGTATATGTGTGCAGATAGATGGCGTTTGAATAGGAAGTTTGAATTAATAAAAGGCTGCGTTAGGTTTAAATCGTTTTATTTCTATTTTCGGTATGGAAGTAATGTAATAATTGTAAAACAGTGTGAAACGACAAAAATAACAAAACAAAAATGGAATAAAGGTATCATAAAAAGAAATACCTGTCTATCAGTTCTATTTTACAATATATGAGTGAACAGTGGTCTACCTGAGTGTAAAAAAATACAATTTCTTTGTGATATACATTGAAAATCGTCTACCTATAAGGCTTCGAATACATTATTGTGTAAATAGAATTAACTAGCACTTTCTTTGGTAGGCTTATACTTATGTTTTATGACTAGTTTAATAATATCACTCAGAAAATGAAATAGAAAGTAACATCTTAGGCTTTCATCTCATTTTTCACTGGTGTAGACTGAAAGTAACCTAAGTCGTGGTGAAAACCTCGGAAATCATTGTCAAAAAGAACTGCCTCTACATAATGGAATTGTTACTGGAAAAACATCGTTCTCTCACTCCTGTTGATAACGTTTTAGGAACTTGATAAATGCTAACAGTTTGACAATAATTCCCCCAACTAAACGTAAATAAAAGAAAATTTCTTCGTTTCAGTCTTTGGTCTAGATTAAATAAATATAAATATTTATATACAAAAAAAATTATATACAAACGCGTTCCTCGAAGATTTATTTTTGTTATTAGTAACAGGTTCGGACTTATTACTTGGAATGGATTCATCTGTGTAAGTTTCAGTACGTTGAGAAATAAATCTCCAAGAACATAAAAAAAAAAACAAACGAACTAAATGCCGACCCGTCACACTCCGAACGCCGTTCCGACTGTGACGCGTCCGATTTTACACCGACGATTGACAACTTTCACTATAAACTCCCTAAACATCACACGATCTCAGTACAAATATTTCTGTACAAAAAATAACCAATAACAATCGGGGCTATACCCCGAACCTATTATACACGTACTGACTATTCACACCGTCCCCCAGATTCTCCACGGTCTCGACTGTCGGGTTCATGACGTTGAAGAGGATCGCGAAGATCGTGCAGGCAGCGTACACCCCCAGCGCCACCCACCACAGCAGCTGCTCGTGCAGCTTCTGCTCGAAGTTCTTCAAGACCAGCAGTCCGATCGTCAGCCCCGCCAGCGCCCCCGTCAAGTGCGCCACGTACGACACTGGCGGACCCATGCTCTCGGCGGCGTAACGCGAGTAGATGGCGTAGCCCACGTCGCAAGACGCTACAAAAGGAAAGACGATTATTTTTCTGTGTTTCTGGGCAGTTTGCGCAAAAAACTCACCGATGGCGAGGATGCCGAATAGCCTCAGGATCCCGCACTGCATGTTATTGTAGTTGAGGAGGACGTTGGCCAGATGGGCTGCCAAGAGGGCGTAAACGCCCCCAGAAGCACCTACGAGGTAGACGTCGGTATCGAAGACTGAAGTTCCTAGTGAACCGGCAACTACGCCTGCCATGTAGATCAAGGCTACTCGTCCGGACCCGTGCACCATCTCCAGGGGGAGACCCACCAGCATTTGAACCACTAAATTGAAGCCTAGATGGAGCCACCTGAAACGTAACGAAATTATTTAGTCCGTTTACCGAACAGATGGAGTCAGAACAAATCAGGGAATCTTTTGTTTATGAGTGAATTCGTAGATGGCGCTGCGTTCCAAAGCCGTCCTTAATACCCCGTAATTCATTTCTCGCGCTTCCTGCCATTACCATAATTGCGTCCATTACGTAACACTGCATTTCCCTTAACCAATCTTCGTTTTAATCTTAATCTCCATTTACTTAATTTAATTTTTTTGGCGTATGAGCAATCCGTGGGCGTCCAGAGGCCGCGGAAGCAAAAATTGCAATTTATTTGTTTATTTGAGTTTTTTCTTGGCCTGTGACCCCATCTCCCCACCCATTTGTTTTCGGAAACTTAACACAGGAAGCATTTTATTAATGCACCTCGTCTATTGTTGTTACTTAAACAGGATGACGTCCATTAAGTCTTATTATATAAGGAGATCGCAATAATAATAACGACAGGTCGGAGTAAAAATAACCCGTTCCGTACGAATAAAAAAATGCCACCATTAAACCACCCATGCGGAAATCACTTGGGTTATTTTCAATACTTGCGCGCGGTCTTTCACCGAAATTAGACCAATAAAAGTCGATTTGTGCGTCACGTGATTATTAATAACCTTTCGACCAATTAGCATCGATCACGAGATCATTAATAACCAATTAGGGGCAATTATTGCGTCACGTGGCGTATCGTTAACCAATACTCACCCTGCGTGGAGCATCATGTAGAGCAAGAACCTCCATATCTCAATTCGTTTGTCGGGTCGGTAGATAAAAATGGAATCTATGGGTACAGGTCCGGCCGGATTGAGCTCTCCAGTGCTGACACTGTAGTAGGTGAAAAATCCCAACTGCAACAGACCACAGCCGCTGTAATAACTCAAGTCATTAAGACGTTTAATGATTTGTTTATAGCGATTTTTGAAATTGCAAAGTGCCGTCACGCAAACGGATCCGTCTCTCGATAAGCAAAAAATACTATAATAAGCTCTTTTATATGCTTCCCTTTATTGCCATTTCGCATTGTTTACGTTCGCTGAAAAATTATATCTCTTTCGCGAAGGTTATCTCATCGCAATAAACTTTAATGTGTTTACAGATTAAAACGAGTCTAGATGTTAAAATCGAAAAGTAAGGTTAGATCCTACCTTGAATTAAATAAATATCGATCGCGACGAAGTCAAGCAACACCCTTGCTATTAGAGGGTCAGATCTGTGATACGTATAATCGCGGATTTATCGTCCGGAAGATAAACACGGGGTGAATTGATTTGAATGCACAATATTAATACTGGTCACGTGACACCATTAACCAATTAAATCGTTCGAGTGACAGTCGTAAACCAATATTCATCGTGCTACGCGTCACGTGATCACGCACTAACCGGTTAGACGTGATCCAATTTAATACATCTGGAACGAAGAGTAATTGATTCGACCATCTGCCCTCATCAACCCCAACAAACTTAATACAATGTTTGCAAACAGTGTCGTGTCTGTTCACGACAAAACCTCCCCTTTGCGTGCGCTTTGACGTAACTGTACCGATGTCCATTTTCCTGCCCTCTCGAAATAGGGGTTGTTTTCGGTTTTCCTCCGCTTTTCCTCGACGATAATAAAGCGGTCGTTGTGCGAATTTCGAATGGATGTTTGTTTCTCACGTTCCTGTTTCGACGAGTTTTGTAAGCAGTCTACTTCTTGTAAAATATCGTCATCAAGACAAGCAAATTAGTTACATTGAACTCATCTAGAATGTGTACAAAACTACGTCTAAATAAAAGAAACATATGGCTAAATTTAAACCACGGACGCATTCCGTTTGTACCCAACGCCAAGGTAATTAGAATGTTTTGACTGTTTCCCTAGACGGAGCCCAAATTTAACGCCGAGGGCGTAGAAAAAAAGTTGTAACTTGCACGCGCTTATCACGACGACTAATTGACACTTTCTTGTACACTGATTGAGTTTTTGTTCGGCACGAGTTTGGTTGTTTTTTATTCGGATGAGAAATTTTGACTTCCGATTTTCAAAATTTGGCGTTCGATGCGACAAAGATGTATAATAATAATAATAATTAATTAGACTTCTTTCCCGTAATAGTGACCGTGACTCTACTATTTAACGATATTTTTGTGAAAGTCGTTAATTCGTAAGCGAGGATCGTCAATTTTAAGCAATTCTCACATTTCCAAAAAGTCAACATTTTGATGCTCATAGTTTACATGTCTTTGTTTTCTCTAATTAAAAAATCACCATACCTAACTCTTGCACCTTTCCACTACAAATGCCTTCCCAAATTAGCGAATTTTGACTCTTTTTGACTTTTCCTTAAAAAATCGTAAATTTTTCGCTATCGATTTTATCATCAGTTTAACGTTATTTAAGTCGCCCTAACTCATTTCTACGTCCGGGGCTGCACGCCCTGTCGAGGGCACGTGCGCCATGTGTTTCCCCAAATGCAGAAACTTAAGGTCTTGTGAATTGATTGCTTCCGATCCAGTGAAACTGTGCCAGATGGTGTACTAATTTTAGATGAAATCCCCTACAAAAGAGCCGAAACTCGTCCAATTTAGCTATTTTTCGGTGTTTAATAGGGCGTAATCATCCTTTCGAGCTAAAACATGCGCTGTACATTCGAGTTTGGTCGGAACGAAGAAAAAGTTGCGTCAGGCCACGCGTAATTAATAGAATTAGGCGCCAATTTTAGATTCATTAAGTTGGAGAAATTGGTCTAATTATAGGTTATGTAAACGACTAATTATTTTTAGAACGAGTTCGGCCAATTTAGAGAGGATACATTGTTGGGAAATACGGCGCTCGTTAAAATACATTGTTTTTTTTTTTTTGTCGGAAAATATATATAGTAGACACCGAAGTGCGATAATTAGATTTCTTATGTCAAAAAACTACGTTAAATAATTGGTTTTTATTTTTGGCGAGCCAGGCGTTTTTTAACTGGCCATTGCAACACATTCCGTCGAAACATAAATTGAAAATACTCCTAATTGTACTATTGAAAGACCTGAATTATTGAAATTGCAGCGTAATTAAAAAAAAAATTATTAAATCTGAGGAAAGATTTAATAAAGATTGACGTCGTTTTTTGTTCCAGTTAGGAATTACACTTTCACAACTTTTTGTGTGGGAATTACAAGCGTATTGCTTATAAATTAAGAAATACCTAAACTGTATCCAAGCAATTATTATTGGTCTGTTTAACTGCAATTATTTAGATTAAGGTTTTAAGTAATGGCAAAAGTAAGTAATACGAATTCTTGGAATTACGGCAGAAATTTGGGAATTACAAGGTAACTCGTGCGGCATTTTTGAAAAAAATCGACGATAAGTACATAAAAATATTTTTGCATTACTTATAAATTATTTTGCAATATGACTTGAAGATATATTCATTTTGAAAATTACCTGTATATTAACTAAAATTTGCGTGAGATCGTTGATCAATTTGAGATGTGGCAGCTGTGGTTCTGGCGACGTTCGCGCCGAATTCTTGGAGTAGCACCGGTTTTTTAGCGAATCCCTGCCCTTCGCCGCGAATTCCTCAAATTTCTCGTGTTAATCGAAGAGTTACGTCAAAAATAAACACCATCAGAATCCCGTTGAAACGCACCGATCTCGCGACCGCATTGGAAAGCCTCACCACAGCGAACCGTATCAGCAATGTAATCGGAATTTAACATTTAAAATCGATTTACTTTGTTTATAATCCGTCGCGATCGATCGATATCGAATTAAAACAGGAACCGGCTCGGGCTCACTTCCAATTTTCTCTGACGCGACGGCCGGATCGGAAAACCGACCGTACTTTATTGCATCATGTGTGACCGCACCTTAACCCGGGGCGTAGACAACGAGCAACACGAACGCCGCAAAAATCGCAATTCCACCGATAATTAGAAATTGAATTTTCGCTCGCAACTGTGCCGTGCACCGTCCACATGAGCGTACGGAGCGCGAGAGAAGAGAGGTGTTTTATAAGTGGCAATAAATAACGATACACTAGACGTATCTGTAATTACCTCGACTAGAGTGATGATTATAATAAATAGGGGCGGGGGGCAGCAGGTGTAGTGGTCGGCATAGTACTTCCGGTCTCTTTCGTCCGTTAGGAATTCATCCGCCACTATATTGACCATCCTGAAACAAAAAAAAAAAAAAAAAATTAACGAAAATTATAAAAATTTGAAAATTTTGGCGAAATTTTTACTTTCGTATTTGCTATAATAGGATTCTAAAACCAACAATCGAAATAATTGTCTATACAATTGTTTATAAAAAGTACGACTGCTCAAGCAGTTATAAAGATTTTTTAAAACCCAAAAGTGCAACATTTTTAGTAGAATTTTGACGGAATATTGACTTTTCAATATTTGAAAAATATGTATAAAGCAAAAAAAGCAACAAAGAAATTACAAAAGTATGACTGTTTAGTCATTGAAGAAATTTTTAGTCTGCAAAGTGCAAAATTTTGAGAATTTTAACAAAAATTTGACTTTTCAATATCTGAAATATGTCTAAATTAAAGAGAAAAGATATTTTGACAGAAATTGTAAATTTTGACGAATTTTGATTTTTCATTTTTGAATATAAGTAACGAAATCAGCAGTAATAGATCTCTAACTATTTTATAATTTTGTAAAAGATATACAAGAACAGCTTAAAACAAAATTGGTGATAATCAGAAAACCAAGAATTATTTTAGAAAAATTTTGTATTTCCGCCAAATTTTGATTATCTGGAATTCAACAAATGACACGAAAGAAAAAATGCATAGAAAACTCGGTTGTTACTTACACGTCGGATATTTGCTGAAGCCCAACGGAATTTTTCAATTTCTTCAAAAAATTGAAAAAAAAAAAATTATAAGTATAAAACTTTGAAATTTGGGAGAAATTTTGACTTTGGTATGTGCTATGAAGAACAACTAAAACAAACAATCGAAATAATTGTCCTTTATAAAACCATAACCGTTTCGGCAGTCGTCTGTCATCCAAGAAATTTTTAGCCCGCAAAATAAACAACGAAATTAGTGATAACAGATCTCTAATCACATTTTAATTTTCTGAAAGATATACACGGACAGCTTGAAATACAATTGGTCGTAACTATTAAATCAATAATTATTTAAATATATATTGTAAATTTTGACGAATTCTAACTTTTTGGAACTACCAAACGACAATTAAGTGCCAACACGGAAAAAATGCACACAAAACTCTGTTGTTACTTACACCCAGGACATCATCCTCTGAACCTCACCGCAATATTTAAACTTTTTTTTTTCCCGATTCAACAATATATATATTTCTGTCCAATTTACGCACTCTCACCGTCTACTCCTTCTCATCGTTGCACAACGTTGTGCCCAAAACTGAACCCTCTCGCAGCGCACAAATTCGACAGGAAATCAGCAGGACGGAAACAATCGGAAAAAGAGCAAAAAGTCCGTCGGTGACAGTGTCCAGAAATAGAGCAGACGTCGTTCAAGGCGTCGGGACGCTCGCTAAACCGACGTTTATGTTAAATTGTATTTGCTTTATCTCGCGCTGTTTTAGTTTGGGATTTTCTCGAGAGACATCGCAATGCGAGTCTATTTGGATTCGAAATGGCCACGGATTTAGCTCGATCCGTTTTATTTTACCGAATAATGGATCGGGGATTCGGTTTATGCGGCTAGGATTTCGCAGCGAGTGAATGAGGGGGTTTTATTCCGAACGATGAATGTGGCCACTCAATGAGATATTTTCGAAGGGATTAGTGGCTATTCTGTAACGCATCCGTTAAATTTAAGGGTGCTTTAAAATTGTCTATTTTACCGGGGTGTTAAATGTACGATTTAAAGATGCTATTCTGTAACACGAAAATAACGGACGCCGACAAAAATCCAACTTTTAAAGCACGTCCGTTAAATGCATTGTGAACCACCCACATCTGTAGGCATTGTGTCCTCATCGTAGACTGGATGCACATGTTTACGCAGAAACTTTGACAATTAAGCATATGAGTGTGTGAGGTTAAGTTAAACATCATACGAAATTCGCATGTTATATTCAAAAAATGTGGTCTTAACTGAAATTATTTGAAATATTTAACATTAATGAATGTTAAATGTTTAAAAAATTGGTCTAAAGAGTTCAGACAGTACTTCCCTCGCTGTCGGAAACTTGACGACTGCATGCCTATTGTGTTTTTTTTCTCATTACATATTTGTAGTGGGAATTTAAAAAAAAATTGCGATGACGTCATCAACATTTTTGCAAGGACACGTATGTCAGTTGGGATAGATGTAGTGTAATACTAAGAATAAAATTATTGTATTCCCAAATTTTCGGGAAAATGAATTGGGTCGTTTTGAATATTGATTTGTTATAATCATATATCTAATAGTACTATATTGCTAACTGGCCTCAAAAGATTCCGAAAACATAACGGCAGAGCAATATATCGGACCTCTCTGTCTCTCTGTGGTACTAAACAGTACTATTCTTATTTGAGTGCAATCAATAACTCCAATCAAATCAGAAAAACGTGGCTCTATTGCACTAAAGTTTCGTTCATTATTCTGCCTGGTTTGTGGAGAGTTCGGAAATTTTATCCACTGATTTAGTAAATGAGCCACAACGCAATTGGACACTTCTGCAATGCAACAACTCACACTTTGTTGACTTAATGCGAATGAAAAACCATGTCCAGTTCCCACCTGGTAATTTCCGTGCCCAAAAAAATGCTTAATTTAATCCTGATCAGAAAAAAATTATATTTTTTACCTTTGCACACGTTCACGTCTTTCTTCCATAAGTGCCAAATTAATAATTAACCTATCTAATGCCATACTTAATTAAAGATTAATTGTTACCACCAAAGCTTTTAAATTGAATGAATTATTAATGCAAGTTAAAAAAACACAGAAAACAACTATAGGTTATATCCAAACCCTGCTTTAAATTTTAACGGTTGCTTTGGCCTAGCCGATAAAAATTCTCTCTTAAACGCTTATTTTAACCCACCTAACGTTAAATTTTAACGCACCTACCAGATACAGAATAGGTTTGTAGTTTTACCGTACCCTTAAAATTTTAACCGTGCGTTATTTTTATCGGATGTCTTACAGAATAGCCCCTAATGAGTAATATTTTTAACGGCGCTCCGTAAACAGAGTCGTTGGAATTTCCGTGAGGAATTCGCCGCAAAAAATACGTTTAATTATTTTCGACAATGTCAGTGTTAGCGTCCAAAACGGGCTCAAGTTCAAAGCTGGCGCGAGCCGGCGACGAATTTTGACTTCGGGTTTTGAAACGCCAATTAAAATCAGCTTCCGTTGCCAATTTTTCATTTCTAATAGACGTAAACAGAGTGCGATGTTGCTCGAAAATTTTGAAATTTTGACGAATTTTTGAACTTTATTTACGTCAACGAAAAAAACCTGTCTCTCAATTTTAGTTGGCCTGTCAAAAAATGTTGCCTTCACCCCTACACAAAAACCTGATTAACCCACCTGCGGAACAGGGGCGGCTCGACTAGAAGCAGATGGAAATCGTTTTCAGAGGAAACCTCCCGGTCTCTGTGATGGACCGCACATTTAAAACTCCTTGATCTTTTACCGGTCATCTGAAACAAAACAAGAAAATTTCAAAAAACCCACAAAACCAATCACCGATATTTAATTAGTCCGCTATTTCATTTGCATCTCGCTCGATCTAGTTAGCAGAGGGCGTGCTCGCTTAATCTCTTCGCATTCCGATCTAATCGAGATAATTTATGGACGCTCGGCCCTTAAATATATACAGGGGCGTCTCCGCCCTTTCGTTCCGCCGAAAAACGCAGTGGCGGCGGGCTCCCGGTGAGCCTCCGTCTAGAGTAATTATTCATCATTTCATAATGCGCCGCCCTTTGATGGCGCTCATTAATTCAGAGCCAAGATCGATGATGGAAAGAAGAAAAGAGTTGTCGTTGAGTAAATCATTTGATTTTTTTCGAGCGCGAATGATAGATGGGGGCTCCGGAATGATGGACGTAATTGTCGGATTGCGTTTTAATGATCTTGATTACGTCCACAGAAATTAGTTTCACCTCGAAGCGCGAAAATTCAAAGACCGCGGTCATTTTTTGGCAATTTAACTGATTATTGTCGTTTAAATGATCGGCTTTTACTTTTTAAATGATCCTGATCGTTAATTGAATGATCACTGTACCGTTTCGGTAAAAACCCGGTAGGAAACGGTACCTCGTTCGCATGCACTGTACTTATTTATCGATTGCGTACTGTTAATAATACATATTTAATCGAACCGTGTATTTTCTCTATGAATACTAGAAGCGTGTAATAACGGTGATAAGGTCCGGTCGTTCGGAATCGCGTAGATTCTTATGCAAATGCGAAATAGTTAAATGAGAACGTGCCAGATCGTAATCGTTTTGTTGCACACTTGAAACGGCTCGTTTTCACTGGGGGACTCGGCTAATGCCCGGTTGGCAGTACTGGTTTTTGAGCGTGTGGAAAAAACAGACACAATTTGCTAACCGCCCATTATCGTACTGCCAACTTAATAACGTCCACACAAAAAGAGACGACGAAATCGATCGCTTTTAATCGCTAACAAAGTGAGCGTTTTTATTGGGGTAAATTACCGGTAATATCTGCAATTATAATCTACGCATTAAATTATCGAAGGTACGATAGCCATCGCTGTTTAGTCGGTGCTCTAATTGGGAGAAAAACCATGGGACGCCCGCGCTTTTTGTCCATTTTGCGGTACGAGTAATTACGAGACGAGGTAATTGAAATGTTGAGGACAGATTATTTATGAGGATGCTGAGCGGCGACAGGCGTCTGGCGAGACAGGGAAACGAAGTTGTTGGCATTTCCGGAAAACGTACCAATACGATATCGATCGGGCTTCTGCCAGCACGAGACGGTTTCTAATTTATTTAATGTGGCTTAAATTCGGATTGTAGAGAAATTTCGTACTTCTGGTCTGAATAGCAAATATGATGGTTTCACACAAGTCTAGATATTTCACAACTCATTTTCACTCTTATTGTTTAAGACGGACTTTCCAATTATATGCTAATTTCATGGTCAACTTTCGCACTTGACCGGAATAAAACGTTTCAGAAGTTGCTTTAAAAAGCACATAAATAGTAAGATTGATGGCCACGCCCCCCATCGCCATCTTACAAGATGTCCTCTTCACTAATTCACTCTTACTGTGTCCTTTTTTGCATTTCCATGACATTGCCAGTATCAATTTTGCATAACTTAAAATAATTGCATAAAGATATATTTTGTCATATCAGTCACCCACCACCGCCATCTTGAAACAGAACCTCAATTTCTCTCTGAAGCCATTCTAGTTTTCATAATTCCATTTAAGGTGGAACGCTAGGCGAAAGGCAATCTTAAATTAGGCGCCTTTTGTTACCCTAAACGCAACCAGCAATGCAAACTGTTTTTATATAGTTTTGGTTTTTATATATTGGTTAAGAGCCGTAATTAATTTGTCTTGCAAATGGAATTATTCTGGTGAACAAAATATTTATTTATTTGTTCGTTTATTTATTTATTTTTTTAATATTAAATTCTGCAGCTTGTTGCTCTGTGTACTGAATTATCTAAAAAAGTATCAATGAATTAAATTTCTGTATACAATAAAAAAAAGCAAATTTTACTAAATGGTCTATTATTGAGGACCGCGGAATCAAACTCGTCACTAAAGTGGAGTAGGTAGATTCATTATTATTGATTACTATTAAGTATTTATTAATAAAAAAAATTGATATTGAATATTTTTCTCTTCTTGATATGTGTAATTTTAACTGCATTTTTGAGTTAATATTTTAAAGCAAACAGCAGAGTGATGTTTGTAACAATAATGAATATTTATTTAACAAATTCATTACGAGTAGATTTTTGATGAGAAGCAGTATTTTTTTATTAACAGATCAACCTGATCCAATGATCCATCGAAAAAACTGACCAATATCAACAATTTGAAAACGATACAGGACGAAATTTCAGAATGAAATATATAAAAATGAAAATAACGTTTTTTCACTAGCATCCATGACGCATGCAAATGTTGACTCATTTAGAGGTAGCAAATTCAACTTTTGCGACCACCGGTTCAAAAAGAAACATTGAGGTTATGTACGCAATGTTTGATGTGATTATTTCTTAAAAAATGAACAAATGTGTGCTACAAATATTACTTGAGTATACGCATGGTAGTTGGTAGACGGTAGAAGATAAAATGATTAACTCAGCGACAAGTATAAACGGTTTTCTTTGTGTTGAAGATTTAGATTAAGTTTGATTAGAAATCAAAACAAAATCATGTTGCGTCAAAAAATTGAACGTTTATTTTTTCAGTTTGTTGTCTTATGGTTTCTACTAATGAAAAAAATAGTATATTAACCACGGTTGCAAAGCCACTTCTAGACCTCGCGCTTCAGAGCCCTCGACGCTGCGCGTCTCGGGTTCTAATTTGCGCTCGGTCTAAAATGCTTGGCTCTGCAACCTTGGCTAATAATATACTATTGTGCCTGTTCAAATGATGAAACGTATTCCCCGTTATTTTATTTATATGTTTTTCTTCATTCACTTCATATTAATAATTTATTACATATTACATACTTCTTTTCTACATACATATGTATCTGACAGCAAAACGGAATACTTGAATTTTTGAAAACGTTTTAAGGGTATCGTAAGCATGGTAGGGTAATCAAAACACTAAATTTTTTGGTTGATGAAATGAACTGTTTTCAGGGGCTTGGAACATGAAAAAATTGTTATACCTCCTCTAGCGAATTCCTTAAAACTTCAAAAAACTGATACCTATCAACGTATGTATTTTTCTGGCCACGCCCCCCGCCGCCATCTTGCAACATGTCCGCTGCTCCAATTCTCACAGCAACCTGCGATCAGTCGACCCGTCGACCGGTCGAAATTAGAAAAAATACCGTATTTACAACGGAACGAAACAGTTTCCACGGCGTGCCAAATCGTCACAAACAAATGCCTATTAGAGCGCACAGCCTCCTCCGACTGTTGACCGCCGTTTCGACAATCTCAGTGGGCTGATTACTGTGCTCTATTTGCGTCGGTCTTAGGAGTCCCAGCCAACTCGAAACGTTAGCTTTTCCATAAACACGAACAGATTTCGCGACCACACAATGGGGAAGTGCACGTGTAGAGGACGCCGAGGACGAAAGTGTCGTAGGTCGAAGAAAGTGCCAACTGTGAAAATAGCAATGCTTCCGGGGGAAAAGTCTGGGTAATGCTAACACGCATTGGTTTTACGTAACAAGAGTTTAAATGCATTGTTGCGTCAGATTAAGGATACATTTATGGCGTGTCTCCCCTATATGCCGAGTTGATATTCTCGTTTTTCGAGAGCGATTTGAATCGGGTCAGCGTTGGGTAACACTTCGCCCCTAGAAACTCCTTTTTAAGTCCCGCCGATGGTACCGGGCCTCTGGCGAGTTAGTTATGACCTGGGTAGCGGGTTCGTGGGCGCGCGTAGGTTCAGTATGGAACCCACGCGGTTCCACTGGTTCCCACGACACTGGTGCAGGCTCACCTTGTCGGCTACATCTCTCTATAGATTCGCACCAGAGGTTAATGTCATCGGGCGGACACGCGTCGGAGATGAGCCCAAAAATGGAAATCGACACGACAGGACCGTAGCCGGAAAATTCCACCAGACATTCCTGAACCTTTTCAAGAATCCTACGTTCGCCCGCAAAAATCCACCGCTCTGCCATGAACAGGGTCACCGGAATATCGGTCCACTTTCACTTTCTTCTCTTCGCCGCGGGCCTTTCTCTCGGAATTCCACCGTTTCCGGACGCTCCGTATTTCGAATTGTTTTTACGGATGATTAACTGTTAATAATTGGACAAAAAATACCACCGCATAATCACCGAAACCGGTCGAAGGAAGCCGTTTTCGAGCGAAACAAGAGCCTTAATCGATTCCGAACGAAAAATCCGTTCGGCACGTCTGGCCGGGGAAGCTCCGGTCCTGTCCCGGATGACTGCGCGATTTTTTTTCGCGTCACGACGAGTACGGCCCTGTCCGCCATCAGCTGTTTTCCATAAATTTAAATAAATTTGGCGGAAGATTTATGGCAATGCCGAAATTAGCTATACAGGGTGTTTTTTAGCAAGCGTTGACCGATCTATTTATGGAGAGGACAGCGATAAATAAAAACAATTGAAGGTCGAGCGAGAGCCGGCGGCCTCTTTGTGGCCGGTGTACGGAGACCGCGATGTGGCGGCGAATTTCGCAGTGCGTATACGGAGCTCCTCACAAAGAACTAACGAAATGTACGCAATTAGCACCCGACGACAGACACTATTGCTCGAGACGGTGTCTCCAAGGATCCGCGTTTGGAACATCATCATTCTCGCATTATACGAACGACATATTATCTGCTATAATTTGCTCATAACGGGGGAACGCAGCCGAAATTATTATCATTATACATTTGGTTAAATTAACACTTGAATAATAATAATAATAATAATAATAATAATAATAACTTTATTAACCACTGGATACAAATAACATGTCCTGCGGTGTATTTTCGCGTATGACATCTCCT